CTGTGATAAATGACGTTACCATAACAGAGCAGCCGTTCAAATGTCATCAAGGGGCCAGCGAGGGGCCTCCATGCCTGGGCTACTCTGCATGCGGGAACCCCAGACCCAGTTCCCAGCACAGCTGTGGTCCCGCAAGCACCATGCCCAGAACCAAAACCAGAAAGAGGTGTCTGGGCTAGAACAATAGCACAGTGAGTAGGGCACCTGCCGTGGGTGCAGCCAGCCCCAGTTCCGTCTCCAGCACTGCGTAGGGTCCCCTGAGCACCATGGGCTGTGACTGAAACAAAGAGAGGAAGTAATTGAGTTGTAATATATAAATAGATGGGATTATATGCAATCCCCCAAAAGAACATATGTAACCAATAGAAAACAAAGCAAGAAGCCAGAACGATAGAACAGTGGTTAGGGTGTTTGTCTTGCATGTGGCTGACCTGAGTTCAATCCTTGGCATCCCATATGGTCCCCCAAACACCGCCAGGAGTAATTCCTGAGTGCTGAGTCAGGAGTAACCCCTGTGCATTGCTGGGTGTCACCCAAAAAGCAAAAAAAAAAAAAAAAAAAAAAACCCAAAAAACAAAGAACAAGATGATGCCCTTTGTTGTGGTCAGGTTACACTCCCACACCGGCCCCTTTGCCCCTCAGAATGTGTCTGGATTTGGGGACAGCATCTTATACGGGGTGGTAGGGTGAGGTTGGGGGCTGGACACTGGGTAAGGCACTGGCCTTGCATGTAACCCACTGCACATGGTCCCTGAGCACAGAGCCAGGAACAGGCCCCAGCACAGCTGGGTGTGACCCCAAAACAAAAAAGGTAAGGAGGGCGGGGGGAGTGCAGCATAACCAGTGTCCTAAGGGAAGACATTTGGACCCAGGTGGACAGAAGGAAGCCAGGTGTAGACACAGAAACGCAGTGGGGGGCTGGAGCAATAGCATAGCGGGTAGGGCGTTTGCCTTGCACGTGACCGACCCAGGTTCGATTCCCAGCATTCCATATGGTCCCCTGAGCACCACCAGGAGTGATTCCTGAGGGCATGAACCAGGAGTAACTCCTGTGCATCGCCGGATGTGACCCGAAAAGAAAAAAAAAAAAAGAAAAGAAAGGCAGCGGGGACAGGCCCCTCTCACACCTAGTCCTTATACTCCAGCTTCCAGAACGGCCAGAACTTTCATTTCTGTTGCATAAACCATCCAGCCAGGAATCTTGCACTTAATGCCAAATGCTGCTTCCAGTCAGGACCGGGAGGGGCTCAGTGGTAGAGGCCAGCCTCACATATGTGAAGCCCTTGGGTTTGATCCCTAGCACTGAAAGAAAAATCTCGCTGCTTTTTGTTCTTGGTGCTGAGCCACAAGCCCAGGGCTGAGTGCCGATGAGTGTGGCCCCAACCAAAACTGATTTAATTTAATGCTTTTATGGGGGGGAGGAGCAGGTGTTGGGCCACACCCAGCTGTGCCTGGCCGCGCTAGGGGGACACCATGTAGTGTTGAGGATCCAGCCTGGTTTGGCCACGTGCAAGGCAAGGTCCACATCTGTTGTACTCTCTCCAGTCCCTAATGGAGCACTTTGAAAGAGTTCCCATGAGACAACCCCTACCCCCCAGACTCGGCACCTCCCTGCCCCTCCTCCCCCGAGCTCTGGCACATCCTACACTGGATCCTAAGTTGGTGAGGACCTTGAGGATGGATGCGGAGTCATGAAGATGGGATCAGTGTGACCTCGTGGGCAACTGTGACACCCAGATTTAGAGGGGTAACTGGGGACAGAGGGCAGAAAGGAACCAGAGGGAAGTGGGTCACCTCTCCGCTCTCTCCTGAAGCCATCACCCCAGCAACCCCCAGCCTCTTGCTGCCTCTGCTCTCTGAGCCCCCCACACTCCCTGCTGGATAGCACTTCCGGGTCCATTGTTGAAAGAGGGTCCCTTCTCAAACATACCTGCCCCGCCTCCTGGTGCCTGCACCCCACCCCAGCACTCTTAAAAACAAATTACTGTTTTTTGCTTATGTTTTGGGTCACACCCAGTGATGCTCAGGGGTTACTCCTGGCTCTGCACTCAGGAATCATTCCTGGCAGTGCTCGGGGGACCCTATGGGATGCTGGAGATCGAACCCAGGTCAGCTGCCTGGAAGGCCAGTGTCCTACTTGCTGTGCTGTCGCTCCGGCCCTCAGCCCAGCACTTTTTGCTCAAGCTCAAACCCCAGACCTCATCTAGAGGCTCTCTGGTACCCTCACCGCCCTTCACAACCCTCCCTTGACCTGAAGCTCCTTGTCCGTCCTTCCTGCCTGCCAGAACAGGCCAGGGACTCAGTGCTCCTGGCTCGTCCTGCCGCAGATGAGGATTTTCATGCCTCTGTTTGACAACATTCAAGATCCCATGTCAGGCCCCAGTGCACCTTGCCCCCAGCATAATCCACCAAATCCCGTCCCACACCTCCCTGTCTCCACCTCCACAAGAGCAAGCCATTGCTTCTGGCCGCAGTTCCCTGTTGAAAAGCTTTATCTTGAATAGTACAGTGGCTAGGAGGCTGGCCCTGCACATGGCTGACGAGGGTTTGAGTCCCAGCATCACATATGGTCCCCTGACCCACCAGGAGTGATTCCTGAGCACCACCAGGTATGACCAGAAACAAAACAAAAGGTTTTTGGTTTTTTGGGGAGGGTCACACCCTGCGATGCACAGGGGTTACTCCTGGCTCTGCACTCAGGAATTACCCCTGGCGGTGCTCAGAGGACCATATGGGAGGCTGGGAATCAAACCCAGGTTGGCCATGTGCAAGGCAAATGCCCTACCCTCTGTGCTATCACTTCAGCCCCCCGAAAACAAAAGTTTTATCTTGGGCCAAGAGAGAGCTCATAGGCTAAGGACGCGTGTGCTTTGCCTGGGGGAGCCCCAGTTTTGATCATTGGCCCTGATGGTCTCTCAAGCACCCACCAGGTATAATATCAAAACCAAAAGGCAAGATTTTTCACAGGGGTGGGGGTGGGAGCGGGGCAGGGAGATGGCCCAAAGGGCTGCTACACTTGCTGGCAGGAACTGGGCCCTGGATTCGATCCGTTCCATCCTTGGCACCACGGGGCTTCTACACCTCCAGGGGTGGTACCCCCCACCAAATCCATTTTCTCCTTATTTCTAGGGTCACTGTGAGCACTAAAGACCCTAAGCCACGTTGATATGTGTAGTGCCGCGTGCACTGCCTGCCCCTCACATGTGCCTCCTCTCCCCAGCCCAGGCCTGCCCAGAATGCTCTGCCTGTCCACTCTTGGAGGACCTCCCAGCACCCCTGGGGTACCTGGGCACCACTTCCGGTGACAGCCCTGTAGTGTGATAAGGGCCGTGCTGCGCAGGCCCGGCCTTGAGAGGCTGTTGGACCCACAGTGCCAGATGCCACCAGGGCTGTACCCAGCTGTTCTTGGGGTTTGGGGCCTGCAGCCCTCAGGCAAAAACCCAGCGCCCTGTGACACCAGCCCCACACGGCAGCCCTCTGACCTGTCTCCCAGCCCGTCAGGCTCTCCACCTCAGACTCAGCCATTGCTGGGGCAGGGGCGCCTTGAGCCCACTAGGGCACATGGGTGAAGCCTCCTGGGAATTCATTTTATTTTGCTTTTCTAACTTTTCTTAGGCGCCATGATTTACAATACCGTTAATCAGTTTCAGGTGGACCATGGAGGAGACTTGTATTTCTTGAGAAATAACTTCATGCATTTTTATGTTCCAGCAGTTACTCCCAACAGATCACGCGGTAGAACACAAACCAGGCTGAAGTTTTCCAGTGAAACCCAGAAGTACTAAGACTTTCCCAGTCAGAGCTGCAGGCCCGCAGACCCTCCCAGAGCCACAGGTAAGGCCGGGCCGGGGCCCACAGTGGGAGGCGGTGTTCCCGCTCAGTGCAGGCGGCTCTCGCCTGCCCAGGCTGTCCAGTTCCCACATGGGAAGTTTCTCTTCAAACCCGCCCTTACCTCTGGTGTTCATATTGGTTTGCTCCCATACCGGCCAGCCTCGGGCACCTCTCTGGCCTCTGGCCCACTGCTGCTGACCACTAGACATGGTGTTGGTGGGCTACTGCGGGCCGAGCATGGCTCAAGAGGAACCCTTCGGCCCGGACACACACGTGCTCAGCAGACTCGGCAGGGCGTGGCACGGGTGTGAAGGGCTGCTGCCATGGCCGGCACCTCTCCCTCTTCACTTCCCCAAGTACCTGACTCCAGCATCAGCCTCTCTGGCCTGCTTGCTCAGGGTCACTAGGGCGCCACCAGACTCCTTTACCACTGCCTGGGAAACCCCCAGATTAGGTACTAAGGCAAGTCAGTGCCAGAAAGAGGGGGGAGAAAATGCTTCTTTCCCCTCTCTCGGCCTCTTCGCGGGTCCCAATGTCCTTGGGCAGCCTCTGGACAGAAGTGTCAGGAGGCCCCTAAGAAGCCCCCTCTTGCTGGGCTCCTCCCTGGCCCCTTATGACCTGACTCTGCTCTCAGCTCGTCCTGACGGGTACTCGGAGTCTCCACTGCCTTCTATTACCTGGGTCCGTCGGGTGGGGGGCACACCCTTTGGCTCTTGGGAGTTGCTAGAGGTGGTTGCCCATAAGTCCCTGCCCGCAGAGCCTCTCACCGGCCTGGCTCACTCCCTGAGGTGCACCTCTGCACATGGAGCCCCGGGCCTCATTTGTGAGGAGTGTCCTTCAGCACCCGAGCTATCCTGGCAGGATGGCCTCCCGCCTCCCCGGAGGTCCCCAGTGTGGGGAGCAGAGGTACTTGTTGGGAATGAGTCACGGTCCCCCTGGATCCATCCTGACGCTGAGCAGGCCAGGTGGCAGATCTGGCTGGTTTCCCTGGTCAGTTTCTCTGGGCACCACCAGGGGGCACCAGAGGCTGCTCGGCTGTGGCAGGCCCGTGTGTCTCAGGTGTTTCCTCCCTCTCACACCAGGGTCAGGCAGCAGGGGGCAGGGCAGGAAACGGGCGCTGCACTGCGCTGGCGTTCTCCCACCTGAGCCAGCCAGAGCCAAGTCACACGAGGGGGTCCAGAGTCCTTTATTGATAAACGCTAGTGAAACCGTGCCTGGTGGGCTCAGCCAGTTCTGCCCAGAGATTGCCAGCTGTGGGTGAAGGGTACGTCTTCACCTGCCTGTGTCTGAGGCCAGGGTTAGTGCCTCACTGGCTGCACCCCCAAGCCCCAGCGTTGCAGAGAGGGGGGTGCCACAGGCACTGGAAGTGTCCCAGCCAGGTTCTTGTCTGTGGGCAGAGGGCCCCGCGAGTCCGGTTTCAGGAGCGGGAGCCCTCCAGATTCGGTCTTTCCTTAGCCAAGAGACTCCGTCAGAGCTGAGCAACGGCCACTGGCTGTGTCATCTGTCCTGCAGATCTTGGGGAGTTGGGAAGGTGGTTTCAGGCGGTGCTTCAAAGGGGATAGAGATGCCAGAGGCTGTGGTGAGCAAAGGCAGAGAGAGTGTCAGCTTGGCCTCTGGTCCCCATGTCATCAAGGTGAAAACTGGCCAGGTGCCTTGAAGACACCCCCTGCCCCCACCCGGGCGCTCCACTCCTGGCTCAGGCCAGGGCAGTGCTGCCCCCGCAGCCCACTCCCTCGGTCCTGCTGTGCCTCTGACCTGCACTGGTACCGGGGGTCTCCGGGGTGGGTCTGCAGCACCTGGCGCACCTCTGGGGGAGGCTCCAAGCCCATCTGCTCTGCCCGGAGCCAGCGCTGCAGCCGGGTGATGCCTGCCAAGGTGGGGAGAATGTCCTGGGCTTCCAAGAAGAGTTCATCTGGGGGTGTCTGGAGCTCCCCTCCCCCCAGTCCCAAGGCACAGTGCCCAGGAGGGCTGGGAGGGCTGCGCAGTGTTGGACACGGTGGGCGCAGGGCTGGCTGCGGGCCGCTCACCTGTGCAGGGGCCGAACTGCCAGGCCAGGTCGAACTGCCTCAGCAGCTCCAGGTCGGCGTCGTCCGCATCCAGGGGCAGGGACTCGGGCTGGGGCTCTTCCCCTGGAATGACACGCTGCCCTCAGGCCTGCCCTCCCCTCCCCTCCCTGGCCTCGCCTGGGCATCCTTCCCCTGCCTGGGAGCCCATGGCCTGGTCTGTCCCTCCGCGTGCCCCCGGCCCACCCCCACCCCCACCCCCGGACCTCAGAGACCTGGCTCAGGGGCCAGCTCGCCCTTGGTGGGCCCAGGAGGGTCCTCCCTCCTCTTCCTTATGGGGTAGGAGTCGGTGATGAGCCGTTTCCGGCCCATGGCGGCCACCCAGGCAGGCGGAGAAGGCGGCGACGGAGGGAGACGGGTCGTGGGCACGAGAGAGACAGCTGCTGGGAGAGCGAGACAGGGGCGCCGGGCCAGGGGCCGGCGGTGGGCAGCCGGTGACCCAGACGGGCCCAGAAGTGCGCTGCTTCCGGGGAATGACGCCGCCCCCCCCCCCCCCGCCGTCCTCGTCAATTTCAAAGCTTTAGCCAATGGCAGGCCGCCCCCAGTGGGCGGGACCTCACGCCAGCCAATAGTGGGCGGCCAGGGCGGGGCCGCGGCTGCAGCTGTGTTGTGGGGGAGCACGGGGCGAGGGGGACCTGTCGAGATGCCCCAGACTGCGCCACCTCCTACCACCTACCCCGCCTTGTTCTGCAATGGGTCTCCGGGGACCGTAGAACGTTAGTCCCGGCCTCTCACTTCCCGTTTTCCCTTCCTAGGCAAATGTTCTTTCAGCCTCGCTAATCCCCGTGGCCGGTTTGCAACTCCCCAGAGCCCAGCTGGAGCCTTCCCCTCCCGCCCCTTGGCCCACACGCCTGGGGTGGGGGGAGGGTGGGGGCCAGGTCTGAGGCCCAAAGAGAGTTTGGGCTAATCCAGCCCTTTCTCTGCTCCCACCCCACCCCCCCGGGCCCCTGGAGACCCGGAGAAGAAGCCGCCGTGGTTCTGAACGCGGCTCTCACAGTCTCTGTCCGCCCGCAACGCTGCCCCTCTGCCCAGGCCAGCCTGTGTATGCCGGGTGGGTCTGCCGGGATGGTGCCAGCAGCCCCCGCCTGCACAGCGAGGCCCAAAGGTCCCAGGAGCCCAGGGCCTGCGTGTTTGGACTCAGTTCTTCATCCGGAAAATGGCCCCGTCTCTGCCTCTAATGTGAGCGTAAAATAGCCACCAGGGGCCTGGCACGTCTGTGGCGCTAAGCCTGCCACGTCCGCTTGGGCCCGAGTGCTTTCCCACACACTCGCTCAGCTGCAGCAGACGAAAGAGCTTCCTAGAGGTGGAGAATGCCCAGCTCAGCCTCACCCCGGGGCTCTCGGGGACCCGGGTCCCCCAGCTCTCAGCATCGTGAGAGGAGGATGACATTCCTGATGCCCAGAAGAGTGGGGAGGAGGGTCAGAGATGACTCGGACCTCCCGGAGGGGGCTGTTATAAACAGTGTCTCTCAATTCTCCATGACCTTTGTTCTTCCCCTCCTGTCATGCTGACTCACCCCTACTCCTGCCTCCCCCTCACCAGCTTCCTGGCAGCAGGCTGAAGTACTGGCCAGTGGGAGCCCGGGAGCCGGCGTGGGGACCAGCCAGCTGGAACTGCCCGCTGGAGATGCCACCCGCTTCTTCCTGCCTGGCCGCCGCTCCAGGGTCTGGGCTCGAGGGAGGTGGGGCCCCAGCTGAGCCCACAGGCTTCGGAGAGGACAGGATGGGGCTGTGGGCTCCCCGGCCACCTCCCTGAGGACCGAAGTGCGGCCCTTCCCTGCCTCACTGTTGTGGTGGGGCCTTTCTAATCCCCTCTCTGTCAGGGGACACTATGGGTCCCACCTCAAGGGAACCATGGCCCTGCAGCCGTGGGCAGGGAAGAGGGGTCCCTGGAGGCCCTCTGTGGAACCTGGCCGACCACCCAGAGATGTGGGCACCCAGATCCGAGCCCACAAGGCCCTGAGGGAGTGGGGAGCCCTGGGTGGGGCCGACCCCTCCTCATTCCTGGTCCCTCCCACCCCTGAAAGCTGATAGCCGTGGGGCCCAGCCGCCGCCCAGGGAGCGTGAAATGGGGTGTGCCTCTGGGCGCCCACAGCAGCCCTGCTGCCGGGGCCCGGGGGCCGCGTCCTTCCTTCCCTCTGGCACCCCGCTCTGTCCTTCCCAGCCACCCGGCCTCACCCCTGCCTGGCCCTGTCAGCATCCGCCCCATCTGGAAAGTGCCTTCCTGGACCTCGGGCCCCCCATTAGCTTCCCCAGGGGAGAACAGGGGTGGGCTTCGGCTCAGGTCTGCTCGTTGGCTCTTTGCCTCTGCCTGGCAGCACACAGGTGTGGGGCCTAGGTTTGGGAAGCCCCGTGGGGTGCGCCTCCCTCCCTAACTCTGCTTCCGGCTCTGGAGCTGTGCTTGGCACCCGGGCCAGCCCTGGGCCTGCCTAACCTTGGAAATCTTCCCTCTTTCCTGCCCCCACTCCCCCCATCCCTTTCCTTCTGGGAACCTCTGTCCGTCCCTCTGTGGGCAGCTGTCTGTGGCCCTCCCGGGGTCCACTCCAGACCCGAGGGCGGAGGGGGGGCCTCCTGAGACGTGGGTTCCCGGGTCAGCCGTGATGCCCAGAGGCTCCTGCCCAGACCCTAGGAGTGATGGCCTAGGGTCACCTGGGAACACTCCAGGGCCTGGCCTCCTGGCCACGGTCAAACTGGTCAGAACCCAGGAGAAAAGGAGAGGACGGATCAGAGCGATATACAGTAGGAAAGGCACTTGCCTTGCATGCTGCCGACCCAGGTTCGATCCCCGGCACTCCATATGGTTCCAGGGCATTGCCAGGAGTGGTTCCTGAGTTCAGAGCCAGGAGCAGCCCCTGAGGATGCCGGCTGTGACTCGGAGAGTGGGGGGGTGGGAGGGGCGGAGGGAAAGAACTGAGAGGGGCCCAGGAGCCTCATGGGCTGAGGCCCACCAACCGCTCCAGATGGAAAGGGGATTAGGCCCGGCTTAGCTCAGACAATATGACAGCGTGGGGGGGCCTCAGCTCAGCGCAGACGCCCTAAGCACCCCTCCCCCAGCTCAAGAGGGGGCCTGTGGGCAGGGCCGCTGAGTAGGGGGGTAGGCAGGTAAGGGGAAACAGCTGCCTGAGGCCCAGCCGGCGGGGCGTCACCGGTTCTCCTTCCCTCTCCCGACGCCCCCTCCTGCAGGCCTCAGGCCCTACCACCCACTTTGTGCTGGAGGTTCTGGGCAGCCAGACAGACTCCCCCCGCCCCCAGCTCACGTACTCACACATGCAGAACCCCACCAGCCCCCTGGGAGCGTTTCCGAGGCCCCCCAGACGCCCCATCTCCTGCTCAGGTGAACCCACACGCCGGCTTCTTCTTGGGCGTCTGCCTGCTGGCCGCACCCCTCCTCCCATCTCCCCTTCACCTTGACCTCCCTGGCTGCAGCCCCCGCACGCCGCCACGGTCCCCCAATTCCCCGAGTCTGAGACTTGCAAAGGGGCCCCTTAGGCCATTCCCCACTTGGCCACCAGGTGTCAGACTTTGTCTGGCTGGGAGGACGCTGGGCCTGAGAGGTGACCCCTGAGCTCACCCAACTGAGGGACCCCATCACCGAGGGGAGGGGAAGGCTCTGACTGTGACCCCACCCCCACCTCTCCCACCTCATGACGCGGGGCTGTGGCCTCTTCTGGGAAACTGGGAGGCCAGGCTGACGCAGGGACACAAAGGGTTGACAGCGACTCAGCCCGCAGAGCTCTCGGGCCCTGCCGTCTGTCTGGGCAGGGGGACAGAGAGCCCCTCGGGTGACAGTGAGTGGGGGTGAGCAGTATGTGGGTGTGTGTATGAATGAGTGAATATACGTACGAGTCTGAGAACATGTGCGTGTGAGAGCATGTGTGTATGAGAGTGTATGCGTGTGAGTGTGTGAATGTGTGAGCACGTGTGTGTGTCTGGGTAAGTTGTGTGTTTGGCTGTGGTCCCCACATGCCAAGGAGGCCCTGGGTTCCGCATGTACAGGCCCCGCTCAGCCACTTTTTTGTTTCCCCACCCCCTTCACTCAGACACTTCTATGCCAACTCCGACGCTGTCCCCCCAAGCTGCAGGTTGCCTCCTCAAGACCCCAGGGCTGTGTCCGTGTGCCCCCGTCCCTTCTCAGTGCTCTTCCCAGCAAGAGGAGGACTGTCTGCTTCCTGTGCCCTTCATTGCTCACCTTCCTGGGAGAAACAGTGCCATTCCAGAGCCCCGGTGTCCCGGATTCGAAAACAAGGAACTATTTCTAGTGGCTTGGGGGACCATATGAGATGCTGGAGATCAAACACAGGTTGGCCACATGCAAGGCAAACACCCTCCCTCTGCACTGTCGCTCAGCCCCTGGCTATAAGACCATCCTAAGGAGGTCACCCCAGGAGTGATTCCTGAGTGCAGAGCCGAGAGTAGCCCCTGAGCATTGCTGGGTGTGGCCCTAAAAACAAAAAAAGAGGTCACCTGGGGCTGGAGCCATAGCACAGCAGGTAGGGCGTTGGCCTTGCATGCAGCCAACATGGCTGACCCAGGTTCTATTCCCAGCATCCCATATGGTCCCCTGAGCACCGCCAGGGGTGATTCCTGAGTGCATGAGCCAGGAGTAACCCCTGTGCCTCACCAGGTGTGACCCAAAACACAAAAAAAAACCCAAAAAAAGAGGTCACCCCCCAACACATACCAGCTCCCCTCAGCAGCGGCTGGGGAATGAGGGATGCAGTGACCAGCATTCAGAAAGGCACGAGGGCTCTCATTTGCCTGGCTCTACCTCGGTCCCACAGGGCAACTGGCACCCCGCCCACCCGTGGGGTGTGATTTCAGGAGCTCTGCCAGCTCTCCTGTGCCTACCCCACTTCGGGTGCTGCCAAACTCGCCCCTGCCCCCCCGGGTCACCGTTCCCTCTGTTTGCTGGGAGCCCTGCCTGTCCCCTGTCCCCTCCTCTAGCTGTCCCAAGCCCCACACTTGCTGTGGAGTGCCCCCACCTAGGCCAAATGGACTGTCTCTCAGCCTCTCCGGTGTCCCCCGCTTGTCCGGGTTCTCTTCTCTGCCTCCCTCCCTTCCTGCCCACAGCCCACAGCCAGCCCGGGCTTAGCTCACTTCTGTTACCAAACAGCACGGAAATCACCCGGAGGGCTGGGGGGCCGGGCGACCATCCTCTCTTCTGTTCCTATCCATGGGTGCACCTTTTCACGGTCCCCAGTGGGTTCTAGCCTGCCAGAGCCAGGAGATCGCCCCACCCCCATTTCTTTCTCTCAGTTTCTAGGGGGATTTGATGCAGTGGATCTGCTGCCCCCATAAACACTCCCGCAGCCGCCCGCGCTGCTGAGTGGCTGGAATGGTCTCGACCAACTGGGCATTTAACTGGTCCCGGTGGCTGAGAATACCTGGAAGGGGACCCCTAGGGCCCTGAGCACTGCTTGAAAATAGCCCTTGAAGGGTGGGATGGGGGGTGGGAGGGATACTGGGGTCCGTGGTGGTGGGAAATGGGCACTGGTGGAGGGATGGGTATTTGATCATTGTATAATTGAAACCCAAGCACAAAAATTTGTAAGTCTACAACCGTACCTCATGGTGTCTGACTAATAAAAAAGAAATAGCCCTTTAATATGTCATTATCTTTATATGACACTTCTTCGATCCATTTCAGCTCGGGACAATGACTAGGAGGACCAAGCAGGCTCTGCGTGCGCCTGGATTGGATTTCCAGTGCCACTGGAGTGAGCACAGAGCCAGGAATGGCCCTTGAGCACTGCCAGGTAAGGCTCAGATCACCCCTCCACCCCAAATACATTCTTTTTTTTTCTTTTCGGGTCACACCCAGCAATGCACAGGGATTACTCCTGGCTCTGCACTCGGGAATTACCCCTGGCAGTGCTCGGGAAACCATATGGGATGCTGGGAATCGAACCCGGGTTGGCCACGTGCAAAGCAAATGCCCTACCCACTGTGCTATCGCTCCAGCCCCAACACCCCCAAATACATTCTAGTGCTTTCCTCTGGGCCCCACAGTGTGCTAAGATGACTTAGGGTACACAGATGAATAAATGGGGGAGCCTGCCTGTATGAGGTGGCCTGCTTGAGAAGGAGGTACAGTCTGCCTAGCCCAGCTCCTGCCCATCCCCCCAAATGGAAGCTGGTTCCTGCCTCACGCCTGTGCTTATGGCCTGTACTTGCCCAGCCCTGGAGAAGCAGAGGTAGCAGCAGTGCCCCCCCCTTCCAGGCCCACCTCCATCCCGACCCCCTTCTGCCCTTCTTCAGTTTCGCCTCATCGTCAGCGCAGGGAGGGGCTGGCTCCAGTCTCCCTTCTGGATTTTGGTTGTTTTGTTTGTTTGCTTGTTTGTTTTTTGCTTTTTGGATCACACCCAGTGGTACTCAGGGGTTACTCCTGGTTCTGCACTCAGGAATTACTCCTGGCAGTGCTCGGAGAACCCTATGGGATGCCGGGGATTGAACCCAGGTCAGCTGTGTGCAAGGCAAATGCCCTCCCCGCTGTACTATCGCTCCATCCCCAGGGTTTGGTTGTTTTTGGTCACTCCCACCTAGGTGCTCAGGCCTTACTCCTGGCTCTGTGCTGGGGGGTCTGGGGACCGAATCAGGGTCAGCCACATGCAAGGCAAGCCCTATTCTCTCTCTCCAACAGGATTTTCTCTCTGACCACACGCTGCAGTGCTCCAGGGCTGTTCCTGGTAGTGCGCAGGGGACCCCATGCGGCTGGGGTCAAACCTGGCCTCCTCTGGGTTGGCTTGAAAGCTGAGAGACAGGGATGGGGAGACCCAAGCACGGCCCCACAAGGCACACAGCTCGGCAGTGGGTCCCCCTGCTGCCCTCCTCGCGTTCCATCTGTCTCTTACCTGCTGCCCGGCACACAGCCGGTTGCCAGCCTGCAGAGACACTCCATGCCCGTGGCCATCTCTGAGCAGAGCCCTTGGTCAGGCCCTGCCGCAAGGTCACCAACCCTTTGGGCAGACCCAGGTTCTTGGGCCCAGCAAGCCAGGGCATTGCGCAGAGCCAGCCCAACCCGTCCTTTGTGTGACTGCAAGCAGGTAGCTCACCTAGCCGGTGACCGGGTCCCCCAAGTCTCTGATGAGTGACCATGGCCACTGCCTGACCCCAGCCTGCATACAAAGCTGGGCATCTGCGCTGCGTCTGTGCAGCAGTCGGCTGAGCCGTTTCCTGGGCCCAGGGAGCTTTACCTTTGTCATTGTTTCTCTACGCGAGAAGCTAGTGTGGCGTGTCCCTGCCCGCTTTTCAGACCCGAGCAGAGGCCCGAAGCTCTCTCTATCTCACTGTAATCCAGGGATGCAGCTGAGCGGGGCGCTCCTGCCCGTCCCCTGGGCTCCAGGCCAGTGGGGGGGCCATGCCAGGCTCTGCCCCTTTGCTCTCTCAAGTTGGAAGGAGAAATGGTCAGGGCTGAGACTTGGGCCCTGGACCACTGATGAGGTCCCCAGGCTGAGCACTTGGAGTGAGCATCGCAGGGCAGGGAGACAGACCATCAAGAGGCAGGACTCCCAAGAGGTGATGGTGAGCGAATGGAGCGGGATGGGGAGGACAGGAGCAGAGAGGAAGGCTACAGGAGCAGGATGGGCTGGGGGGAGCCTCTCCCCCCGCCTTTGGCATCTTCAGACCCCCGGGGTGGCGGACAGCGGAGCTGGGGAAAGGCGAGGCCAGAGAAGACAGGGAGCTTGGGGCAAGCATTTTATTTGTTAATACAAGAATAGAAATTCTGCAATAAATATCATCTAATAAATAACATCTCCAAATAAATAAATATTAATACAACAAACTTAGAGGCATGAGTGGGTGGGGCTGGGGAGCAGGGCCTGGGGGAGCAGTCCCCCACCCCCCAAAATGCTACGGCAATGTAAACTTTCAGGAAATTCTGTGGCTGTGGCTGCCCGCCCCCAGCCTGGGCAACCCACAGATGCCCCGGGAAAGGGGGCCGAGAGGAGGCCGCCGGGTGCCGCGAGAGAGAAAGCCAAGGCGGCCCGTTCGCGGGCCTGGCCAACCTCCTCTCGGGCCCCCTGTCTGCATGTCAGGCACCTGGGGGCACACCCCACCGCTCCCTGGTAGAACCCCGGCTCTTCCTGTCTGGACTCGCCACCCTGTGTGCGTCCCGAACCCGGCGGGCTGAGTAATTGGGGGGGGAGCCCCCACCCTGGGAATTGGGGCAGCCAAAGGGCTTGACCCCAAAAAGGCACGTGCTGTGGCGGCCCGTCCCCGCTCTCCCGGCTGGCTTCCCGGGGAACCCCCGAGGGCCCCAGCGGCCGGAGCTGGGCGACGGGATGAGTCTATTGCACCTCTTCCCCAGACCTGGCGGCCTCGGGGGAGCAGGGAGGGGGTGGGTCTCTCGCCCCCACCCGCAGCGGGCAGGGACAGGCTCGTGCCCACTAGCTCCACTGCACTGGCACCCGGGTTCCTGGCCCGAGCAGGCCTGGGTCCGCGGAGGTGGAGGGGCCCGGCTCAGAAGCCGCGGGCCGGCAGGGGCAGGGTCACAGCGGCCGAGGGCGGCGGTGGCACCTTCTTCTTGAGCCGGTTGAAGTCCTTGGCCGAGCGCCACAGCCAGGTCTGCAGCTCCTTCAGCAGCCAGAAGTCATCCATCTTCTGCAGGAAGTCGCTGTGCGCGGGGCCCGGCGCCCACGCCGACTCGCCCCCGGGCCGCGGCTGGGGCAGCGGGTAGCCCAGGGCGGCCATCACGCCCGCGATGCTGCCCAGCAAGCCCTGCAGGCTGGTGCAGAAGTGAGCCAGGCCGCGGCGCAGCTCCGCCGTGGCCGCCTGGCGCGTCAGGCCGCGCAGGTAGCACAGGAGGTGACTGTAGGCCTCGTAGTTCTGGGTCAGGCGCAGTTTGTCATTGAGACTCCGCCACACGTCCAAGTTGACGGTGGCCCTGGGCAGAGTCTCGGCACCCAGCCGAGGCGGGTTGAAGTCCGGTTCGTTGAAAGGGGGGCCCAGGTAGTTCAGCTGCGGAAAGGAGAGGGCGGTGGGCAGGGGGGAGGGCGGCGGGCTCCGTGCCGCCTCCCCCGGGGCTCTCCAAGGGCGGCCTGTGCCGGGAGGTGCTGGTTGAAGCTGCGGGGGTGTCCCGCGTGGAGAGGTGCAGAAAGAGGAAACCCCACAGGCGGGCCGCAGTGCTGCTGGGCTGTGGGTGCCAGCCTGGGGAGAGGCGCCCGGGCAGGGCAGAGAGGAAGAGGAGGCCGGGGGCCCGGCTGCAGAGGTAGAAGTGCCCCAGGAGAGCGCAGAGCCAAGAAGAGGGGTTCAAGGAGGCAGCAGCGGTCAAGAGTGGCTGCAAAATAGAGACGAGCCTTAGAGGTGCCGGCGGGTGCCTGCGTCGGGCCGGACCCTTCCCAGGGCCTGGAAGCCAGATCGCAGGGGGTTAAGGAGCGAGTGGGTGGAGAGGAAGTGGAGGCAGAGGCTGGAGACTACTCCTGCGAGAAATTTGGCAGGGAGAGCCAGGCGCAAAAAAGGGTCGGGAACTAGAGGGGTAGCGGAGTCCAGCAAAGGTCGGGGGGAGCCAGGAGAGAAGGGCGGAGGGGAGAGCGAGGGAGCGGCTGTGGCATCAGGACCAGCCGCCTCCTTCGCGGTCGGAGAGCCCGGGGTCCCCAGCAAGCACCCCCGGACGGGTCCCCGGGAGCTGTGGCAGCGGGCAGAAACTGAGGCAGGCGCCAGGGCTGGGCAGGAAGCAGGGAGGGGAGAGGACAGCCCTGCCAGCCCTCCCGGGAGAGGCTGGGGGCCCAGGGAGCCGGTGCAGGGGCGAGGCCTGGGCTAGGCAAGGGCCCAGGGGGAGGTTCACACGCTGACAAGCGGAGAGACAAACTAATTTCCTCGGTGTATCCTGGGGCCCCAGCCAGCTCCCCCGCCGCCTCCCCCTTCCTTCGCTGGCTCTGGAGTAGGGGTTGGGATGTGGAAGGCGAACACGGGAAGAGGGGCCGTTCCCCGCGGTCCGCGGCAACCCGGACCCTCCTTCCTCCTCTCCTGGGCTCTCTGGGCCTGTCGGGGCCCCCCGCCGCCGCTCCCCGCAGACCCCTTCCCCCAGAGCCCCCTTAGGAGGCCCAGCTGGGACGGGAGCGGCAGAGGGAAAGGGAGGCCCAGGGGTCCGGAGCAGCAGGGCCCCAGGTCCGGGGCAGAGGCGAGCTGGAACACAGGCAGGGGGTGGGGCCCCCCATCCCCACCCAGCCCCACCCGTGCAAGAGACACCACAACACGGTGTAAACAGAGGAGACTTCCCCGGCCCCCAGGGGGAGGCGGGCGGCTGGGCCGGCAGCCAGTGGGGCAGTGGGCCAAGGCGGGTGCGAGGCCTGCCCACATGCCTGGTCCTGGGGCCAGGCGTGGGGAAGAGGGGGGCACCGGGGGGGATGGGCAGGAGCAACCTCAGACCTGAAGGCTGCTGGGCCCCCTGCTGCTCACCGGGACCCCCACCTTGATCCCAAGGCCGACTCCTCCCGCCCCTCCCTCCCCCAGCTGCCCCGGGTACTCACATAGGTCCCGGCCAGGCTGCGGAGTTGGTGCTCCAGGTAGCGGGTGAGGTCGTAGGTTTTCTGGATGGAGGGCCCGGGCCCAGGGTCCCCAGTGCGGTTGAGGGCCGGCACCGCGGGGAGGTGCCAGAGCACAGTACACAGGCAGGCGAGCACCCCCCACGAGTCCCCTGGGGATGGACAGGACAGGATGGCAGCGTGAGAGCGGCTGGGCCGGCGGGGGGAGGCAGCTGGCAGCACCTCAGGTGTCTGTCCCCACCTTGGGCGGGAGGCGGCGGGAGGGAGGGAGGGTGGGACGCCAGATGCACGCGGAGGGGGTGGAGGAGGGGAGCGTTCCTGGCCCCAAGTGTGTGCGCACAGAGGCATGTGTCTGAGGACAAGGACTTGGCCTGTGTGCGCGTGTGCACGTGTGTGCACGTCTGGCCGTATATCATGGGGAGCACATGCGTGTCGGCTGAGAGAGGTCACGGTCTCGGTGCTGACACCGGGGGGCGGGGGGCGGGCTGGGCACCCTCGCTCAGTGCTCCTGGCACCCACAGCTGGAAGGGGACAGTGGCGGGAAAGGGGGAGGAGGGCGTAATGGTGATGGCAGCGAGCAGGTGGAGGTGACACAGGGCTCAGAGCAGTGAGGAGGGAACGTTCTCGGCCTCAGCAAGGGCGGGGGGGGGGGGGGTCTGCCCTGGCCTTGGCTGGGGCATGGCCGGAAAACCAGCAGAGCTGCATGAAGCCCCTGCGTTCGGGCAGAAGAGCAGAGGAGGATGGGGGAGGGCCGGAGCTGGGTCCCCAGCAGGGCAGGGACTGTGTTGCTGAAGATTGAGGGGAGGGGGGCCCTAACTTGCAGGAAGCCAGAGCTCCCCGCTCTGAGGGATTCAGACTGTTCCCTGCCCGCTGGAGGTCCAAGGTCAAGAGCACTAGGCCAGGAGCTGGGAGCAGTGAGGCGGGGCTCTCTGAGGCGGCTTCGCGATTCTGCGAAAGCTTCAGGTTGCCTTGGTCTGGGGATTTGGCTGGCTGAGGTTTGAGGTTAGAGTCCAGCTGGGGGATGCGGTTAGGCCTGGCGGGGCCGCCGCGCTCTTAATGGAGATGTGGGGGGGCGCCTCCGCGGCAATGCCGGAGGTGTGGGGCCCGGGCGCTTTCTGTCCAGTTCATATTCTAAACGTGCAGGTTTCGGCAGTGGCACCAGCCGGCCGCGGGTTAGCGGTTCCGACAGCAGCAGCCCCGCTCTCAGGCTTCCCGCCCCCTGGAGAGAGGGTGATCCTGGGGGCTGCCTGGCCTCCCACGGCCCATGCTGAGGCTAAGGTGGGAGCAGGTGCTACGCGGCCCCTCCGAGTCGTGAGCCCCTTTCTGCAGGCCACTGTCCCGCCAGCCCTCCGCCGACCTCTGCACGCGAGCCCCGGCTGCCCCATGGCCTGGCCAGGGCACCGCGCCAGCTCCTGGCTCTGCGGGACAGCTCGGGGCTACCTCTGGAGGTACAGGATCTGCCTGGGGAGCAAGGGGGCGCGGCCCTGGCCGCCCTAAGGAAGCTCTGGGGCTGCAGGGTGCCCTGGCCCACACTGAGTGGCAGTGCCCACGGCCCAGCTGCCGGGCACCCTGCCCCTGAGTTCTGGGGCCAGACTCTGCCTAGCCCCGGCACCCAGCTCTGAGCCCTGTGGGACATCCCTGGGGAGGGCTGGCCCCGGGGCGCAGGGACAGCAGGGGGAGAAGCCTTTGGATAAACAAGAGCTAAGTCATCTGGGCAGAAAAACGGCTCGTGAAATTAACCAGACAAGGCCGGTGTTTCCAGGAATATTTCAGTTCTGAGGTAACTGTGTCACTGCAGGCTGGGGGTGGGGGGAACAGGAGGATCCGGCTGACCAGCAGGGAGAGCCCAAGACAGGGAAGGTGGCGAGAGGCAGTGGGAGGAGACACCAGGTAAGAGACTGGGACATGGGGGACGGGCACCACGACCCCCACCCGTGTCTTGGGGGCAGGACACCTGGGCCGGGTGTCAGCTAGGGCCCCCCAGCCTGCAGCCTCCGCCCTGTCCGGCCAGTGCCGTGCAGGTGGACCGGCAGCGAGAGGGGGGCGCTGGGTCCTGCACCCCTCCCCGCCTGGCCCCCTGCCCACCCCCGCCCGGCTCTGCCTCTGGCCGCTGCCCATGGATTGTTTACATCCCGGCTTCCTCTGTGTTTATAAATCCGCCGAGCACGTGAGGAGCTAATGAGTGCAGCTCACGTTTCCTGTTGCAGCCCCCAGCCCCCAGCCCGGCCCCCGCCCGCCGGGCCAGCCCCTAATTCCATCCAGATCCCGGGGCCCTGGGAACCGGCCCCCTCCTGCACACGCACTCAGCCCACGCATGCACCGGCACCCCCCACGCACACAGGTCGCGTGTCCGGGAACCGCTTCCCGCAGCTCTGGCCTGTGGCCCTGGGGCTGACCTCCCTGGGGGTGGGGGACACTCGCACCTGGCCCAGGGCGGGCCACAGGCTGCCTGTGTGGGGGTGCACCAGGACCAGCACCTGGTGTACTTGGGGGAGCCTGCCCAGGGGATGGAGGGGAGGAAGTGGTCCAGGGGACTTGCGGGGGAGACGGGGGGGGGGTGTTGCTACCAGGCCCACTGGAGAACCCCAGAGGCTCCTGGGGTGCCCCCTCCTGGCGTGGCCCCCAGAAAGTCTCCCTACCCTGGGCTGGCTGCCCCTTCCCTTAGGGTCACTTAGAGAGCCGGTGCGCATGGGTCTGGGCTGTCAGGGGCCCCCCAGCTTCCCGGGGCACCGGGGTGGCAGGGTGGGGGGCCTGGGCGCGCCCAGCTGGGGTTCCGCAGGCGCTGCCCTCCAGCCGACCCCCCTCTCCTCCAGACTACGGAGCCCAGAGCAGCCTGAGGCCCAGGGAAGGCGGGGGCGCCCCCAGCCCGTGAGGCGGGAGCTTCCTGGGGTTCCTGACTGAGGCTGCAGAGGTGGCAGCAGCCGGCGCCGGCGCCGCCGGGAGGGCAGGGCAGGGGAGCCCGGGCGGCGTGGGTGCTCTGAAAGGGTGCTGTTATCCCGCGGCGTGGGAGGCGGGCGCGGGCGGCCCGGGCAGGTGGGACTGGGCAGGAATGTGAAGTGTCACAGGCGGCCGGCAGGTCGAGCACCCGGCTGGGATGGGCCGCGGGGCGGTGGGCAGTGCCCGTGCCAGGCCCCGTGCCAGCCTCTCGCCCCCTCTCACCGGGCTCCAGTTCCGCTCCCCTCCCGGGAGGCCCCTGCTGCCCCGGGGGCCAGCGGCGGGGCCGGGGGTCGGCGCGGGCTTCCGGAACTCGGCGCGGCGTCCCGAGCTGGACGCGGGACGCGGGAGGAGCCGGCGGGGGACCCCTGGGGACCCCGCGGCGCCCCGGCCCGCGCCCGCCGGCTCTCCCCGCGGGGCGGCGGGGGCGGGTCCGGGCGCGGGGCTCGGCCGGGCCGCTGCCCGGTTCCCGCCGCCCCCGGGCCGGCCGGGCCGGGTCGGGTCGGGCCGCGGCGGCCGGGCCGGCCGGGCGGCGCCCGCGCCCCCCGCGCCGATCGCGCCCCGGCCGCGCCGGGCCGAGCCGGGGGTCCCGGCCGCCGCCGCCGCCCTACCTGCCGCGCGGCCCGGCCCGGCCTCCTTCCCGCGCTCCGCCGCGGCCCGGGTGGCGGCCTCCCCCGCCGCCGCCGGCCGCCCGCGCCCGCCGCCCGCCGCCGCCCGGGCCGGGCCGCCGCGCGCTCCAGGTGGCGCGGGGCGGCGGGCGGGCGCCTCGTACCTGCTCGGAGGTCCATGGGGCCGCGGCCGCCGCGCGGCTGCTCTCCCGGAGGCGGGCGGAGTGGAGCCGCCGCGCTCCGCGGAGCCTTAATAAGCCCATCCGCCAGGCCCACTCGCAGGTTTTTTTCGCTCGGTTTCGGATTTTTTTTTTCGGTGTGGGACATTCTGCAAACTTTTTTTTTTTTCTGACGTGTAAAGCCGTAACCACAAATTGTAGCGGCCCTCCCCGGGGTGGGGGAGGCGGGGGAGGAGGAAGGGAGGGCTTCTGGGGCTCCTCTCCCTCCCGCTGCACCGAGGGGGGGTGAGGTGAGGCGAGGCGGCGCGGTCCCACCCTGGGCCTCCTGCGGGCGCCCCGGGGGCGGGGAGGGCATCCCTCGGTCTGCGAGCCCGGGAGGCGGGGCGCCGCCCCGGCCTCCGCGCCCCCCGGGGTCCCCTGCCGACCCGGGGGGTCCCGCGGCACCCTACCTCAGCCTCCCGTGGCGAACCTTCCTCCCTCCCGCCCCTCCCCCGAGAAAAGGCAGTGACACATTTCCCAGATGCCAGCTAGCCGGCCTCCAGCGGGTGATGGTGTTTTTCCTGCTGCCCTTTGTCTGGGCTGACCCCCCCAGCCCCCGCCCTATTGTCCCTCCGCCTGTCCCCTTTCCAAAAGCTGGGCCGGGGCAGGTGACTAATGCTGGGGCTGGGCGGGGGGAGTGGGGGAGGCGGCGGGAGAGGGCAGCACGGGGCTGGCCGCGGGTCACAGGGCTGCCCTGTCCGGGGCAGGACTCGGCGGCGGCGGGGGCCTGTCATTCATTAATCAGTGAGGCTTCGCGGTGACTCACCCGCGCACTGCCCGCGAGGCGATGGACACACTCAGACTCAGCCCCGCTTCGCACATCGCTTCCCCGTCCACGCTGGGCGGGCCGCAGGGCCTTCGCCCAGCCCCCTCCTGCCACAGGCCTGGGTGGGGACCTGCCGGGCAGGGCTACCTCGGGGACCCCTGAGCCTGGACCCTCCCTGGAGTTCTAGGGCCGCCCCCTTCCTCCCTCTCGGCCGAGCAGGGCAGACAGAGTGTGGAGGAAGCGGCCAGGGGGAGACAGGCCCACGTCCCCACGGGGCGGTCACTCGGTCCCCGAGGCCGGCTGGGTCCCTGGCGGCGTCTGTAGATTATTGGTCCAGGGCTGGCGAGGTGGGGCGGGTTACCTGGAAGCCGGTCCCTCTGCTGCTGCGGGGGGGTGGGGGGACCCCCCACTTGCCCCCCTCCAGCTCTGCCCGCGCCCCTGGGCCCGAGGCGGGGCCTCGGTGGTCATGCCCGGTGCTGGGCTCCCGGGCAGCCTTCCCTCTCCTCACTGTGAGAACTGGGGGGTGGGGGGGTGGGGAAGAAGTTTGTTTTCAATTACCTCACTGGAGTGGGGCAGACTTTGTTGTTGGCGGTTTTTCCCCTGCTTGCCTGCTTTCCCCTGAACACGAGAGAAAGCTGGGAAGGCGAGCTGGCCGGGGGCGGGCGCCCGCCCGGGGTGGGGGGGACCCCCGCCAGCCCACCCACCGGACCTGCGGGACAGTGCTCTGAGTCCCAGCCGTGGTGCAGAGGCCCGCGGCCGGCGGGTGCCCAGAGGCTGAGCGGCACTAGGCTGGCCGGCCTGGCGGCCACCTTCTGGGCAGGAGGGAGCCCCGAGGGGCGGGGGAGCCTGCAATGTGGTTTGGATTTGGCCGAGCCCCTCCGCACCTTATAAAGCACCTTGCTGAGTCAGAGAGAAAGCAGCCCCGCCGGCCGGCCGGAGGGGGCGGGGAGAGACCCAGGCTAGGCAGGGAGGCGGGGGCAGCGTGCAGGGCTGGGGGGTGGGGGCTGTCCCGGAGCCTCGGGAGCACCCGGGTGCCGGCACGTGGGCTGCGGCTGGAAATGGGGACCCAGGCCAGGTGGGTGTGGGGACCTTTAGCTTTCCACATGGCCCCTGGCACGAGGCCGCGACCCCAGCAACCGGGAGAGTCATGTTCTCCCGCGGCCTCTCGCCTGGGCTTGCACCCCGGCCCTCTCCCCTCACCCAGGGGGGCCAGGCCTCTCCCCTCCCCCTCGGCCCCACTGCCAAGGGGAAAATCAGTCCTCTCTCCAAGCGCCCATGCCCTCCGCCGTGTCTGGGCAAAGGCGGCAGGCTAGGAGCTGCCGGGGTGGGGGGCAGGGGGATGCCTTTATGCTGCCAAGTGCAGATGGGGGGTGCGCTATGGGCAGAGCGGACGCCACAGGTGACAGACAGGCGGTGGGGCGGGGAGGGGGGGCACTTGCCCCCTGAGCCCCAGGCACTTCTGTCTTGTGGCCCTGGGAAGGACTGAGAGGTCAGGAGGTGGCAAGGGACATCTGTCGGGAGACCACCAGAGGGAGAGGTGGGCGCATGGGCACGGCCGGGACAGCCAGGTGCCCCCTCCCCCTCATGGTGGCTACATGTGAGCACAGGAGGGCACTGCCCTGTGCCTCACCAGCCTGGCTAGGGGTGTGGCTGGGAGGGCTGGCCCCAGGTGATGACTGAGTGGCCCTCCATGGGGGTGGGGGTGAGTCAGTGTTGGTGTGGGATGGGCGCCGGCCCACCCTCCCTGGCCCCAGAGCTGCCACTCCAGGGATGTGCACGGGGCCCTGGGCCCAAGTCCTGCTCCCAGGAGGGGGATGCTTCTGCCCCACAAGGCTGCCTCCCTCAGTCATTGTCATCATTCATTCCCTGCCTCTGCCACTCCCGTGGATTCAGCCCAAGTAGTCACACGAAGCTCTCCCGCGTTTCCTGGGACCTCCTAGAGGGGCTGGATCACCCCAGGTTTCCAGAGGCACAGCCAGACTGGGGTGCTCACACCAGGACCGTTTGCCCTTCGGACCACAGGCGCAAACCAGGGGGCACCCACTCAGGGACGTGCCCAAGGGGAAGGACTTAGCTGATGTGCAGACGCCCCCCCCCCACGCACTCTTGCCCCCAGCTGGCCAGTCTCCGAGGACATGAGGAGTGTCCCCCACCACTGCTCCACATGGGCTGATGGTGTGGCCACCCCCCACCTCCCAGATCCCTCAGTAGCCCTCCTGGTTCCCTGCCAGGGGCAGCGCCCCCTCCCCCCGGGCCCTCCTGGGAGGCATCTGGAGGGCATCAAGGGCAGGGGGGAGCGGCTCGCGGGCACTTTCCCTTTCCCGTGGTGCCCGGGAGCCCCGGGCCTGCCTCACCCGGAGCTGGCCGTGACATCAGCGGAAACCCCGGCCGCCTCCTACCTCATCAGCGCCCTACCCTACCGTGCCTGCGCCTCCCACCCACACCTGCCCCCAGGACACCGCGCCCTCCGGCCCCGGCCCGATGCCGCCTCTCCCTGCCCTCCTGGCAGGGCCCGGCTGCCAGCTTGTCTGGGTGACGGGGCTACCCCGCGCGGCTCCTCCCTTGCCCTGGTTCTCCCAGGATGTTCCGTTGCCCAGGCCAGCCCACGCCGCGGGCTCCCTGACTGTCTCCTCTGGCAGGAAAGCGGGGAAAGTGGGGTTACCTCTCCCTGGGCTGTGAGATCTTATCAGCCCTGAGTCACGGCAGCTCCTCCTGCCCCATCCGCCCCTGCCTCCTTCCCGGGCTGTCCCCCACTGGCCGGGCTCAGAGGTCTGAGCTCAGGGGGTGCCATCCCTGCCGGAGGGGGCAGACGGGGGGCCAATAGCACACCGGCCATGCTCTGGCCTCTCCATGTCCTTTTCTGCACCCCCACTCTGTCTACCTGACCACGTGCCCGGTTCTTTCCACCGATTCCCACGCCCCCCACTTCTGCTCCCACCCCAGGGTCAACCCAAGACAGGGGACCCACTCCTCGGTTCGGACTGAACAGGCTGCAGCTCCTGCAGGAAGAGGGGTGCAGCCCCTGTGGGCACTCAGGCTCCATCCACAGGACACAGTGAGGGGGTCTCTGAAGGGCTGGACAGAAGTGGGGTGCGACGGGGCCTTAGTTGCACGGCAGGGAGGGTAGGCACCCGCCTTAGTCGTGGCTGACCCATGTGCAGTGAGTGACCCCTGAGCACCACGTGGTGTGGCCCCAAAACTGAATAAAACAAGAACTCGAGGGTCCCAGAGGGGAGGCAGCTGACCTGGAAGTGAAGTTGTGGGGAGCTGGCCGGCAAGCCTGGGGACCAGAGACCCCCAAGCCTCCTCTGGCGGCCGGAAGCATGATGGCCAGAGCCACCTCCACTCTGCTGCCGGGTGCCCGGCACGGAGCTGGGCGCAGGCCTGACCTGGGCAGAGCCGCGGGCCCCATGGGCCCGGGAACACGATGGCCGTGGTGTCTGTCTCCCTCTGCTGGTCCCTCAGGGGACAGCGCGGACAGCGAGCGTCTCCCAGGGGGGTGCTGGGCAGGGTGGGGGTGGGACGCTCAGGCACCCGAACACTGCCGCCTGGGGTCCCGAGCCGGAAGCCAGCCTCTGCCAGGGGCCCCGAGGGGTGGTCTTGAGGGGGCCAGGTTGCCCTCCCCCCAGCCCCCCGGGGCCAGGAGGCCCCAAACAGCCTCCTTCCCTTTCTAGCCATGAATGGAGCTGTCATCCACGGATTTATCTAAACCTTTTGTGAAGCTATTTATACTCCCAGCCGAGCCCACATCTTGGGGTAATGAGTTCCATCGGCGTCCCCCCCGCTGGGCGAAGCACACTGCCTTTGATTCGCCCTAAACTTACCTCACTTGCGCTCCGAGGGGGCCCTGGAACTCCAGCGTGCCAGGTTCTGGGGGACTGGCCGCCTGCCGCAGCGAGCATTCCAGCCGTGCCCACAGAAACCTGCCCGGACGTGGTGGGCGCAGACCCCTGCCCCGTGCCCGCCCCCGCAGCCCGTGCCATAGATCAGGGCACGAGATGGAGGGGGCTGCCGCATGGCGCGTGCCGGGGTCCTGGCCTGCCCGGGCTTCTGGACTCTGTCACCCACACTGGTGACTGGTCGTTTTAGGGGGCACCCGGGCGGTCCTCTCCTGGCAATCTGGGCCAGCCAGCCTGGCAGTTCAGGACAAGGTCCTGGGGCCTCCGTGTGTCTCAGGCCTCAGACAGGGACCAGCAGGACCACCCTAGCAGTACTCGGGGGGCCACATGGCGTGGAGGATTGAAGCATTGGGCGCACACAGCGCCTCTGTCCCTGGGCCCTGCCCCGCCCTCGGTCACCCACACTCAGGGCCCTCTCCCCTCCACAGGGGAAACTGCGGCTCAGATACCAGCCCAGCCCTGCGTCCCCAACTGTGTCAGCGCCCCGTCACCACTCCAGGCATTTCCGAGGCCGGTTGCCCCCTGGCATCTGCCCAGGTGGGAGCCACTGTGTTGAGCCAGGCTGTGCCACCCTTGGGGTGGGCCAGGCACCACCAGGTGTGTTTCCAAGACAAACGAAGCAGAAGGGTCCGGGTGTGTGTGTGTGTGGGGGGGGGGGGCGTTGCCACAGCGAGAGATAGTGGGAGGGAAACTTGCCCTCTGTGCCTCACACATGGCGATCCAGGTTCAATCCCCGCTAGGAGTAATTCCTGAGTGCAGAGCCAGGGGGTAGCCCTGAGCACCCCTGGGTGTGACCCCCCCCACCCCGCCTAGGATCTGGGAGGCTGATGCAGGACAGCACCCGACCCAGCCCACTTGTGCTGTCCACTAGGTCTTACGGCTCCCATGCAAGTCAAACTGGAGTGAACCCAAACTCTGCCTTTGACCTTTGAGTGACCCCATTCGGGCAAAGCCCCAGCCACGAGCGATCCCCCTCGGCTCCACCAGGGCCAGGCACGTCATCCTGCCCGTTGGCTTGTCTCCACCTTCAGAGCGCCGCTGCTTTCAGGAAGACCTCCCTGACCGGGTTCTCTGGACATCTCTTCTCAGATGCGGGATTTCTCAGTCACGGTGGTGCCGTCTTGCCTCAGCACCTCCCCTGTTCCTGCCTCTTGCTTGTTCGCGGCATCTCAGGGTGCTTCTGCACACCCGCCTCTCCGCCTGGAGCAGCGGCTCCCCCAGATGTCCTCACCTCCTTCCAGCCTTGGCTCCCGGCCAGCCTGCTCAGCGGGGCACACTGAGCACCTCCCCCGCGGCCAGCAGTGACCCCCACCGACACCATCGTGTCATTCTCGCCAGCGAGCAGATGACAGCACGTCCGCCGCAGATGGTTCCCCGTTCTGAACGCCTGACTTACGACCTTTCAGCGCCACACTGCAGAGTGAGTCAGTAGAAACCGCATCTCAAATTTTGTTCATTCAGCCCCACCCAGCGGTGCTCAGTGACTGCCCCCAGCCCTATGCTAAGGGTTGCTCCAGGCGGTGCCGGCAACCAAACCCGGGCACTCAGCGTGTGCCCAGCTCACTGTGCCTTCTCTCGGGGGCCCCCTCACCTCTAACCTGGAGTTTGTTTTTTTTTTAATCTTCTGGGCCAGACCCAGCTGTGTTCAGCGCCTAACCCTGCTTCCCACTCAGGGATCACCCCTGGTGCTGCTTGGGCAACCAGCCACGCGGGGTGCCAGGAATGGAACCCGGCGCAGAAACGTGCCAGGCGTTCTCGCTCCATACTCCATACACCTCAGATTTTGAGTTCTGATATTTGCCAAGTAGCTAGACATGGCGGGGGGGGGAGGGGTGGTGGTGGTCTGGTGAGCAGGACAGGGCAGTGGGGACCAAACCCCCCCTGCCCCAGAATGGAACCAGCTGGTGTGTCACTCAGGGTGTGACCCCGTTGTGACTTGGTCTGAGCATCCAGGAGTCTGACATCAGACCTGCCCATCTAGAAGTGGAAAGGAAAGAGATTTCCCAGGAATAATTAATTCCTAAGTAATAACATTCAAAATGCTTGAAATGAGAGCCAGAGCACCACCAGCCGCTCCCACAGCACAGTAATCACGATGGGGGCTGGAGCCATGGTATGGGGGAGGGCGCCTCCCTACACACGGCCCACCTGGGTTTCGATCCCTGGTACTCCATAGGTCCCCCGAATACAGAGCCAGGAGCAAGCCCTGAGCACTGCTGGATGTAGCCCCCACACCCCAAAATGTAGAGAATAAATAAAATAATCGCAGCATTTTCAAACAGTCGTACCCTCCTCCTCTGTTTCCCATCTGCCACCCCCCACATCCCAACAGGTGGGGGTCACCTCTATTGTGGGGGACAGGAACGGTCAGACCTTGGGGCCTGAAAGAATCCTCCTCCAACACTAGTGCTTCACCCCAGGAGAAACTGAGGCCCCAAGACCGTGGCTGCCATCTGTGCAGTGCTGGGCTACACCCTTGTCACTGCAGCCCCCACCCCGAGTCGTGTGCATTGCTGTACCCGTCTCATGCGGACAAGGGGCTAGCATGAGGACAGGAGGGAGGGAGCTTGCCTTGCACACGGCCAGCCCGGGTTCGATCCCCAGCACCCGTATGGCCTCCCAAGCCCGCCAGGACTGGTCCCCGAGTGCAGAGCCAGGAGTAAGCCCTGAGTACCACGAGGTATGGCCCCAAACAGGTCCTTCCTGACATCCACCAAGTGCCTCCCTCGGGGACAAAAAGGCCGTGTGCCCAGGGCAGGCTGGGGGACAGCCTCCACTCACCACACAGCCCAGCGACAGCTGTGGAGCAGGGAGGGCACGCGTGCCCTGGCCAGTGCCAGGCGGGCACTGCCTGGGGCCAATGAGCTGGCGCTGAGCCCCTGCACGTGGAAGGCACCAGAAAGCCAGGCCCCACTCCTGCTTCTGCAGCCCCAGCCCTCCGCAGGGTCAGCCAGTTCCCGCCACACTGTGTGCGCCCGACTGGGACTCCGCAACCATCTTTCTGACTCCCTTGTGTGGCTGTGACTGTGTGTGATTGTGTACAACTCTTAAGAGTGTGGCTCTGTCCGGATCGCTTAATGTGCCACTGTGTGGTGTGGCATTTTGTTATGTGCCTCTGGCCCGTGTGGTTACAGCTGTGACTATGCTCGTGTGTGACTGTGATACTGTTGGCTTGTGTCTGTGTGCGACTGTGTAGTTCTTTGTGTGGGGGTGTACCCATGTGCTGTGGCTGTGGCCGATTGTTTGTGTGCGATCTTGTGTATGTCCGTGGGGCTCTACCTTTTGTGTGACTCTGTAACTGGTCTGTGTAAATGCGACTCTAGGGCTGTAACTGCCCGTCATTATGTGACCGTGTACAGCTGTGGTTCCGCTGGTTGATGGAGATGCTTAGCCTCATCAGGCAGAGTCGGAACAACAGTACAGCGGGGAAAGCACTTGTCTTGCACACGGCTGCCCCACGTTCATTCCCAGGCCCCGCATATGGTTCCCTGAGCTCAAGCCAGGAGTGAGCTCTGAGCACCCTGGGGATGGCTCCAAAACTAAAGAAAAACCCCAACTTCTTCCCCTGACCCCAGCCTTGTCAAATCCTCCAGGTCAGGCCCAGGGAGAGAGCTCCAGTTGGCAGCTGACCCTGGCACCTCAGGCACCTCAGGCCCAAGCACTATTGTAGCGAGTGAGTGGGCCTGGCCTCCGGGGCACCGCTGGTGGTGACCCCTGCAAAAGTTCCCTAGAGCCCAAACATGCCAGCGCAGAGACACCAGCGGCCGCTCCCAGCTGCCCTGCCCCTGCTATGCTGGGTGCGTGGCACCGCCAGGGAATGCTGTGGGCAGAGGCCCAAGGCATTCCCTGAGCCCCGGGGGAAACCAGGGATTGACCGGCTCTCGGCCCTCCTGCATGTGGCAGAGGATGCGGGGCAGGGCACTGCCACCGGGAAGTTGGGGCTGCTCAAGCCTTGGAGCAGGGGCTTCCTGCCACTCATCGCTGGGTCGAGACTCCAAGACAGCGCTCGCCTGTCAACCCCGACGGACACAGCTGGCGCCTCTGAGGACCAGGTGGCGGGCAGCATCGGGATGGACAGGCTCCTACCCTCTTGAGAAAACATGTGGTGCGGCATGTGAAATCAGTAACCCCAAGGATGAAACGACCAGAGCAGAGTCAGCAGGTGGGTTCAGCTGATGCAGAGCCCCGCCCGGAGGAAGAGCCTTCCGGGAACTGCACATGGCAAGATCCCCAAAGATCCCAGGGGCGGAAGGACAGAAGGCAGCCAGTTCCGATCTACAAAGGGAGGAGATTGGCCTTCCAGGTCATGAAGTAATTGACAACAAGCTGGGGGCAAACCTGCCGGGCTTAGTGCCCGGGACAAGCCCTGCCTAGAGACGCAAGGAGACACAGCGGCAGGCTGTTCGCAGGGATGGCCCTGGCATACCGGCGAGGCTGGGGTCTGACTGACTGCCCGGATGGGCGGCCCCATCTCCACCGTCCAGTGTGTTAGGGAAGGCTGAGGCTGCGGTGGGAGAGGCCTGAGGTAAGTGGAGGAAGGACTAGAGCTGCAGGGCTCGAGCTGCCGGGCAGCAAACTGCGTCCTCCCAGCGAGGTCAGAACAGCCCGAAAGGAGGAAAGCGAAGCCTCTAGGCCCCGGCGGAACTTCCCGTGGTTCTGAAACTCAGGTCCAGAGCCCTTCCAGGATTTCCCTTCCACCCTCACCGCACGAACTGGAATCCCGGTTGGCGGGGGTGGGGAACCCGCCCAGCGACTGGACCCCTCTTCCTCTTGCAGTCCCAGCCACAGAAGCATCCGTCTGCCCTCATGAGCGTTTCCAGCGCTTCCTTCAAGCGCCCCTCTTCAGTCGGCAGGCCCGGATCCAGTCCCCCGCTTAGGGCTGAGCCCTTGCTCCCCAACTCCCGCGTTCCCCCCTCCCGCCCCGGCCCCCCAGCATCGGTCCCGGGAGGTCCGCCTGCGGTCCAAGGTCACCGCCCTCCCACCTCGGGGTCCTGCCAGCGCTGCTTTCCGTCCCGTCCCAGAGCTCTTGGCGGCTGCCTGGGTCCGAGTCCCGGCGGGGGGTGGATACGGACGGTCTGAGCAGGACCCCGATCCCAGGCTGGCACGGCCCGAAGGAAGGGCACTGCGGGTCGAGCCCCGCGCCTGGGATCCGCGCGGCCCCGGCCGCCCGCGTCACGTGACGGCGGCGCGCCGTGTCACGTGAGCCGGGCGCCGGGCGCGAGCCAATGAGCGGCTGGGGGCGGGTCCCGGGCGGCGCGCGCGAAGGGAACGGGGGTCTCGGCGGCCGCGGGCCGGGCTCGGCAGCATGAAGTGTCTGGTTGCCGGGGGCAACGTGAAGGGTGAGTGGGGGTCGGCCGGCCGGGGCGGGGGCCGCGGGGCACCAGCCTAAGCCCCTCTCCGCTCCGCTCCCGCAGTGCTCGGCAAGGCGGTCCACTCCCTGTCCCGGGTCGGGGACGAGCTCTACCTGGAGCCTCTGGAAGACGGGGTGAGGGGCCGGGGACCACCGAGGGGGCGCCCAGCAGGGAGCCCCACCGTGGGGACAGCCGCCTACAATGGGCAGGATGCTGAGAGCACGTGGGCAGCGTCTTCCCAGCGGGGGCAGGGGGGGTAGTGCCGGCGGGTAGTGGCGGGGGACTGCAGGGCAGAGGGCCCCCAGGGGAGGCTGCAGGAGGAGCTCCCCCCAGGACCGGGCCAGGGCCGGTGGTCCCTGACAGTCCCTGACCCGCTTCTCCGGCCCAGCTCTCCCTGCGCACCGTGAACTCCTCTCGCTCGGCCTATGCCTGCTTCCTCTTCGCGCCGCTCTTCTTCCAGCAGTACCAGGCGATCACCCCCGGCCAGGACCCCCTGCGCTGCAAGATCCTGATGAAGGTGAGGGCGCTCGCGGCAGAGCTGACAGGCAGACGCACAACAGGCACACATGCGCACAGACATCACACACAGACACATCACACACGTGCAGACACAGGAGCCACACACATGCACACACAGACACTCAGAAGCCACAGACCTGCCATACACAGATACAGCACAGGCGCAAACATGCATGCAGACACGCCAGACACGCCACACACACATACACATACATACACAGACACAGGAGCCGCACACATGCACATGCATGCCACAGACCTGCCATACACAGGTACAGCACAGGCACGCACAGGCATGCAGACACGCCACACACACACACCACACACACACACACTCATGCACACACAGGAGCCGCACACATGCACACACATACACACCATACACATACACAGACACACAGAAGCCACACACATGCATACGACAGGCCTACCATACACAGACACACCACAGGCACACACACGCATGTAGACACACTACACAAACACACCCCACACACATGCATACACCAACCCACACAGACACACAGGAACCGCCCACATGCATACCACAGACCTACTATGCACAGATACACCACAGGCACACACATGCATGCAGACATGCCACACAGACACCGAGGACACACATACATGCATGTACATGCATACCACAGGCATACACATACATGGAGACACGCCACACAGGCACACCACACACATCCATGCATACACAAATACATAGGAGCCACACACGTTCACACCACAGACATACTGCACACAGATACACACATGCATACGCAGACACACACATGCACACAGACACACATGCACACACAGGCACAAAAGAGCCATACACACGCATATAGACATACAGGCTCATGCATGCATGCACACAGGAGCCATGCACATGCATACTGACACATTGCACACACATGCCGTGCACACACAGTGTGCGTCCACGCACTGCCGCACACGCAGAGCTCTGATCGTGTTCCAGAAGCAGGAGAGGCGGTGGGAGCCCGAGGTGGAGGGGGTGTGGGTGGGGCAGCGGAGCCCGGGGGACACAGACACAGCTGGTCCCGTGTCCCCGCAGTCGTTTCTGTCCGTCTTCCGCTCGCCGGCTGTGCTGGAGAAGACGGTGGAGCGGTGTTGCCTGTCCCTCAACGGCCGGAGCAGCCGCCTGGTGGTCCAGCTGCACTGCAGATACGGTGGGTGGGCGCCTCGCGGGGCAGGGAGCGGGGCGCAGGGGCCCAGCCCACTGAGTCGTGTCTGCCCATCCAGGGGTGAGGAAGACACACAACCTGTCCTTCCAGGACTGCGAGTCCCTGCAGGCCGTCTTCGACACCACCTTGTGTCCCCACTTGCTCCGCGCTCCAGCCCGGTGAGCGCGTCAGGCCCCTCCGAGCCTAGTCCTGCCGCCTTGGGACCTCCCCGCCTCCCCGCAGGGTTTCTAGGCTCTTCCAGCTCATCCTGTCTCCAGGCTCGCCTCCGCCTTTGGGACTGTCTGCAGCCTGGCCCTGCCCATGGCCAGCACGCCGCAGACCCGCCCTCCCAAGCCCCAAAGAGCCCTTTGACCCTTTGCGCTGGACCTGGGAGCCTCTGGGGCCCCGGAACAGGGCAGCCTCCTCCCTCCCTGAGGGGCCAGGTGGGGGCTCTTGGGCCCGGAGCAGCTTGGAGGGGGTGGCTGCTTGTCTGCCTGTCCGCCAGGGGCTGGTTATTTGTCCCTTGGACAGGTGGCAGCTCACGCGGAGACCCTGAGCCGCCTGGCCTGGTCCCTGTCGAGGCTAGCTCTACGTTGGCCCCAGGAGGAATGCGGGGAGGCTCTTTCTTGACTTCTTTCTGCAGGCATTGGGGGCACCCCAGGGCCCCCGCCTACAAAGCATGTGCTCGCCCACTGAGCTCTTGGGGCATTTTTTTTTTTTGGTGTATTATTTTGGTTTTGGAGTCACACTACACACCTAGCAACGCTCGGGGATTACTCCTGGCTCTGTACTCAGGAATTGCTCCTGGTGGTGCTCAGGGCATCATATGGGATGCAGTGATCAAATGCAGGTTGGCCACATGCAAGGCAAATGCCCTCCCCGCCGTTCCATGTCCAGCCCAGCCTTCTTTTTTTTTCTTTTTGGGTCACACCCGGTGATGCTCAGGGGTTACTCCTGGTTCTGCGCTCAGGAAACACTCCTGGGGATGCCGGGGATCGAACCTGGGTCGGTTGCATGCAAGGCAAACGCCCTCCCTGCTGAGCTATCACTCCAGCCCCAGCCGTTTCTCTTCTAAACGCGGTTTTTTTCTCATCACTTCAAGCGTGCAGAAGGGCAGATGCCAGACTCTGCCCGTGTCCAGGAGGGCCCGGCCGGGGTGTGGGTCCCCCAAACCATACACCCCCCAGGCTGTTCTCCCAGCTGCAGACGGCCCCCTGCCTTCTCCGCTGCAGTGCCCTGGCAGTGTCTGCCCCCACGCCCCTCTGCAGGCTCAGCTGCTTGGACCTGGGCACTCATGTCCCAGCGCAACCTGGGGGGTGACGCTGCCCTTTCCCCAGGGTCCTGGCCGAGGCCATCCTGCCCTTCCCCCCGGCACTGGCCGAAGTGACGCTGGGCATCGGCGCGGACCGCAGGGTCATTCTGCGCAGTTACCAGGAGGAGGAGGCAGGTGAGGAGCGGGGCCGGGCGGGGACTCCAGAGCACTGTGGGGCACAGTGGGCCCGACTGCCTGTCTGCTGCCCCCAGACAGCTCCGTGAGAGCCATGGTGACCCAGATGAGCCTGGGGGAGGCCGACTTCCAGAAGCTGCAGGCCCAGGAAGGGGTGGCTGTCACTTTCTGCCTCAAGGAATTCCGGGTAAGGTGGCCCTGCCCGATCATTCCCTGCCCCATCACTCCCTGCCCCTTGGCCCTGCCCCAGCCACATCCCAGCCGCGCCCTCCTCTCCCCCAGGGGCTGCTGAGCTTCGCAGAATCAGCCAACCTGTCTCTGAACATTCACTTCGACGGGCCTGGCAGGTAACCCCCCCCCCAGCCTCCCTCTGAGGGTGACTGGGGGTCCCAACCCGAGCGGAGCTCCTGATTCGGCCCGGCCGGCCCAGGCCTGCCATCTTTGCCATCACAGACAACCTGCTGGACGGCCACTTCGTTCTGGCCACTCTCTCAGAGCCAGACCCTCCCCCCCAGGCCCTGGGCCCCTCGGCACCCCGCAGGTCACAGTCGCAGCCCCACAGGTGAGTGCTCCAGCCCCGCCGCGGACCCCGCGGACCCTCCAAACTCGTGCGCAGCCGCTGCGGGCCCCCCCCACCCCCCGGCACGCACGCACTTCCGGTCAGGCCCAGGCCCCACAGGCTCCGTCTTCCTGGTCAGCTGCGCAGACAGGCCCCCTCCTTCCCGGGAAGGGTCCCCCAGGGCGGGCCGCTTCCTCCTCAGGCAGAGGCCTCCCCTCGGAGCTGCCTCCCCAGCCAAGGCAGGGAAGCAGAGGGCTGGGGGGGCTGCAGGGGCAGGTGGGCCGGGAGGATGGGCCCAGCGTCGCTGCAACAGAGGAAGTCGGGCCTGGCCCCCCGCCCAGCCGCTCCCTGGGCCCCAGTGTTGGCCAACTCGGGTCCCCAGGGAAGAGGGAGGTTCGGGCCCCAGGTGGCCCAGCTCACAGGACTTGCCGCTCCCCTCCCCCGGCTGAGCTAAGCCTGGCCCCCAGGATGCCTCCCCCCACCTGAATTCTGATCAAAGGATTCCAAGCCCACCCCCAGCCGGGCCCCTGTAGGAAGCCGCCTGCATCCTGGTCTCCCACCAAATCAGGAAGTAATAAATGCAGAGCGCCGTGGCTGGGATGTGGGGCCCTGCCCCCCCGCACCCCTTCTCTCCCTGCCTGTAGCACGCCCAACCTGGATGACTTTGCCAGTGACGACATCGACTCCTACATGATCGCCATGGAAACGCCAGTGGGCAGCAGCGAGGGCTCCCTGGCACCTGACCTCCCGCGCCCCCACAACCCCAGCCCCCCCTCCGAGGAGGAGGAGGAGAGCGAAGAAGACGACGCAGAACCCAGCACAGTGCCTGGGACGCCCCCCACCAAGAAGGTCGGGAGCCGGCGGGCAGGCGGGCAGGGCAGGACGGGCGCGGGCGCCACGCTCATGGCGGCTTGTTCCCTCCAGTTCCGCTCGCTGTTCTTCGGCTCCATCCTGGGCCCCGCGCGGTCCCCGCAGGGCCCCACCCCTGTGCTGGCCGAGGACAGCGAAGGCGAAGGCTGAGCCAGCGCTACGGAGCTTCGTGTCCGGGCCCAGGGAGCCCGCCCTGGCGGCGGCAGCCCATGGCAGAGCCGGAAAGGAGCAGGCGGCCCTGCCTCCTCCCCCGACCCCCCGTAATCATGTCACAGGGAGCGCCCTCACCTCCGCTCCCCGAGAGTCAATCACCCGCTCCCCTGTCAGTCAATCACGAGCTGTCCTCCCCTCACGCCCCACACCCCTCTGGGGTGCGCTGTGGCCCCAGGTGTGGCCGGGGACATGGGAGTCAGTGGCCACGGTAAGAATCCAGCGCTGACATTTATTAGAGACCAGGTGGGCTGCCCCAGGCCCGGCTGCTGGCCCCGCGGCTGAGCAAGGCTGGACACCCACGTGCTGGCCTGCTGCGGCCACAGGTGCAGGCAGAGGGAGCCCAGGGACCGGACGCTGCTACCGACTCATTAAAAAAAGAAAAAATACAGCAAGGCTCCGTGTCCCGTGACGGGAGGGCCGGGCGCGCGCCCTTGCCGGCTGCGTGATTCCTGTACAACCCACCACCTGGGGCAGGGGGCGGGCACACACCAGCTATTTCTTGGCTTTGGCCGAGTTGCGGGGCGGGGTGATGGGGCGGCCGCCGGGGTTCAGGCCACTGAACTGCCCGTACTTCCCTTTGTTCTTGTCCGCTGGTTTGAGGATCTAAGACAGAGAGACCTGGTCAGGCGCTGGGCACACGGCCCAGGACCCCCGGCCCGCCTTCCCCTGCCCTGCCCACCTGGAAGGAACACATGAGCGTCTCATCCACACTCATCATGGCACCCGCGTTGTCAAACTCGCCACAGTAGTTGGGGGCTGAGAAGAGCGTCACCAGCTGCCGCTTGGCAAAGAACTCGTAGCCATCTTCCACCACCTGTAGGGAGGCCGTGAGCTCGGCGCGGTGGGCGGTGCACGCTGCCGCCCACCACCGGGGCCGCCACCTACCTGGTGTGCCCGGCAGATGAGGTCCAGGTCGTGTTTGTGCAAGAACTTGGCCACCACCTCGGCCCCGAAGGTGAAGGAGACGCCGCGGTCGTTCTCGCCCCAGCCCTGCACGTCCTTGTCGGGGTCGGACCAGAGCAGGTCGCACAGCAGCCCCTGGTCAGGCACGTCCGTGGGCCTCATGATGCGGCGGATCTGCTCCATGGACTGCAGGTCCGGGGACAGGCCTGGGGGGGGGGTACCAGGGACGGGTCACGGCCCCAAGCCCAGACCCCCGCCCCACCCGGCTGGAAGAGGCTGCAGCCGCCCTCACCTCCGTGGCAGCAGAAGATCTTCTCGTCCACGATGGCAGCGATGGGCAGGCAGTTGAAGCAGTCGGTGAAGGTCTTCCACAGCTTGATGTTGTAGCGCCGTTTACCTGCCCGCGGGGACGCCGGGCACGCGTGAGAGCGCGCCACGCCCCAGACACCCGGGGAGGTCGAGAAGGCACCCCCCCCCCCACGCCTCACCCCAAAAGTGGCACCTCGGGTGTGGCCCCCACGCTCCCCGAGGAGAGGCCCGACGAGGGCCAGGTCTGGCTCAGCCCCATTTTGGGCTGGCTGAGCTTGGACGAGCCAGGGTCCCCCCCCCACAAGTACTCAAATGAGGGGCACGGGAGGGCAGTGTCCCCTCCCCGGCCATCCTGTGTGCCAGGCGGTGTGATGACACCCGCGCACTGGGGCTCACATTCATCGTAGAAGCCGTAGATGCGGTTGATGCTGGCGCACTCGTGGTTCCCACGCAGCAGGAAGAAGTTCTCGGGGTACTTGATCTTGTAGGCCAGCAGCAGGCAGATGGTCTCCAGCGACTGCTTGCCCCGGTCCACGTAGTCCCCCAGGAAGAGGTAGTTGCTCTCCGGCGGGAAGCCCCCGTACTCGAACAGGCGCAGGAGGTCGTAGTACTGGCCGTGGATGTCCCCTGCGAGGGAGCCGGGCGCTGGGTGCGGGCGGGGCGGGAGAAGGGGCCGGCCGGGTGGGGCGGGGGGCGTTGGGGGCAGGGGCGGGGCGGCCCGCGCCGGGGACTCACCGCAGATCTTGAGGGGGGCCTCCAGCTCCAGCAGGATGGGCTGGCTCAGGAAAATCTCCCGGGACTTGAGGCACAGACCGCGGATCTCGTTCTCCGTCAGCTGGACATTCTTCCCAGGCCGCGAGCCCTGCACTGGGGGGCGGAAGAGGGCGTCGGCGGGCCGCGCGACTCCGGGGGTCCTCGGGGCACTGCCAGGGGCGCCGTGCCCCTCGTGCCAAGGGCAGCTGAGCCCGCGCCCCCGGGGCGATCCCTAACTTCCGCCCGGGCACTCGCGGGGGGCGTCGGCGCCCGGGGCGCGACCCTGCGGGGTGGGGGGGCCCGGGCTCTGGGGCGCGCCCGCCCGCGGTGGGGGAGGGGGCGCCGCGGGCTCTCGCGGCCCGTCCCCGCCCAGTCCAAGCTGGCCCTGGGAGGGGCAGGGCCGCCCGCGCGCCACTTCCGGGCGGGCCGGGGGCCAGGGCGCGGCGGGGCCACCCTCCCGCGCCCGCCCCGGCCCACCTTCCAGCAGGCGCCCGATGATAGAGTCCAGGTTGAGCTTCTCGCTGTCGGACATGGCGGCTCCGCCGCTCCGGCCCAGCAGCTCCGGGCCTGCTCCTGCCTCCCGCCCTCCCACCGCCTCCTTCCGGCCCGGCGCTCCTTCCGCCCCGCCGGCCCCGCCCCCTCGGCCGCCCGGGCCCGCCCCGCCCCGCCGGCCCCGCCCCTCGGCCGCCAGGCTCGCTCTCTAGCGCCGCCGCCGGCCGCCCGGCGCAGCGCTCGGGGCGGGGCCTCGGCGGAGGGCGGGGTCGGTGGGCGGGGCGCTCGTGGCCTCGCCCCGCCCGGCCGGAGCCCGAAGGGACCGGAAGGAGCGGGGAAGTTGTTTTTCACGCACGAAAGTTGCACAGCCCGGGGCTGGAGTGATAGCACAGCGGGCAGGGCGTTTGCCTTGCACGCGGCCGACCGGGGTTCGATTCCCAGCATTCTATATGGTCCCCCGGGCACCGCTAGGGGTAATTCCTGAGTGCTTGAGCCAGGAGTAACCCCTGTGCATTACCGTCGGTAATGCCACGGATTAAGTCAGCCAAGTGCAGAAAAAGGGAAATTGAGATCAGCGATAACGAGAGATGTGGCCATGCCTTCAACAAAGACCGCTACCTGCGTCCCCATCAGCCCTGCCCCACGCTGCCCTGTCCGCGGGGCATGTTCAGTTAACCTTTTATCAGTCCCATCCTTGCCTTTTGGACAGCATGATAATACCGTGATGCCTCAAAAATTAAAAGAATTACTTCGTACGAACCGGCATCCAGTAAACCACATCCTTGTTGAAACCCAGACTTGAGCACCTTAACAGTGACATCAAATCTGGAGGCGGGGAGTTGACAGTCGGCCTTTAGGTAGGTGGGGGCCCATCACACCCAACACAGCAACACAGGAACCCGTCTGCAGCGGAAGAGCCCTGCAGAGGAAGGGGTGACCCCCCCTAACTTGGGAGTGGCCCCAAGTGGGTTGCTGAAGCTGTGATCGAGGAGGAAGTGAGAGGCGGAGGTGAGGTGCTGCAGGGAGGTGAGCGTTCTGGCGAGGCGGGCAGGGTCTCCAGGCAGCCTGGCCTTTCTCCGGGCCTGGCCCATCCTTCCCCGAGGTGGGGACGGGGTTTGGTGAAACGCCCTGAAGACGACGGCTGCTCCCATAGCCCGGGCACTGCAGATGGGGACAGTGCCTCACACCAGCTCTCCCCACTTTGCAGCCCGTGGTGCTGGGGTCCTGGAGCATCATGGCCCAGGCCCTGGGGGAGGATCTGGTGCCGGATGACTCCAGCTCTTTAGGGTCAGACTCCGAGCTGAATGGGCCCGGCCCTTACCGCCAGGCTGACCGCTACGGCTTCATTGGGGGCAGCTCAGCAGAGCCCAGGTAAGGCGGAAACGGACCAGAGACGGGTGCCTGGCTGAGGGGGAGGCTGGGGGCTGAATTCAGCCGTGGGGCCCAATCTCAAGGATGCTGGGGGACCCGGTTGTCTCTGGGTGGGTCATAAACTAGTAGTTGGAGGACGGGCCAGTCCGTCTTTTTCACCCTCCGTTTAAGGGGTTGCACCTACCTTTGAAGTTTTGACCTGGCAGCCCAGATGCAAGCCCTAGATCCGGGTCACACAGGGCCACACAGCAGAGCAGACTGGAACCAGCCTCCAACTCGGCCTCCCCTACGAGCCCCTGTCCTGGGGCCACCCCCGAAACACACCTAGCACCCTTTCCTGCTTCCACCCACATGCAGTCACATCTTTTCCTGTCCCCATGACAACCTCAGGGCACTCCTGGGTCACGCTGCTTCCAGGCTGCCACAGGGAGCCCCAGGGCCTAGAAGTGCCCCCTCCGCGGGGAACAGGGGGTGGCCTAACCCCCCACCCCCCCCACCCCCATTTCTGGATGCTTGTGCCACACCCCCAGGCCAGGCCAGCCTCCGGCAGATCTCATCCGCCAACGGGAGATGAAGTGGGTGGAGATGACGTCACACTGGGACAAAACCATGTCACGGCGGTACAAGAAGGTGAGAGGGCTGGAGAGAGCAGAGCAAGGCCTGCGCTGGCCTCGCGCCGTCGGGGGCCCTGCGCTCCCATCCCCAGCATGTCCCTTCCCTGTCCCACGCCCTGTCCCTCACGGGCCCACGGTGTCCCGCAGGTCAAGATGAAATGCCGGAAAGGGATCCCATCGGCCCTGCGGGCCCGCTGCTGGCCCCTGCTGTGCGGTGCCCACGTGTGCCAGAGCAGCAACCCCAAGACCTATGAGGTTTGGCCGGGCCCGCCCCCTCCCAGCACCCCGAGCATCCTGCATCCCACACACGCCTCCCTGCCCACCCACAGGAGCTGGCCAAGGCTGCGGGGGACCCCCAGTGGGTGGAGACCATCCGGAGGGACCTGCACCGTCAGTTTCCTCTGCATGAGATGTTCGTGTCACCGCAGGGCCACGGGTACGAGGCAGGGATGCCCAGGGACTTGGGCCTGGCTGCCCGCTCTGGTGGTGCTCCTGGTACCTCAGGGGCCCCAGCGGGGGCAGGAGGCGGGGGTCTGGGCTTAGCAGAGCAGGGGAGGGGGCGCCGGTGGGCCAGCTTCTGATGCATTTTGGGGTGCAGGCAGCAGGCACTCCTGGAGGTCCTCAAGGCCTACACGCTGTACCGGCCCGAGCAGGGCTACTGCCAGGCCCAGGGCCCTGTGGCGGCCGTGCTACTCATGCACCTGCCCCCCGAGGTGAGTGCGGACCCCCGCCGGAGGGACCCTGGGACCCCTGACCTCCGACCCCAGTCTAGTGGTCTGGGGATCTAGGTGGTCTCACCTGGACCTCGGGACTTCTGATTTGGAGCCCTGCAATGCTGACCCTTAACCCAGCAATGCCCGGAGCCCAGACTTGAACTTGAACAGGGGCCCTCCCAGCCCTGTGGCCCTCCACTTCAGCACTCTGGGCCCCATGACTTCCAGCCCTTGAAGCCACCCCCCAGGCAGAGTCCCCTTCCTCCCAAGGCCCCCAGACCCCCCCCCAGGGTGTCCAGGGCCTGCCCTGCGCCCCACCCCCCCACCCCCGCCCCCACAGGAGGCCTTCTGGTGCCTGGTGCAGATCTGCGAGGCCTACCTCCCTGGCTACTACGGGCCCCACATGGTGAGCAGGGCGCAGGGGAGGGGAGGGCCGTGGGCAGGGGTGGGGAGGTGCGCGTGCTGAGCTGCTCGGCCCGGCGCAGGAGGCCGTGCGACTGGACGCCGAGGTGTTCTCTGCCCTGCTGCGGCGGTTGCTGCCGCGGGCCCACAAGCACCTGCAGCAGGCGGGCGTCGGGCCGCTGCTCTACCTGCCCGAGTGGTTCCTGTGCATCTTCGCCCGCTCCCTGCCCTTCCCCACGGTGCTGCGCGTCTGGGACGCCTTCCTCAGCGAGGGTGAGCGAGCGGGTCGCCGGGGGCAGGGAGCAGGGGTGCTGCCCGGGGTCCTGAGCTGAAGCCCCCTGAGAGTAGCCCGGGCAGGTCCGGGGACCCCCGCAGAGCACCCCCCAGGGCCCCCTCAGCTGGGCCCCACCTTCCTTCTGGGAAGTGGGGAAGGGAGCCCCGGGAACCAAAGGAACCAGATATTTATAGCTCGCCCTTAGCAGGAGAGCGTGGAAGGGGGGATGTGCCAAGTTGGGGAGCAGCAGGAGAGGTTTCCAGAGAGATGCTGGCTGCTCCTGGAGCCACAGCGGAAGAAGCTCTGTCCCAGGGTGTCAGGGCCAGCAGGGGTCGGGGGGGAGGAGCAGACTGGCCGGGCCTTAGCTCCCCAGCCCCCTAGCCCCCCTAGGGGCCCAGAGTTCCAGCAGCTTCACCTAAAACGGGTAGAATTTCTCCTGGGAAGAGGTACTACCCCGGACTCAGCACAGACTGGGGATAGCCGGGGCCAGGGGCTCTGCTGGGGACAGCCGGGGCTGTGGACTGTGCCGGGGACAGCCAGGGCTGAGGGCTCTGGCCCCCACACTGCCAGGTACCCCGCTATCCCTATAGCTCTCAACACAAGGCCCTTTTTAGGCGTCCTCCAAAACAGGCTAGACTTTGCTGAGGACATTCAGGGCACCTGAAAAGGGAGAGTCAAGGGCTCGACCTTTGGTCATGTCCCCACCCCGCATCACCCCTTCTCTCAGTGCTGACCTCAGGGCGGGGTGGGGGGAGCTGTGCACTGGCGTGGCTTTGCCAGCCACTGATCGCCCTTCCAGGTACCCCTGAGGCTCATGAGGTCCCCCATGAGTGCACGTCTATAAGCGTACCCACATGTGTGCTTGTGTGTCATGTGAGTTTGTGTGTGTGTCCACGCATGTGTCCAAGCATGTGCCCTTGTGTGTTCACATGTGTCTGTGCTCGAGCATGTGCCCATGTGTTCATGTGCCTATGCATGTGCCCCTGTCTCCATGGGTGTGCCTGTGCATTGCCCATGCATATGACTACATGCATGCCTGTCCATGTGCCCGTGTATGTGTCTGTGTGTGTGCCCATGCATGTGCCTGTGTCCAAGTGGGCGCATGTGCCTGTACTTGTCCCTGCCCTTGTGTGTGCCCATGACCGTTCCCAGGTATGTCCATGCTTGTGCCTGTACATGGGTCCATGCATGTACCCTTATGTGTGCTTATCCATGTGCCTATACATGTTCAACCATGTTCTTGTGTTTTTTTTGTTTTTTTTGTTTTTGTTTTGTTTTTTTGCTTTTGGGGTCACACCTGGCGATGCACAGGGATTACTCCTGGCTCTGCACCCAGGAATCACCCCTGGCGGTGCTCAGGGGACCATCTGCGATGCTGGGAATCGAACCCGGGTTGGCCGCGTGCAAGGCAAACGCCCTACCCACTGTGCTATTGCTCCAGCCCCCATGTTCTTGTGTTCATACTCATGTGTGTCTATGCGTGTGCATTTTAGCATGGATTCATGTGTGTGCCATGTGTGTCATGCATGTGCCCGAGCACACGTCCATGCGTGTGTCGTGTCTGTGCGTGTGCCCATGTCCATGCGTGTGCTTGCGTGTGTCTGTGTATTCGTGTGCTGAGTGTGACCTAGCATGTATCTATGCGTGTGCTGTGTGTCTGTATGCTGTGTGTGTGTCCGAGCATGCATGTACATGTGTCCAAGCATGTGTGGTGTGTGAATCCAAGTGTGTTCCCACGTGTGCCTGTGTGTGTATCTGGGCATGTGCCCGTGGTGTGTATCTGAGCGTGTTCCTGTGGTGTGCCGGTGCGTGTGCCCACATGTATGCCCTCCCTGGGTGCACTCTGGGCTCCCCGCGCTGGCCGGGGAGAGCTGTCCCGCCACCCGGCCCCCAGGTCTCCACTCCAGGGGCCCCCAAGGCAATCCTGGCTCCTGTGGGCCGAAGGGTCTGGCCGAGGGCAGGCTGGGGGCGGGGGCGGCTCGGCGCCCACTGAGACCCCCGCCTGCAGGCGTGAAGGTGCTGTTCCGTGCGGGGCTGACGCTGGTGCGCCTGGCACTGGGCACCTCGGACCAGCGCCTGGCCTGCCCCGGGCTCCTGGAGACGCTCGAGGCCCTTCGGACCGTGCCGCAGGCGCAGCTGCAGGAGGAGGTCTTCATGGCGCAGGTGGGTGAGCCTGGCCACCCGCGGGGGGGGGCAGCCCCCGGCAGGGCAGGAAGTCGGGGTGAGGACGGGCCGGTTCCTGTGCTCCGAGCTGGCGAGAAGGTGTGAACCCCAGGTCTGTCCGCGGCAGGCGGCAGTCCTCAGCGCTTCCTCCTCTGTGTGTTGGGGACCTCGTGGCTTCCTGCCCGCCCCCACCAGGCCCCGCGGCCCCACGCCCTACAGGTGCACGCCGTGGCTCTGTCGGAGCAGGACCTGCAGCGGGAGATCAGGACGCAGCTGGCGCAGCTGCCCGCCTCGGCGCCGGGCCCCTCCCCGCGGCCCCAGGACCGCCTGCCCGGGGCTCCGGCCGTCTTCCAGGCCCAGCAGCTGGCCAGGCTGTGCCCAGACGCCAAGAAGCCCGAGGTGCCGCGCATCGTGGTTCAACCCCCGGAGGAGCCCAGGCGCAAGCCCCAGACCCGAGGCAAGACTTTCCATGGCTTCCTGACACGGGCCCGGGGCCCCCCTCTCCAGGGCCCCCCCAGGTCCCATCGGAGTTCCACCTCCTTCCTGGACACCCGGTTCTGAGGGGCCGTGTGCTCGGTCGCCCCCTTCCTCCGACCGCTGGGAAGGTTGGCGCCAGGTGGGCGCTGCCCGCGGTGACTCAGCCCCGAGGGAAGGTCAGGGGTGCCCCTGCCATCCCGCAGCCGGCCTCCATCCTGGAGAGGAAGGAACATTGGGGGGACGGGGGTTGATGGCGCTTGGGATAAGGGCTGTGGGGGGGGGGAGGTCTGGAATAAAGTCTGCGCAGAGTCCTGGGTGGCGCTGGATCCGCGGCCCAAGACCCCGCCACCCCTGCCACCCCCGCGGTCCCAGGCCCCGCCCCCGGGACGGGCAGAGGCGACACTGCCCGTTGACTGCTGCCACAGTGTTTACCCACAGCAGGAGCAGTGCCAGGGCGCCCGGGCGGGGGGGCAGGTAAGGCCCCGAGGAGCCTCTGTCCCCTCTGTCGCCCCCGCCCCTGGTTCAGGAGCCCCTCTAACCCGAGTCCGACCCCACCACTGTCCGGCCCTGTCCTCAGAGAGCCTGGTCAGAACAAAGGTCCAGTGTGCCAGGACAAAGCAGAAAGGTCCCTCCCACCCCCACCCCCTCCCTGTCCCAGCTGCACCCCTGCCTGCCTCCATGGAAACCCCCTCCCACACCCGCTAATTGCCCCCGTGGGTGCGGGGACAAAAGCACTGCCAGGACAACGGGGCTGGTTCCAGGCAGTCTGGGGGCCCTGAGGCGCCCATTCCCTGGGGGCCTCCCTGGGGCCTTCCCTCCTCCAGGTGGGAGGGGGGAGGCGTAAGAGCATTTGCGCAACTGTAAAGTGACCGAATGTTCAGCCCGCCCTGTCCTTCCCGTGACTCTGAGGGCCCCAGCAGAGCCGTGGAATGTTCTAGCACATCAGCCCCAGGCTGCAAGAATGCATTGGTTCCGTGCATGTTTGTGTGATTGGTCAGTCATGGTGGCTGCTAGGTCCTCCCACTTCCCAGGAGAGAATGGCAGTGCCCAGGCCAGCTCAGCTTCCTGAGGGAAACTGAGGCTGTGTGGGGGAGGGAACTTGGCCCAGCCCTGACCCAAGGCTCCCCTACCCCTTTGGCCCCTTTTTCTGCCCTCTGGGTTGTACTTTCTGCTGCTCCCACCCCATTCCGTGCCCCCAGGCTGGCTCCCAACCTGCCCAGCATCACACGGTGCCCCCCAACCCCCTGCTGTGGTACCCACAACTTAGTAATAATACACCCACCCGCAAATCACGGACCTCTTCTCAGGCCCCAGTGCCCCCAGACACCCACCCTTGTGTGCCCTTGGTACTGGTGGCCTCAGGGGAGCTGGCACTCAGCGGGGCAAACGTCTGCCCACATTCCAGCCCGAGAGCAGAGAGCTGTGTCCCTTCTAGACAGTGCTCTGCCTCCGAGTGACAGTCCCACAGCAGCTCATACCGGGGGGTGGGGGGGCATCTCTTCAGCGTCCCCCCAGCGCAGTGACCCCGCTGCAAGAAGGGCAGCTCCAGGCTGGAGGCGAGGCACTGGCCGTGCACACAGTGGACCTCGCATCCCTCCCCGGCACCTGGCACCGCGTATGGTCCCCTGAGCACCTCCAGAGTCACTCCTGGTCACCGAGCCTACAAGAGCTGCAAGCATCACTGGGTGTGGCAACCCCCATCTCCCCCCATATGGAGCTTCTTAGTCCAGCCCCTTGGCCCTAACACTGGCAGTAGCCTGAACATGACATTCGCGGGACCCAGGTTGTCCTTCCTTACTAGTCTGCTGCTGAGGCATTCGTGGAAAACGCTCAGATGCTGGGGGACACCCCCCCACCCCGCAGCTCCCAGGCTGTCAACTGGGGCAATCCAGGGAGTGAAAAGGGGCACCGGAAGGGGCTGCTTTCACCATGGACAGGCCCTTCTCCTCTCTTGAGCATCTGTATCGCTCTCTCTCCTCTCACAGTTCTCTAAATAAGTTTCTTTCAGTAAAAACTATTTTGCTCTGGGGCTGGAGCAATAGTAACAGCGGGGAGGGCGTTTGCCTTGCACACGGCCTACCTGAGTTCGATTCCCAGCATCCTACATGGTCCCCTGAGCACCGCCAGGAGTAATTCCTGAGTGCAGAGCCAGGAGTAACTCCTGAACTGGGTGTGACCCAAAAAGCAAAAAGAAAATCATAAATTAAAAACTATTCTGCTTCATTTAGTGAGAGCCAAAGATTAAAGTGCTCACCATGCACAAGGCCAACCAGGGTTAGATTCCTGACACCCCCATATGGTCCCCCAAGCCCCTCTGGGATTGATCTCTGAGCACAGAGCTAGGAGCAAGCCCTGAGCATCACTGGGTGTGGCCTCCAAAAGAAAGTAGAAGTAGCAAGAGAATGGAGCTGTGACTCCACACTGGAGCACTTTTCGGTGCGCGTGGGGTCCTGAGTTCAAGACCCAGCACCACAAAAAGAAAAAAAGAGGAACAGAGTCCTCACTTGAAGCTGCCCGCCCCAAGCTTCCCCCATTTGGACCTTTCCACGTGGAAGCAAAGGCCCTCAGCTTTCTCCCAGACCACGGGAGAGTAGGCCTCAAGCATCAGCCTCACTCATCTGCCCGCCTCACCGCACCCCTGCCTGGCTCCCGGCACAGCCTGCCTGCCCCAGGACCCACACACCTGAGCCGACGCCCCCAGTCTCCCCAAGGCCATCCCAGCCTGTGCCAGCTGGTGGGAGCAGGAGGGCGTGCTGGTCTCTGCGCAGGGGGCTACGTGCCCAGCAGACAGAAGACCCCACTCCGTCTCCCAGGGCTGTGTGACCTCGGGCGAGTCACACCACCACTCTGAGCCTCACCTGTAAAGCGCAGAGGGTCACAAATGGGGTCGCTCATCCCCGTTTGAGAGTGCGGGAACCAAGACTGCAGAGATGCAGTTCATGGTTAAAATGAAGATACGAGGGGGCTGGAGCGATCGCACAACGGATCGGGCGTTTGCTTTGCACACGGCCGACCTGGGTTCGATTCCCAGCACCCCACATGGTCCCCTGATCACCGCCAGGAGTAATTCCTGAATGAAGGGCCAGGAGTAACCCCTGAGCATCGCTGGGTGTGACCCAAAAAGAAAAAAGAAATGAAGATATGATGTAAGTGCCGCACAGAAAGCCCTCCGTTGAGACCTGAGTGACAGTACAGCGCATAGTAGGGCATTTGCCTTGCATGTGGCTGTCCTGGGTTTGATCCCCAGCACCCCAAACCTGCCAGGAATGTCCCTGAGTGCAGAGCCAGGAAGGAGCCCTGAATACTGCCGGGTGTGACTCCCCAAACAAAAATCAAAAATCAACCCCTCTTCCCCAGATCCCTCCAGTGCTGGGGACAATTTCAAGACACTAGTCACTGTGCACTTGTCTTCTGCTGTGCCACCCTGTTCAGCCATGCCTGGTTGGAGCCAGGAGGAACCCGGATGTCGAGGAACAGCTCGTGTGAAATGGGGCCTCCTCATCTCCAATTGAGGATGAGCAAACGAAGTCTGCAGAGATGCAGTTCATGATTAAAAGCAAGACAAGGGGCTGGAGTGATAGCACAGCGGGTAGGGCGTTTGCCTTGCACGCTGCCAACCCGGGTTCGATTCCCAGCATCCCATATGGTCTCCTGCGCACTGCCAGGAGTGATTTTCTGAGTGCAAAGCCAGGAGTAACCCCTGAGCATCGCCAGGTGTGACCCAAAAAGAAAAAAAAAAAGACAAAAGTGCAAGGTACAAAGCACTTGCCTTGCACGGAGCCACCCCCAGAGCACCATCAGGGTGGTCTTCTGCACACAGAGCCAAGGGTAAGGCCTGAGCATGGCAGGGTATGATCCAAAGCCCCAAAAACAGAAATAAAAATAGTTCTCTCGATGGAGTTTCTCAGGTTCAGGGCCCCACGTCACAGAGAGATGGCTCGATGAACTGGCTCCATTTTTTGCACGAGGGAGCCCTGGATTCATTGATACTGCAAAGTCCTGGAGCACTGTCAACGAATACCCCAGAGCATTGAGCCAGGAGTAGCCCTGGTGTAGGCCAAAAACCAAGATATAAGAAAAAATAAGTAAGGACAATACAGTTTAGGGTCCAGAGAGGTGGTATAGCAGGTAGGGTGCTTGCTTGCACAAGGCCGATCCGGATTCAATCCCTGGCACTCCATATAGTTCCCTTAGTCTGCCCTGAATGATCGGTTTGAGGCTCTTCGTGTTCCTAGAATGAGCAGACGCCATTGGGCTACACTAGCCCGTGACAGGGACGAACGGAGACGTTACTGGCGCCCACTCGAGCAAATCAATGAGTAATGGGATGTCAAGTGATCAAGTCTGCCAGGAGTAATTCCTGAGTACAGAGCCAGGCGTAACTCCTGAGCACCGCCAGGAGTGGCCAAAGCCTAAAAGGAAGAAGGAGGAGGAGGAGGAGGAGACTTTAACGCGCTTTGTTTGTGGTTCAATCCTCAGCACTGCAGATGGTCCCCTGAACACTGCCAAGAGAAACTCCCAAGCACAGAGCCAGGAGTAGCCTCTGAGCACTGTGAGGTGTGACCCCCCCAAAATATAAAATTTAAAAATAAATAGGGGTTAGAGAGGGAGAGTGCAGCTGGTAGGGTGCTTGCTCACGCCAGCTCTGGTTCAATCTCCACCACTGAATATGGTCCCAGAGCAGAGCCAAGAGTCAGTCCTGTGGCTGGAGCGATAGCACAGCGGGTAGGGCGTTTGCCTTGCACGCAGCCAACATGGCCGACCCAGGTTCGATTCCCAGCATCCCATAGGGTCCCCCGAGCACCGCCAGGAGCGATTCCTGAGTGCATGAGCCAGGAGTAACCCCTGAGCATCGCCGGGTGTGACCCAAAAAGAAAAAAAAAAAGAGTCAGTCCTGAGTACCACTGGGTGTGGCCCCCGAATCTAAATAAGGAACTGCATCAAAAGGACAGCAGATTGGGCACTTGCTTTGCTGGCGGCAGATCCAGGTTCGATCCCTGGCCCCCTATAGGGTTCCATGAGCCCACCAAGAGTGATGCCTGAGCAGCACCAGGCATGGCTCAAAAAATAAAAACCAAAAAATCCAAATAAATAAGTTACTCTTCCAATGTTATCATCTGAAACAACTGATTTAACTTTCCCAGAAAGGGGGTCCTTTGTTTTGTGTTGGGCTACACTGGAGGACTAGGGGCTACCCCTGACCCTACGCTCAGACACACCTCGCCTGTCTCATGACGCCCAGAAGCTCGCTGGGCCCCCAACATGGAGGCTTTGGGGGTGGGGTGGGGCCAAGGCTCATCTGTGGCTCTTACCCCTTACTCCAACAGTGCTTACTCTTGCCTCTGCTCAATGATCACTCCTAGTGGGGCTTGGGGGACCCTCTGTGATAGCAGGGGTTGAAAGTGGCTCAGCTGTGGGCAAGGCAAGTGGCCTGCCGGCTGGCCGCACTATCTCTCTGGGCCAGAAGTGGAGCCTTCCACCAGTTCCCAGGAACAGATCGGCCCATTTCACAGGCCCCCGCTGTCCCCTAGAATAAGGTGGCCCTGACATCACCTGACTTCTGTTTCTGCTCAAATGCTCAGGGGTTACTCCTGGCTCTGAGCTCAGGAATCACCCTGGCGGTGCTCAGGAAACCCTATGGGATGCCGGGGATCGAACCTGGGTTGGCTGCATGCAAGCCAAAGGCTCTTCCCACTGTGCTGTGGCTCTGGCCTCTCTGTGAGTTTCTTGGGGCGAATTTGTGCACGGGAGTTAGGTTTCTCAGGGAGCAGTTCTGCGGGTGTTGGGTGCACCCAGATAGTTTCTGTGTGGTGGGTTGGCTGAGTGGTAACCATGGGGGGCTGCCTGACTTGGGTGTTGGTGGCAGGCAGGTCCTGTGGACACCTCTTTGGTGCTCAGATTCTCTGGAACGTCCTAGTTGGAATCCCAGTCAGGGCCCCAGTACGCTAGGGACAGCAGGGACCTCCCTATAGGGGTGTCCCTAGAGGTCACTGCTCCCAGGGCACTGTCTGCTGGGCACCTGCCCCAGGGTCCTTCCAGCCAGGCAGGGGCAGAGGGCTCAGGACAGGTAGGCAGGCAGCTGTGGGTGCAGGGGTGGCCAGCACTCCATCCAAGGTCCAGGTTTGGCCAGTGCACCCCACCCGCACCCCACCCAGGCACCCCACGCCCCAGGGCGGGCCCCCAGTACCAGTCTCGGCCAGCTCGCGCCTTCCCTCCCCGCCTCTGTGGCTCCCTTTCTCTCCCACAATCTCTGCCCGGGACTGTGGGGCACCGTCCGTGCCCACGGGTGCGGCAGAGCCCTGCCCAGACGGGAGGCGGCGGCGGGCTGGCAGGAGGGGCGGGGCGCGCGCCGGGTCGGGGCCGGGTCGGGGCCGGGACCCCCGGCGGCCGCCCGCCCGCCCGCCCCGCCCCGCCCCTGGGCGTGCCCAGCGCCTCTACATAAAGGGCGCCGCCGGGGCCACTCCGAGTCGCCGCTGCCGTCACCTCCGTCGCGCCCCGCCGAGCCGCCGCCAGGTACCCCGGCTCCTGCCCGCGCCCCGGGGGAGCCAGGGAGGGGGGCAGACCCGGGGCCGGGCACACCCTGTCCACACCCTCGGGGGGCCGTGCCCTCCACCCTCCGCCCCCACTGGAAGGACCCAGCGCCCCGATCCTGCGATCCCCGGCGGGCGGTGCGATCTCAGGGCTCCTGGGCCCCGGGGGTCTCTGCGTCCTGGGAGGGTGGGGGTTCAGCCTCTTTGACCCCAGTCTGCAGTCTGAGCCGCCTCCCCCCTCTGTCTCTCTCCCTGCCTCTGCCATCAGTCTCTGGGCCGCTGCACCTGTAGGATGGTGAGTGCCCCCTGGTCCCTCCCTCCAAGGACCAGTCTCAGTCCCAGGGACCCGGAGGGCAGTGCCTGGCACCTGGAAGCCCAGTCCCAGAAGCCACCCTGTGCAGACACTGAGGCCATGGCCACCTGCACCCCACTCCTCCGACTCCCCACTGTGAGGCACCCGGGCATGGGGGACGGGCACTCCCCTTGGCCCACCAGCCCTGGGAAGTGGGCGAGGGTCCCTCTGCCCGTCAGCACGTGGGATTTATTGAGCAGCTACTGAGCATCCACTTGGGCCACAAAATGTTGGAGACAAGGCAGCGAGCCCACAGGCCGGGCTCTGGGGAGCTCAGCTTTCTCTGAGAGGGCAGCCGGACACCGGGCTGGCACGGGTGAGTGGATGCCAGGCCAGGTCTGGGTGAGGCCCAGTGTCTCGGCCAGTGGTCATCACAGGCACCAGCACGGCTGGTTCCCTGGGTAGGACCCAGCCAATCAGGGCAGTGAGACCCCGGAACCCTGAGGCAGGTCTGCTGCGCCTGCCCTGTCCCCGCTGTCCAGGCACTGCCGAGGGACTGGTCAGGGTCACCCAGAGCCCGCACTGGAGGGGCGAAGATAAGCACTGGGGCCCAGCGAGAGCTCGGCTGAGCGTCCCGAGCGTGCATCATACGTGGCACGATCCCCGGCCACAGAGCCAGGAGTGGCCCCACAGCGTTGCTGGTTGGCTTCAAAGCCAAAATAAAGTCCAGATGCCAGAGGGTACCAGAAGGACCCCCCCCCATCAGTCCCAGCTCGGGGCCCAGCAGCCCCGTGAGAGTGAATGAGTCCCGAGTGGTCACTAACGGCTCTTCTGTCAACAAATATTCCCTGAGCCACAGGGCTCTGCGCTGGGTACTGGGTCCACCCCAGCGAACCAAACAGAACCTCCTAGTCTGGGAGCAAGCTCGGACGGACCAGGCCTAGGGTGGTGGGGGGGCAGGGGGCCGCCAGCACGGTGCCACATGGCTCCCCCCCACCCCCATACCGTTTACCAAGCACCCACCCACCCACCTGTACCTGCGGGCCGCCTGGGTCCCCCCCTTCCTGGCTCCTGTGCGTGTGTCTGCCCCCAACAGAACCCCAAATCACGCTCTCGGGGGTGACCGCGTCCTTGGCTCGCCCACTACTTCTGCCCTCCTCAGCTCTCCCTGGATCCGCTGGGTCCCCCGAGGGACGGTCCCGCGGGCTCTGAGAACCTGGAGGAAGAGGAGCGCCCGTGGGGAGGGGGCTCTGGCCTGCCTCCCCCCAGCTGCTTCCCAGGCTCTTGGTGCCCCGACGTGAGCCTGGACTGCAGGGGCAGCCCCGAGGGCGCAGAGGCCCGGGCCTGGACCGCCTACTACTACGGCCTCCTACAGAGCTGCCTGCTGCAGTCAGGCCTTCCAGAGACGCAGGATCGCAGCCCCGTGCCCCGCACAGGTGCCCGGGGGCTCCGGGAGGGGGAGGGCAGCGTTGGGCCAGCTTGTGGTGGCCAAGGTCAGCCCCACCTGCAGCCCGTGGGTATGGTTTCCAAGGGCACTGTGCCCCAGTAAGTTTAGGGCGCCAGGCGCCTCACTCCAAAACAAACACAGCCGCCCCCAAAGACACAGCTGTGGAACCTGCAAGCCCCAAGCTGCTCGGGAAATGCCGGGGTGCTGAGCAGAGGGCCTAAGGAATTGTCTACCCGGAGCGATAGTACAGCGGGGAGGGCGTTGGCCTCACATGCGACCAACCCGGGTTCGATCCCTGGCATCCCATAGGGTCCTCCGAGCACCGCCGGGAGTAATTCCTGAGTGCAGAGCCAGGAGTAACCCCTGAGCATTGCCAGGTGTGACCTAAAAAGCAAAAAAACAAACAAACAAAAAAAAAAAAAACGAAATTGTCCAGCCACTGAGGCATTGGGGATGTGGCCAGTCACAGTGTAGACTGGAAAACTGAAGCACAAAGAATCCCCGCCCCCAACATATATATAGAGGGGGCCCTGGATCCCTCAAAACCCAGGCTATCTGCCATCCAGCCTCCAGAGCCCCCCATTTTCCACCCTTAGGGCCAAGCCCACCCCAGCTTTCTCTCCCAGTCCCTGTCACTTTCGGTACTAGAAAACAGAAAAGGGGGCCCCCAGGAGGAGGGCAGGGTCCGGGGTTGGTGGGGTGGGGGCAGGACAGTGCAGGAGAGCCCCGGGTGAGCTGGGCCTTATCCTGTCCCCTAGGCCACCCCGGGGCAGAGGTGACCTTGTGCATTCTGGGGTCCCCCAGCACCTTCCTGCCCGTGCTGCTGGAGGGGGGCGTCCAGAGCCCTGGTGAGTGTCTGCCCCGGTGCCCCAGCCCCCTCCGCGGGGCAGCCCTGCCCAGGCCACATCCCGAAATACCCACTGACCCTGGCAGCAGCCTCCTTGCACCTGACCAGCTGCCGCACAGGGGGGCGGGCCTGGAGCAGCCGGGGGAGCCCAGGCGGCTTCCTGCCAGCCACACAGCCCGCCCCTCCCCCTTCCCGCCTGCAGGAAACATGCTCCTGTGCCTGTCCCCGGCCTGGCTGAGCAGGGTGCCAGCCCCTGGACGGCCGGGCGAGGCGGTGCTGCAGATCTCCAAGGCCGTGAGCTTCCACCCGGGTGGGCTGACATTCCTGGATGACTTTGTCCCCCCACGCCGTGCCACCTACTTCCTGGCGGGCCTGGCCCCCGGGTCCGGCTGGGCTCAGGAGGCCGCCGAGCTGGCCCGGGGCCTGAGCTGCCCCACGGGCGCCTCGGCCGAGCTGGCCCGGCTGCTGGATGACCGGCTGCTGGCGAGGTGCTTGCTGGCCCAGCAGGACGGTGTGGTGGTGCCAGCGACCCTGGCTTTCACCTACAAGCCGCCCGCCCTGCTGCCGGGAGGCACTGCCAGCCCCAGGCTCCAGCTGGTGACACTGAGCGGCAAAGAGGGCCAGGAGACTCGGGTCCAGGAGGAAGTGGGTGCCTTCCTGCAATCCGAGGCCCTGGGCCACGCCCTGCAGGTAACTGACCACTGCCCTGCCCTGCCACCAGCTGCTACACCCTCCTGCCCAGCTCACTCACAAGCGCCGAGGGTGCAGGGACCCTACTCTGCAGTTTGGCAGGGTGGTGAGGAGGTCCCCGTCCGCTCCCACCTGCAGGTGGCCGTGAAGCTCAGTGGCTGGCGCTGGCGTGGGCGGCAACCCCTCCATCTGTACTCCCGGGCAGAGCTGGGCACAATAGTGGACACCGTGCTGGCCTTGCTGGAGAAGCTGGAGGAGGAGGAGAGTGTGCTGGTGGAGGCGCTCTGCCCCCCTGCCCGCCTGCCCTGCCCAGGTGAGTCTCACCTGCGCTGGCCCCAGGGGGAAGGGGGCATCAGGAGCTTCCTCCTACCTGCTGGCGCTGGACTCAGGGCTCACCGCCTGCCCCAGGCAGTCCCCCACCCGGCCCCGAACTGGCTGTGCGCATCTGTGCTGTCGTGTGCCGGACCCAGGGTGACAGGCCCCTGCTGAGCAAGGTGAGGTGGGGCTCGGAGCTCTTGGCTGCCTCTGGGGGGGACTTGCCTCCCCTCCATCCCTTCCTGGCCCTGTCCTGGCATGCAGAGCCCTGCTGGGTACGAAGGCTGGAGCTCAGCACGGTGAGGCGGGGAGGGAGGTGGGACAGGGAGTCACTTCGGAAGGGCAGCCTCTTGAGTGTCCAGTGAGGGGCTGGGCAGGCCGGGCGTGCATGCACTGGGCAGAAGGGGGAGGCCCCTCCTGGGGTCTGAGCTGCGCCCTGCCCAGGTGGTGTGCAGCGTGGGCCGCCGCGATCAGCCTCTACGACACCATAACTCCTTGCCGCGGACGCTGGAGGTGGCCCTGGCGCAGTGTGGCCTGGGCGAGGCGGCACAGGTGGCGGCCCTGCGGCAGCGCGTCAAGGCGGCGGCCGAGGCGGCGCTGGCCGCTGTGCTGGCCCTGGAGGCCGGCCTGAGCGCTGAGCAGCGCGGCGGGCGCAGGGTCCACACCGACGTTCTCGGTGAGTGCGGGCGGGGTGCCCGTCGGGGCGGCGAGGTCCAGGCGGCCCGCGCTGAGCCCGCATCCCCGCCCCGCCTCTCCCCGGCCCCAGGCGTGGACTTCGCGCTGACCGTGGCCGGCCGCTCGCTGACGCCCGTGGCCCTGGAGCTGAACCGAGGCCTGTGCCTGGAGGCGTGCGGCGCGCTCGAGGGGCTGTGGGCGGCGCCGCGGCCGGGCTCGGCGGCCGACGAGGCGGTGGCCGCGCCGCTCGTGGAGACCATGCTGCGGCGCTCGGCGCGCTGCCTCATGGAGGGGAAGCAGCTGCTGGTGGTCGGCGCGGGAGGCTTCAGCAAGAAGTTCGTGTGGGAGGCGGCTCGGGACTACGGGCTCAAGGTGAAGCCCTCGCCTAGTGGGGACCGGCCAGGGGGCGGGGCCGGGGGTGGGGCGGGGGCGGGGCCGAGCCCGCAATCCGAGCCCCGAGTGGTGAACCTGTTCTGGGGGCGGGGCCTGAGTTGTATAGGGGCGGGGCCAATCCCGAAATCCCAGCCTGAGTGGTGGACTGGTTCTGGGTGGTGCTGGGCTCGGGGAGGGGCGGGGCCAAGCCCGAACTCCCTGCCCGAGTGGTGGAATGGTTCTGTGGGAGGGGCCAGGGGTGGGGCCGGGACGGAGGGGGCGTGGCCGAGTCCGAAATCCGGGCCCCGAGTGGTGAGCCTGTTCTGGGGGCGGGGCCTGAGTTGTATAGGGGGCGGGGCCAATCCCGAAATCCCAGCCTGAGTGGTGGACTGGTTCTGGGGGTGGGTCCCACGGGTGAAAGGATGGTGCTGGGCTCGGGGAGGGGCGGGGCCAAGCCCGAACTCCCTGCCCGAGTGGTGGAATGGTTCTGTGGGAGGGGCCAGGGGTGGGGCCGGGACGGAGGGGGCGTGGCCAAGCCCGAAATCCGAGCCCCCAGTGGTGAGCCTGTTCTGGGGGCGGGGCCTGAGTAGTACAGGGGGAGGGTCCAATCCCGAAATCCCAGCCTGAGTGGTGGACGGGTACTGGGGGGTGGGTCCCGCTCGGGGAGGGGCGGGGCCAAGCCCGAACTCCCTGCCCGAGTGGTGGAATGGTCCTATGGGAGGGGCCAAGGGTGGGGCCGGGACGGAGGGGGCGTGGCCGGTGCCGGAATCTCAGTCTGAGTGGTTGGACTGGTTCTGGGGGCGGGTCCCATGGGCAAAGGCTGGTGCCGGGTTTAGAAGAAACTGTGCTGGCTTGGGAGACAGCGTGAGACTGAGCCGGTTAGACAGGTTGTGAGTCCTGGGGACCGCGGCACCAGTGAACGAGTGGTGCTGAGCTAGGAGGTGGGCGGGGCTGAGCCCGAGGTCAGATCCTGAGTGGTGGATTCGAGGTAGGGGTGGGGCCGCGGGAGATAGTGCAGAGTGGGGGCCTGGCCAATGGTTCTGGGGGTAAACCCTTGATGGGTGGTTTCACTGTGGGATGCTAAAGCCCCGGGGGGTCGGGGGAGGAAGGGAGGGGCGGGGTTGGCGACAGGTCATGATTAGTATCTGAACTTTACTTTTTGGGGTCACATCCAGAGTTGTTCAGGGACTGTTCCCATGTGGAGCTGGAGGACCATGCCGTGTCGGGACCAAACTCCTGCCTCCTGCAGCCCTTTGATCTATTACTCCAGCTCCAGCTCTTTTGGGCCCCTAACCTAGTTGTGTTCGGGCTTCAGGCAGCCCTCCTCTGCGGGAAGGAGAGCCCTCCAGGGAAGGTGGGGTAGCATTCAGAATTACTGCCAGACAATAAACGTCAAGCTAAGGAGTCTAACCCTGTTGGGGAGAGAGGACTGTTGAGGTGGAATAGCTGAGACACAAGGGTGGACCGAGTTCCCGCAACGCCTCCCGGTACAGAGCCAGGAGCCTAACGTCTGAGCGACAGATAGGACAGAGGCAGGGTGGGACGAGAGCTCAGAAGGCCCGAGTTTGCTTTTTGTGATGAATTCAGTCCTTAGAATCCCAGTCTCCCAGGACCACCAGGAGTGACCTCCAAGCACCCAGCCGCATATAGCCTCTGTGCACTATCAGGTGTGTCCCTAAAACCAAAAAAAGAGTGATCAAGAGGCCAGTAGATTTCTTGACTCCAGTCTATGCGGGGGGCCCCGCCAGACCACTCTCCGGCCCGCGGAGGTGGCCCTAGGATCTGTGGGTGCTGGGAAGGACCAACTGAATGAACACAAGACACAAGAGACAGAATGCAGCTTAGGAACAGAGAGAAAAAAGGACAGACTTTATTGAGGGCTACAGGTTGTTATATGGGGTCCGGGGCGACCCAGTCACATGGTAGTAAGGTCAGCAACAAGAACTTTACAGGGCTGGAGCGATAGCACAGCGGTAGGGTGTTCGCCTTACAAGCGGCCAACATGGCCGACCCGAGTTCGATTCCTCCGCCCCTCTCGGAGAGCCCGGCAAGCTACCGAGAGTATTCGATATGCCAGACACAGTAACAACAAAGTCTCCAATGGAGACGTAACTGGGCCCGCTCGAGCAAATCGACGATCAACGGGAGGGCCTTTACCTTACCTTTACCAAGGTAAAACATCTGTACATCAAAGGGTCTTATGGCAGCAGCTGCAACCTGGGGATATCTATAGATAAGTCCAGTTTTATGCAAGTATCTGCCTGCCTGTTCATGGTCACTGGACAGACATCTGTTAGGGTCAGAGGGTACTGGGAGGCCTCTAAGGAGGAGGCTCTCAGGGTCTGTGTAGGCCCCGCAAAGGGGGCTCAGTAATTCAGGGTCTCATAGAGCAGTCTTGGCTCCCGACAAGTCTACACAGCATCCCCCCTCTCTCCTGCAGTGTCCCCGGGGAACCCCCATCATTCCTAAGACTCTTCTCTCTGCTCACACACTGTGCTGCACACCAGAATGTCTCTCCCTACTCGCACTGCCAAGGGCTACAGAGCATCTGCTTTCTCCACCCCCTCTTCAGAAACTGCCTCTGTCCTACTAGTGCCAGTGGGCTTCAGGGTGCAGGGCCCCGTGGGATTCCACAGCAGGCATTTCTGTGTTAGAGCATGTCATTTGAGTGACAACAGAACTCAAAGCCCAAAGATAACAGATCTCCAGTCCTGAGTCCCAACCCTGAGGGTTTCCCGGAAAGCCTTGGACAGCCCAGAGAAGAGCGCAGAGCTGACAGTGCCTCAAAACCATGTGGTCACAAGTTCAAATCTCTGGGGTCCCATATATGATCCTGACAGCTCAGCTCTCTGGGCCCAACGATCCAGTTGTCTGTGGTTCCCAGCACCCCCCAAACAAACAACAGACAAAGGAATCCCTGCTGGAGTGTGGCTGCCTGTGGGGGTAAACCCACCAGCTCTGCCTCCTCCCCGCCACACTCCAGCCTCTCCCTCAGCCAGCTCCCCTCTGGATGACGCTTACTCAATTCCCAGCCCAAGCCTTACCTTCTCCCCTCTTGAGCTAGGTCAGGGGCTCCCCACCCCTGCCCCTTCCTACCCCTCAGTCATCAACAGTGTCTGAGCACCTGCTGTGTGATGCGTGTGTGCATGCGTGTGTGTGTGTGTGTGTGTGTGTGTGTGTGTGTGTGTGTGTGTGTGAGCCTGGGAGGCCCTGCAGGCCCAAGTTGCGTGCTAAGCTCCCTGCAATCTCCCCCCCCCCCCGGCCCCGGGGGCGCTGACCTGGGGTGCTGCCATCCTTGCTCTCTGCAGCTGCATCTGGTGGAGTCCAATCCCAACCACTTTGCATCTGGGCTGGTGCAGACCTTCATTCACTTTGACGTGACAGAGCACCGGAAGGACGAGGAGAATGCCCGGCTGCTGGCGGAGCAGGTGCGGGCACGCGGCCTGCAGCTAGACGGGTGCTTCTCCTACTGGGATGACTGTCTGGTGCTCACGGCCTTGCTCTGCCAGGAGCTGGGTCTGCCCAGCTGCCCCCCGGCTGCCATGTGCCTGGCCAAACAGAAGAGTCGCACCCAGCTGCATCTGTTGCGCCGCCGCGGCCCGCCCTGGCCCGCACCCTCCCTCCACGCAGTGCCCTGCTGCCCGCTGGAGAGCGAGGCTGACGTGGACAGGGCCGTTGGCCAGGTCCCCCTGCCAGGCGTCATGAAGCTGGAGTTCGGCGCAGGTGCCGTGGGTGTGCGGTTGGTGGAGGACGCGTCCCAGTGCCACGAGCACTTCTCCCGGATCGCCCGGGACCTGCGGGGGGAGGAGGACCACCCCGGCATCGGGCTGGGCTGGGGCAACGCCATGCTGCTGATGGAGTTCGTCGAGGGCACCGAGCATGACGTGGACCTGGTGGTGTTCGGCGGGCGGCTGCTGGCCGCCTTCGTGTCCGACAACGGCCCCACGCGGCTGCCGGGCTTCACGGAGACGGCGGCCCGCATGCCCACCGGGCTGGCCCCCGAGCAGGAGGCGCAGCTGGTGCAGGCGGCCTTCCGCTGCTGCCTGGGCTGCGGGCTGCTGGACGGGGTCTTCAACGTGGAGCTCAAGCTGACCGGGGCCGGCCCGCGGCTCATCGAGATCAACCCCCGCATGGGCGGTTTCTACCTGCGCGACTGGATCCTGGAGCTCTACGGCGTGGACCTGCTGCTAGCCGCCGCTATGGTGGCCTGCGGCCTGCGGCCTGCCGTGCCCACGCGCCCGCGTGCCCGCGGCCACCTGGTGGGTGTCATGTGTGTGGTGTCGCAGCACCTGCAGGCCCTGCGTTCCAGCGCCAGCCGGGAGAGCCTGCAGGCGCTGCACGACCGGGGCCTGCTGCGTCTCAACCTGCTGGAGGAGGCGCTGGTGCCCGGCCAGTACGAGGAGCCGTACTGCAGCGTGGCCTGCGCCGGGCCCAGCCCGGCCGAGGCGCGGCTCCGCCTGCTGGGACTCTGCCAGGGCCTGGGCATCGACGGGCCCCACTACCCCGTTGCCCACTTCCTGTCCCACTTCCAGTAGTGGGTTGGGGGCGGGAGGCAGGCCGTGTGCCGCAGTGGGTGCCGGGGCCTAGACCCCCTCCCCGCTGACCCCAACTTTCTGCCTGACAACAGCATTGGGCACTTGGACTTGAGGGCCACAGCAGGGAGCTGTCGGGCCTTGTGCCCTCCCAAAGGCTCCGGTCCAGGGGCCGGAGCAATAGCACAGCGGGTAGGGAATTTGCCTTGAACGGGGCCAACCCGGGTTCAATTCCCAGCATCCCATATAGTCCCCTGAGCACCGCCAGGGGTGATTTCTGAGTGCAGAGCCAGGAGTAACCTCTGTGCACCGCCTCTGGGTGTGACCCAAAAAGAAAAAAAAAAGGCTCCGGTTCAGCCCACAGCTGCCCAAGGACTCGAGCGAGTCAGAGAAAAGAGGCTCAAGCCCCCCAACCCTGTGCACCCTGCAGCCCCCCAGGCCTATCTCTCCCTGCCCTTCTCAGGAGGTGGAAACCTGGGCCTGGACTCCAGAGCCTGTATCTTTTTATTTTTTGGGGGGGGTCACACCCGGCGATGCTCAGGGGTTCCTCCTGGCTCTGCACTCAGGAATCACTCCTGACGGTGCTCGGGGGACCCTATGGGATGCGGGGGATCGAACCCAGGTTGGCCGCATGCAAGGAAAATGCCCTACCCGCTGTACTATAGCTCCAACCCCCCAGAGCCTGTATCTTGACCCGCCCCTTGAACAAAACCCAGGATCGTCCCAACTCTGTGGGCACCACCCCGGCTGCTCCCTGTAGCTGAGCAGTGGAAGCAGGTGAGCTGGAGCTGCCAGGGAACGTTCCCCGGCTCTCAGTTGCCCCCCACTCTCCCTTTGAGTGGACCAAGCACCTGCTCTTCCATGCACTGGAGATGCGTGCCTGCGCCCTGCCAGTGTGTGCGCTCCAATAACGTGTCGACCTGCTCCCTGCCATTGTGCCAGCCACCCAGAAGGCCACCACCCCGGGGATTTCCCTTCCTGGATTAGGAGACACAGGGCACGGCTGGCACAGATGGGCAGAAGCTTCTGCAGGCTGGCAAAGTTCCCATAGCAGATCTGTGTGTCCACATGAACCCACTGTGCCGGGAACATTAAATCCGAACATGGTTATGCCTTCTCGGTTTGATACCATCAGATTTTCACCCTATTCGCAAGAGGATGGACGTGGGATTAAACAGGACGCAGAAAACGCGAAAGCGCTTACGGACCAAGAGGTGAAGAATGGCCACTGCCCAGAGGAAGCAGGCGCCGTGGGTGGTGGCGGGAGGCTGGCGGCTGATCCTGGCGTCACCCCTAAGCACCCACACCTCCCTGCCTCATGCATAGGTGGCCCCTGGGAGCCCCTCCATGACCTGCCCCTTCCCCGCAGAGCTTCAGAGTTTGACCTCTGGTACACCACAACCCCTTGGTCAGGAACAGTGTCTACCCCACCTCCAATAAAGGCTGGTAGATGCTCTCCAGTGTCTGGGCAGTGCTCAGGGCTGACTGCTGGCTCTGCACTCAGGGTTCCCTCCTGGCAGGCTCAGAGGACCATACTGGATGCCGGGGATCAAATCTGGCCGTGTGCGAGGCGAACACCCTACGTGCTGTAGCCCATGGGAGAGGGTCTTGCGACTTGGCCCACCCCTCTCAGGTTAGCTAGCGCGGGGTCAGGAGGAGCGAGAGAGGAGGGGGGAGGTGGCCTAGGCAAAGCTGCCACATGGCCAGGCCTCCGGGTCGACCTACAGATAGTTCACAGCCAGAGACACCTCCTCTGCCAGTGGAGACACCACTGAATTCTGTCCACGTGCGCTGAGCTCTCGGTGCCTCTGTTCAGACAGCCTCCAACTACCAGAACCCGACCCGGGACACAGTTGAATCCCGGGTCACCCGACCAAACCCCCCAGCAAGAGTCCTCACATCGGAAGGTTGCGTACCAGGCAGAAGCGGCCAGACATCTTGATGACTTGGGGCCACACCCTGAGGTGCTGGGGCACCGCTGCCTGCTTCTTGGTTTCGGAGTCACACCCAGCACCGCTCAGGGTGATACTCTGTGTTGGGGTCTCTCCCCAGTCCCCTTTTGAGCTGGTCCCCTTGACCTGCAAGAGGCTGTCGCGCAGAGGCCCTCAGGCCAAGCCAAGCTACCCTCCCTGTAAAGAGAAGGGCCTGGGGAAAAGAGCATGTCCCTATGTTGCCGCCTCCACAACCGAAAACCGAGCACACCAGCACAGCGTGGGTCCCGTCAAGCAGTCCCAGTTTCAGTAGGCAATCAGCATAGCTTATTTAGGCTGGGCGTACGGGGAGATCTACGGACAGTCACGTGGTCATAACAAACGTGTTTTCTATAGATAGGGTTACACCTTTCCTGTGTGATTACAATGGTTAAACTGTCCTTGCATGTCTGCCAAATACGCCCTGTCCCCTGGTCACACTCACCCGTGATAAGTATGCATTGCAATAGGCTTGTGGCATTTCAAAGCAGACCAAAAGGGGGTATTTCTCCCCAAAACTCTGGCTTTGCGCTCACCATATTTTGTGCTGGGGATGGAAGTGAGGCTTGGCTGTAGGCAAGGCAAGAGCCCTACCCACTGTAGGGTAGCATCTCTCTGACCGCTCTCATTCACTTACTTTTTCTTTTCTGGCCGCACCTTGTGGTGCTCAGGGCCTACTCCCAGCTCTCTGGACAGGAGCCACACTGATGGTACTCGGGGGACCATATGCAGTGTGGTTACTAGGACCACTGTCATGGCCACAGCTGCATGCAAGCCAAGTGACTTAATCTCTGCTTGGTTGGGGTTTTTTGTTTGCTTTTGTCTTTTTGGATTACTCTCAGGCGATGCTCAGGGGCTACTCCAGGCTCTATACTCAGGAATTACTCCTGGCAGTGCTGGGGGGACCATACAGGATTCTGGGGATTTAATCTAGTTCAGCCATGTGTGATGCAAACGCTCTACTTGCTGCACTATTGCTCTGGCCGGTGTGTGTGTGTGTGTGTGTGTGTGTGTGTGTGCGCGCGCACACCCCAGAGGTACTCAGGGGTCACCTCTGGCAGGGTTTGGGCGACCATGTGGGATGTAGGGAATCAAATTTGGTGGGCAAGGTAAATGCCCTACCTACGTAACTCCCACCCCTCAGTAATATTTTTTTAAAGGATGTGTTATTTTTTCAGTTAGTTTTGGGGCCACACCCGGAGATGCTCAGGAGTTAATCCTGGCTCTGCATTCAGAAACTACTTTTGGTCGTGTTGGAGCTACCCAACGAGAAGTCGGTGATCGTACCCGGGTCAGCCGCTTGCAAGGCAAGCGCCCCTCGCTGCTGTACCGCCAGCCCCCCTAAGGGACTTTTACGAACAAACCCGGACAGTGAGATGGAGAAGGGGCCGTGGATGACTTCCCGAGTGCTCAGTCTGGGAGCACACTGTGGGGAGCCTTACGCAACCACCTCCCTTTCGGGGAGCGCTAGCGACACCAACTGCCTCGCGCCTCTCCGCCAGCCTGGGCAGATGGGCGCAGCAGGACGGGAACTGCATTAACAGCACACCCACATGCAGTCCCGATTCTGCCTCCGCCAAACTCACGCCCCTCGCAGAGCCAGGACGGGCGCCTGCCAAGCCGGCGCCGCCGCCTGCCGTTAGGGACTGCGGCGCTGGGAAGCCGGAGAGCGCCACGACGGGCTCGGGCTCTGCCCCGCGACCCGCGGGGACTACAACTCCCAGAAGGCCACGCGGCGGCCGCTCGCTCTCCTCCCCGCCCCCGGCGTGCGCGTCATCGGCGGGCGCCAGTCGCGGGGCGATGACGCCAGAGCCCGGTCCGGACTGTCAGTCGGAGCGGCGCCGCGGACGGGCCCAGGGGCCCGCGGGGCCGGCTTGGCCATGGCGGCTGTGTTTGACCTGGACCTGGAGACGGAGGAGGGCAGCGAGGGCGAGGCCGAGGCCGATTCCAGCCCCGCGGTGAGTCTCCCCCCGTGCTCGGCCCTGCGCCCGCCTGCCCCCGGCCCCCAGACCCTGCGCGCCTCCTCGGACCCCCTCCCCTTTACTGCCCCGTCTCGTCCTCGCGGCCCGTCCCTGCCCCTCCCGGCCCCCTCCTTGTCGTTCCACCCTCCCCCGAGTCCCCTCCGTTCCCGGCGCAGTGCTTGAGTTTGGTTATCCCGGCAGCGCCCTGGCTCTTAACGCTTGTCCCCTCTGCCCCACGCAGGAGGCGTGTCCACTCGCGGAGCCGCGGACAGCCGGCCCGGAGTGAGTGGTGGCGGCGGGGGGCGCAGGCGGGGTGGGGGGGCCGGGGAAGGGCTGCAGCCCAGTTGTCACCAGCTCCGTGTCCCCAGGGTCCCGGGCAGGTACGAGGAGGTGGAGCTGACGGAGGACAGCGTGAACCCGGGCCCCGAGCGCATCGGCCCGCACTGCTTTGAGCTTCTGCGGGTGCTGGGCAAAGGCGGCTACGGCAAGGTACCCCCCGCGGACCCCCGCTCCCTCCTCAGCCTCTGCCGTCGGTCCTGCCCCAGGGGACGGGCCGGGGTGGGGTGGCTGCAAGTGCTGAGCTGGTGCTTGTGTCTGCAGAAGGGCCGGATTCCAATCCCTAGGGCACCGCAGGGTGACAGGGTGTGGGTGTGGTCCCCAAACCGGGCAAACAAACAAATTAGGCTCTGAATCAGCAGGTCCCGCAGCATCAGATCTGGACTCTTGCTACTCCACCCTTGGCCCTTGGTGGGGCGGGGGTTGGGCTCGACCACCTTCCCCCACCTTCCACGGCTGGGAAGGGCCGTGGGCAGGACTTCGGGGAGCTGTGCTGTGGAGAGGGGTACTCACCTTGTCCCCCTGCCCTGTAGGTATTCCAGGTTCGCAAGGTGCAGGGCGCCAACTCGGGCAAAATATACGCCATGAAAGTGCTGAGGAAGGTGAGTCAGGCTGGGGGGGGGGGGCAGGGCCTGACTGTGCCACAGGGATCCCACCCACACAGGGAGCCCACATGCCTCCCCCCACCCTGCCCAGACCCTCCCCTTCCCACCCTGGTGCTTGCTGGTACTCCCTGTGCCTTCTATGGGGGTTTGGAGACAGCGGCAGAGACCTCACCCCCCAACACCCCTCTTTCCCGCTCTCCATCTGTTGGCAATGCTCGGAAGAGGTTTTTTTATTTTTTTATATACTTTTTGGGTCACACCCGGCAATGCACAGGGATTACTCTTGGTTCTACACTCAGGAATTACTCCTGGCGGTGCTCAGGGGACCATATGGGATGCTGGGAATCGAACCCAGGTTGGCCGCATGCAAGGCAAACGCCCTACCCGCTGTGCTATCACTCCAGCCCCCACTTTCTATTTTTTGACCACACCCATCTGTGCCCAGGCCTATTCCTGGCTCTTCAGTCAGGGATCACTCCTGGTGGTGCTCAGGAGGACCATATGGGATGCTGGGGATCAAACCCGGGTCAGCCGTGTGCAAGGCAAATGCCCTACCCGCTGTGCTATCGCCCCAGCCCCTCGGAAGAGGTGCTTGGATCTTCCTGAGATAGCGTGCAGCCTCCCATGTGGCAGCCATCAGGTGGAATCAGGACTCAGGAGGGCGGGGGAGGCCAGGAGCGCCCCTCACACCCCACATGACACACCCCTGCACTGACTCCTAAGTGTCGGTCACCAGAGCTCCGGGGGCAGGGACAGTTGCCTCTGAGGGGTCTGCTGAGGGCGGAGGGGATGGTGCTGGGGGAACGGGGCTGCGGGTCCCCTTCTCAGCACCTCCTGCCTCTCCAGGCCAAAATCGTGCGCAACGCCAAGGACACAGCGCACACGCGCGCCGAGCGGAACATTCTGGAGTCGGTGAGGCACCCGTTCATCGTGGAGCTGGCCTACGCCTTCCAGACCGGGGGCAAACTCTACCTCATCCTCGAGTGTCTCAGTGGTAGGCGCCAAGGCCCAGGCAGCGGTGGGGGTTGTGGGGGGGGGCCTCACACCCTTCCGTCTGTCCGTCCGTCCGTCCGTCCATCCATCCTTCCATTCATTCAGCAAACGTCTGTCCGGCGCCTTTTGTGTCCCTCGCCTGTGTCGGGGGGCGGGAATGGTGGCGGCGCGTGTGGGAGGCCCGGCAACAGCCCTTTCGGCCGGCTGCCCGTCTCAGCAGCGCCTGCTGTCCTCGTGGTCACCCGTCTGTCCAGCCACACTCGTCTCCTCCTCCCCTGCTCATCCCCTCTCTTTTTTCGGGTGTTGGACCACTCCGACTTAAATTTGGGGCACCCTCCTGGCGATGCTCCAGGGACCCCCCCAGTTCCGGGACCGGAGCCCATTCTCTGTGCCACCCTGCGGCCCCCCGGCACCCCGCACACAGCTGACCCGGGGCCAGCTCCCCACCCTTCTCCCACCCCTCCCCCGACTGCCATGCGCGCTCCATCTCAGCCTCCCACCCGAGCCCCCCGTCTCCTCGCGTCGGGGCTGCCGCCACGGGCTGTCACCCACGAGCCGCGTGTGCGTGTCTGTCTCCCTGTCAGACTGAGCATCCTGAGGCCGGTGGCCAGGTCCCCTCGTGGCTGGCCCCAGCGTCACCCCGCACGGGGCGGGCACGAGTAGGCGTCGGTAGATGTTTGCTGAATTGAATCGAGCCCCCACGGCCGCTCTGTGAGGCAGGTAGGGCGGGAAGGACGAGCCCCCCGTCCCCGGGAGGCCACGACTCGGGAGCGCGGGCGCGTGCCCCCCGCCCCACGCCGCCACCTTTGTCTCACAGGAGGCGAGCTCTTCACGCACCTGGAGCGGGAGGGCATCTTCCTGGAGGACACGGCCTGGTGAGTGCCCTTTCCGGACCCCCCCCTCCCCAGGGGCTCGGGGACCCCAGCCCGCCTCACCCAGGCCTGTTGCCGCAGCTTCTACCTGGGAGAGATCACGCTGGCCCTGGGCCACCTCCACGCCCAAGGCATCATCTACAGGGACCTCAAGCCCGAGAACATCATGCTCAACAGCCAGGGTACACGGGGGCACGCGGGACGGCGGGCGGGGGGGCTGCAGGCCGGCGGTGCTGGGGGGTCCTGAACGCCCCCGCCTCTCCCCAGGACACATCAAACTCACCGACTTCGGGCTCTGCAAAGAATCCATCCACGAGGGCGCCGTCACCCACACCTTCTGTGGCACCATCGAGTACATGTGAGCCGTGGCCGGGGACGGGAGGACCCCCCCACCCACCCGGCCTGGCCTGACCTCCCCCCCACCCTAGCCTGCCTTGACCCGGGCTTCCCCTCCCCCGGACCCCCAGGGCCCCCGAGATTCTGGTGCGGAGCGGCCACAACCGAGCGGTGGACTGGTGGAGCCTGGGGGCCCTCATGCACGACATGCTCACCGGCTCGGCAAGTCGCGCCTCCTGGGTGGGGGCGGGCAGGCCTCCGCGGAGCCCCCCAGGCCCCTCTCACGCCCCGCCTCCTCCAGCCCCCCTTCACTGCCGAGAACCGGAAGAAGACCATGGACAAGATCGTCAAAGGGAAGCTGGTGCTGCCCCCGTACCTCACCGCCGACGCCCGGGACCTCATCAAGAAGGTGGGCCGGGGCCCTGCCGCCTCCTCTCTAGGCTGGGGGTGGGGTCGGGGTCCTCCTTTGGGGGAGGTGTCTTCGGGCTGGACACTAGCTTTGGGGTCCAGGCCACTGGGCTTGGGCTGTGCATAGCCACACTGCCCGTCCAGGCCGGGTCTGAGTCGGGATGAACCAGCCACTTTGCCCCATTCAAGGCGGCTGTGCCTCCCCCATTTGGAGCTGGAGCGTTGGGGGGGGGGCGAGGCTGAAATCGGGGCGGGGGTGGGGGGTACGTGCAGAGACCTGATGCCTTTGCAAAGGCTCATGGGGCCCAGGGTGCAGGGCCTGACCCCGCAAGTCCCGCGCAGGCCAGTAGGTGGCGCCCACACGCCCGTCTGGCCTCTCCCTGGGGCCTGCAACCCTCACGCGCTGCCCTTGCCCACAGTTTCTGAAGCGGAATCCTGCCCAGCGGATGGGGGGTGGCCCGGGGGATGCTGCCGATGTGCAGGTGGGTCTGGAGCGCCCCCTCCTTGTGGGGCGGGGCCCGAGGGTGTCGTGTTGGGGGGCCGTCTGCATGCCTGTGCCCACGCCCACAGAGGCACCCCTTCTTCCGGCACATCAATTGGGACGACCTCCTGGCCCGCCACGTGGACCCTCCGTTCAGGCCCTCTCTGGTCAGTGGTGCTCTGGGGACCCGGTGGCCGGTGGGCGACCCCCCTTCCCCCGTCCCGGCGCCCTCCGAACTGTCCTCTCGGCTCTGCCCACAGCAATCCGAGGAGGACGTGAGCCAGTTTGACGTGCGATTCACCCGCCAGACGCCCGTGGACAGCCCTGACGACTCGGCCCTCAGTGAGAGCGCTGACCAGGCCTTCCTGGTGAGGGGCCGGGCCTGGGGGGGGGCTGGGATGAGGGGCAGGGACACGCGGTCACACCCCCTCACCCCCAGGGCTTCACCTACGTGGCCCCGTCGGTGCTGGACAGCATCAAGGAGGGCTTCTCCTTCCAGCCCAAGCTGCGCTCCCCCCGCCGCCTCAACAGCAGCCCCCGGACCCCGATCAGGTACTGCACCCCCCTCCCCCGGGCTCCGGCCAGGGGCTCCCCGGCACCGGCACCCACCCACTCGCCTCATTTCCCCCACAGCCCCCTGAAGTTCTCACCCTTTGAGGGGTTCCGGCCCAGCCCTGGCCCCCAGGAGCCCATGGAGACCCCCCCGCCTCCCCTGCTGCCGCCGCCTTCGCCGCCACCCGCCAGGACGCCCCCCCTCCCCATCCGGCCCCCCTCGGGGGGCAAGAGGTCCAAGAGGGGCCGTGGGCGCCCCGGTCGCTAGGAGGGGGCAGGCAGCAGAGCTGTGGCCCAGGGACTGTCTGGGTGCAGGAGTGTGTGGGGGTGATTTTGGGGGGGGGGCAGCGGTGCCCTGGATCACGTGTGAGGGCAGCTGAGGGGGTCAGGCCTCCCCTGAGCTGTGTCCTGTGGGATTAAAGGACTCAATCATGGCACCCCCGCTCCTGACTTCTGGGACGCGGTGCCCGATGGAGGGAGCCCACAGGCCTTGGCACGGCAAGACTGACGGGTTTTATTTCGGGGGACTGTCCAAGGCTCGGGGGATCTGCATGGGAGGGGCGGGGTACACGCTTGAAGACGGGGTTGGGGGCTCCCAGGTGGAGCACGGCTGGAAGGCAGGAAGGGTTCGGCGGTGACCCGGGGCCGGCCTACAGCGTGGTGACGTGGACGTGGAGGCCGCGACCCCGGGGTCCCTACAGCGCAGTGACATGGAGGCCCTGACCCCCCGCCGCGCCCGCGCTGTCGTCCCAGGCCGCGCTGCCTGCAAAGCCCTGCAGGCCACTCAGCAGGGCCTCCGAGCTGCCCCCCGCGCCCGCCGGCCCCTGCATGTCCCCGTCCAGGTCGTGGTCCTGGTCGCTGTCCTCGGCCGGCATCAGGACCCGCTGCGGGCCGGGCTCCTCCGCGTCGCGCTGCTCCTCCGGGTCGGCCTCGGGCTCCCAGTCGCACTCGTCCCCTGCCGGCTCCTCCTCCGGGCGCTCGGGGACCCACCGGGTCTGCAGCCAGCGGCCGGGGGGGCTGGCCCGGAGCAGGCGGCAGGTGTGGCCCCAGAGCGCGGCGCCCAGGCGGGCCGGGTGGTAGTAGCCACCCGAGTCCCGGCTGAGGCGGCGCCAGGCCAGCGCCAGGCCCGCCAACAGCGCCAACAGCAGCACCAGCAGCACCGCGATCACCGGCGCCTTGTCGGACCGTTCCTGAGCACTGCCGCCCGAGCCCAGGGCCCCCGGCAGCGCCAGCAGCAGCCCGAGCCCCCCGACGGCCGGGCCCTGTGGGGGAGACAGGTGGGCTGTCACTAGGCAGGGGCCCCGGGCACTTGGGGACAGGGGGGTCCCCTCCCCAGGCTCAGGGGCTCAGACCCACTTCCCGGGAGGCCGCCCCCCGCGCCTGGCGGGAGGGCCCTGAGCTTTGTGCCTGTGGACCCAGCAGCCCGGCCAGTGGGTGCTCTGGTGAGCTTGCCCCGCCCACCTGCTGGCCGGACCCCAGGCTGGGGACCCCAGAGGCCCCACTTCCTCCCCACCAGGGGAGCGGCCTAGCTGCAGTTTCCATTCAGCGGCCGTCCCCAGGGGCCCGCAGGGGCGTAGGGTGCAGGGCGCAGGGCTGGGGGTGCTGCCGGAAGATGCCTGCGGTTGGAACCCGCGGGGCCTTCTCCGCCCCCGCGCGCGCTCTGCTGCCGCCGGGCCCAGGGGCTCCACGGGGCCTGTGCGGGGGTCCCAGTCCACAGGGGCAGCTAGGAAAGGCTCTGGGGGGCTCCGAAGGGTTGCATGTGCCCACAGCCATGGCCCGAGGCCTGGCCAGGGGAAGCCTCCCTGAAGGTCGATCAGTCTCTGCACCCAGCTCGTGCCCACTCTGCCACCTGGCCTCTGCCGCAACCCGCCTGGGGAGGCCTCCCAGAGCTCTGGGGGGTGCGGGCAGCCCTGCCCCGGCCACCCACACCCGCGCAGCCCCCGGGCCCCGGGCCCTTCCAGGCTCACCATCGTCAGCTGCCGCGGCGCTGGGCACCCACCGCCACCTCCAGCTGCGCCGAGTGAAGAGTGAGCCCCGACCCGCCCGCGGCTTCCGCTTCCTGCCCCAACCCACCCTGGTGGGAGCCGCGCAGACCCGCGCCGGCCCCCTGGGGGGAGGGGCGGAGCCCTGGGGCGGGGCACTGGCTGCACCGGGGGCGCCCCAAGGGGCCTGCAGGTGCTGCTGGGTGTGGCCCCCCGCCCCCTCCCCCAAGATACACACGCCCCCCGAGACTCCTGCTCGGAGGCTGGAGTGGGCGAGCCTCGTCCCCACCCCTGGGTACCCGCCGAGCCGGCGAGGAGGGCGCAGGCTTAGAAAGAGAACTTTATTCGGGAGGAAAATAGACTGTGCGACCCGCCGCCCCGCGTGGCCCCGGGGCTGGAGCCGGCCTCGCTGCAGTGCCCGCCCCGCGGCCCCGGCGCCCCCCTAGGCGCCCCCCTAGGCGTCCCCGTTCTCCAGGCGGCCCAGCTGCTCCTCCAGGCGGCCGATGCGCTCGTCCTGCTCCTTCACCAGCACGCGCAGCGCCCGCAGCTCCTGCAGCAACTCCTCCAGCTTCCCGGCCTCCTGCGGGCGTGGCGGGTGGGCTGCAGCGAGGGGCCAGGGACCCCCCCCACCCCGCCCCAGTCCGCCCGGTGGGGTTCTCCCTCCTCCCGGGCAGCCCCTCCACGCGCGCCCTCCGGGCCACCTACCCCGGCTCCTGAGAGGCTGCTGGCGGCCGGGGCGGTGCCCGGCGTCCCCGCGGGCCGGCTGTCCGACAGCACGTTGCGCCGGCTGACCTTCAGGTCCCGCTGCTTGCTGGGCACGTAGGCCCCCCGCAGGGAGATGAGCACAGGGTCCGCGTCCTGCCCGCTCACCCACTCGTCCGCCTCCAGGGCCGCCTCGGGCCCGGCCGTGTCTGGGTACAGGTCGTCCTGGAAGAGGTCGGACTGGGGGCGCAGGGGGGACACGGGGAGATCAGTGGGGGTGAGGCGGACCCTGGGGAGCCACCTCTGCAGGCCATCCTCTGGCGACCCCGAGTGACCCGAAAGGTCAAGCCTGTTCCCTCACTTCCCCGTGGGGACCGCCAGTAACCCCCACCCCCACCCCGGAGGACTGCTGGAACCCTGTCTGTGGCCACCGGCTGAGGCCCAGGGGACGCAGGTGGCAACCTCACTTGTGGCTTGGCTCCCTGGGCCGTGCCAGGCACATGGCAGTCACTGGCGGGGCAGAGCCGTGTCTGAGGCACAGCTGCACGGCCCGGAAAGCCCCCGCGAGCCCACACAGCTGTCCTTCTGGTGCCCTCGAGGCGCTCCTGCCCAACCCCCCCCAAGGCCCGCTGTCCGGAAAGACCCTCACCTTCCTGGGCACGGTCATGACAATGGGCTCGCACTTGCGCTCATGCAGCTTGTAGAACCTGGGGGAGGGAGGAGGGAGGAGGGCGGCTGCTGGCGGCCGGGCTGGCGGGGACCCCACACCCGCCTGGCCCCGCTCTGGGCCCCCCTTACCGGGCGATCTCGCACTTGCTGACCTCCAGGCCCCTCTTGGGCATACTGCCCATCCCGCGCTGCGGCTCCTTGCTGGTGAACGTGTTCAGGAAGTGGATGTAGGGGGGCTCCTCGGTGATCTCGAAGTAGCGGATGCTGGAGTCGCCCTGGGGGGGCGGGGGCGGGGTCAGCCCACGGCCCTGCGCCTGCTCCCCCCCCCACCGCCTGGCCCGGGCCCACCTTGCCACAGACGTAGACCACGTTGGTGTCGGGGTCGTAGAAGGGCAGCAGGGCCCCGTTGCTCGAGTCTAGCTCCTGCAGCGCCATGGGCTCCCCTGGGTTTTGCTGGACACGAAGGGTGGCTGTCAGGCCCTGCCCTGCCCCGCCTGCCCACGGGTCTTCTCCCACCCTGAGGTCTTGCTCTGCCCGTGGCTCCTCCTGGCTGCCCTCAACCTTCCAGGGGCCTCCGTCCCAGCCTATTCCAAACTTCTATTTTCACGCCACTGAGCAAGCAGGTCTCCAGCCCAGTGGGAGTCTCAGAAGTCCACATAGACGCAGGGAGCAGGGCGACCGAGCACTCGGAGGGAAGGCCTGGAAGGCTTCCTGGAAGAGGAGGCCCCAAAGGGCAGCCCCGTGGGGACAGACCAATGAAGTCAGGGCCTCTCCGCTGGCACCATGTGGGCAGAGATGGGCGGACACAGTTGTCCAGCACATGTCCAGCCTGGGCAAGGCATGGATTCATCAGCTCCAAACACGGAGTGCCCCCCCACCCCAAGCTCCTTAAGCTGGGGAGGCGGTTGGAGAGAGGGTGGGCAGCGAGTGGGGGGCCGGGCGCAGGGCTGAGGGGGACACGCCCGTCCCTCACCGGGTCCCAGAGCGCCAGCTGCCGCTCGCTCATGCGGCTGAAGCCGGTGGTGAACACTTTGCCGTCAGCCAGGAAGATGGCCCGCATGGGCCGGGTGCCCTCGTGCGCCTTCTCCAGCTCCTGGAGGGACAGAGAGGTCAGTGCCGGCCGCACAGCAGTCCCTTCCTGCCGCCCGGCTGTGCCTGGGGGGGCCACCCACCGTCACCAGCGTGCCACGGCGGGGGTCGATGATGCGGACGCTCTTGTCCCTGCAGGCCGTGCAGAAGAGGCTACCGTTGTGGTTCCAGCTGACGTTGTAGATGAGGTCGGGGTGCAGGCTGTCCAGGCGGTACAGCTCCTCCGCTGTGCCCACGTTCCAGATGAGCACCATGTTGTCGCAGCCTGGGGAGGGGGGAGGCAGCATATCCGCTCAGGCCCGGCAGCCCGGGGGAGGGGGCACTGCCCAGGGACCACCCGCCGGGCGGGGCGGGGCCGTGCACACCTGCGCTGAGCAGGACGTTGTGGGCGGTCGGATGCCAGCTGATGATGCCCACTCGCTTGGTGTGGCCTTCCAATACTACCACAGGCTCCGTGAGCGGGGACACCAGCCCGTTCTCGGGTATCTGCCACACCTGCGGGGGGGAGGTGCCGAGTTGCCCCCTGAGGCCAGGCTGGGCCATCGTCTTCAGTTTTTGGTTTTGGGGCCCCACAAAGTGATGCTCAGGGATTACTCCCGGTGGGGCTCGGGGGACCCTATGGGGTGCCGGGGACTGAATCCAGGTCTGCCGCGTGCTTCGTCCTCCCCACTGGATTATTGATCCGGCCCCCAGGTGGGGCCTTGATAGTGGTGAGCCTGATGCCCGCTGGGGCCCACTGCCCACTGCCCTGGGGACCGCCCGCCTCACCATGACGGTGCAGTCCTCCGAGCCGCTAGCGATGACTTCGTCATTATGGGGGCACCAATCGATGTCCAGGACGGGTCCCCTGTGGCCACACACAGTCGGGTAGGCCTTGTCAATGCGGCCCGTCTGTGGGGAGGGGCAGGGGGTCAGAGAGAACCAAGGCCCCGGTCTCACCCACTGGCCACCTCCTCTCCGGCCTCGCAGGGACCAGCCTGGGCCAGCACTTCCAGCAATAAACGTGGGTAAGAATGTGGATCTGGGCAGCTGCCCAAAAGCAGGGATGGCCTGTGTGGACTAAAGAATGTCAAAGTACACACTCAGGTGTGGCCCGCCGTGCCCCACCTTACTCAGGGGGAGCACCAGGAAGGCGCCCCCGCCGCTGGCCTCCACGATCACAGCCAGGAACTTGGGGTTGACGGCACAGAAGGTGCTGTCCCAGGTGACACGGGACACTCGGATGTCCTCATAGCACTGGTCATTCTTCACCGGCTGCCCGAACACGTGCCGAAATTTGCTCTGTCGGACCACTTTGCGGAAGGACATGTCTGCGGGGTGCGGGGGTGAGGTCAGGCCCTGCAGCCACAAGCCCCCCCACCTGGGAGGTTGGTGTTTCATCCACCTGGCCTCGTTTCCACCCAGTTACAGGGTGGGGTCACAGCGCAGCCCTTTCCCAGGTGAGGAACTTAAGGGAGAAGTGCATGGACCCCCACGGAGGCTGTGGAGTCCAGAGGCTTTGCAAGAGCCCCACCCCCTTGTCCCAAGGATGTCTGTGCGCGTGTGTTTGTGCTGGGGGTGGTGATGTTCTGGGGCGCTGGGGCCAGAGCAAGCTGACCCCTCCGTGAGATCTGGGGCAGCTCCCAGCAGGCTCCTTCCCGCACGCAGCATGGAGGCCGGTGATGGGGAGGACACAGAGAAGGCGGGGACAACTTCTGCGGCAGCGGCTAGGCCCCAGCTCTGCGGTGCAGGGACACGCAGGGAGCTGCACGGGGTCGCAGGCCCGGCCGTGGGGCTGGCAGGACGGGGCTGGGGTCGGAGCGCCCGTCGGAGCCTGCAGAGAACCGCGGCGCGGCATGGGGAGGCCGAGAGCTCAATGTCCGGCGACCCCGGCCCAAGGGGGGCGAGGCTGGGTGGCCACGGAACGATGCGACGCCCGGGAAGGGAAGGGCTCCGGGGCCCTGCGGCCAGCCCCCAGCCCCCTGAGGCCCCGCCCCGCCCCCGCCCGGTCCCGCCGCGCTCACCGGGGGTGCGGGGTCGCCGGGGGCTGCGGCACCAGCCTCGGGCGGCTCCGGATCCGGCCTCTGGGAAGCAGGAAGCGAGAATCAGGAAGTGACAGAGGAGCCGAGCGGGGGGCGGGGCGGGGGCCCGCGGGGGCGGGGCGAGGTCACGCGCGAGGGGGCGTGGCGTGGGCTCGAGGGGTGGGGCGTGGGCGTGAGGGGCGGGGCGAGGTCGAGCGGGGCCGCGCGAGGGGGCGGGGCATGGGTGGCCGGGACCGCGCGAGGGGGCGGGGCGTGGGCGCGAGGGGCGGGGCGTGAGAGGTCGGGACCGCGCGAGGGGGTGGGGCGTGGGCGGTCGGGGCAGCGTGAGGGCGGGGCGATGGTGGGCGGGGCGAGCCCCCGAGCGGCGCCTGGAGCGAGGCGCGGGGCGGAGCGCCCGGGACATCCACATCCATCCCCTGCACCTGGACTGATGCACGCGTGGGCTGCGGCCCAGGAGCCCCAGGTTGGCGCTGCCGCCTGGCCGCAGACCCGCGCCCCTTCCGCATCCTGTCTGTCATTGCGGCGAGCTCAGGAGGTGCCAGGAGCCGGGAGTCTGGGACTCCCCTGCCCTTGCAGTCCGGCTACCCAGTGCGCTTTCCAAGGTCCCGCAGTCCACCCCCCTGCAGAATATAGCGCGATTTACCACCACGAACTCTTTGGAAGTTACAAAGATGCAAGATCTTGGTTCTCTTGCAACAGAAGCAGCGGGATGTGGGGGCCCCGCACCCTACTCTCCCAGACGCATGACCCTGGCAGCTGACCTCTCTCATTAAAAATAGAAATGGGGAAGTCGGGGACAAGGAGATAACTCAGCATCAGGGGCACATGCCTGACCTGCGTGGAGACCTAGTTCACCCACTGGAAACTGGGGGTGGCTGTGGGAGTCGTCCCGGTGTTACTGTGTAGCCCCTCAAAGCAGCACACCTTTGCGGCCTGAACAGTGGTTCAAAACATCAGGTCAAGTCCTGTTTGCCAAATACCATTGAAACTGGACACCCTCAAGCTCCCTGAGTCTGCTGGGAAGTTCCCCAAATATGGAAATGAGGACACGCCCAGAAAAGTTTTTTTTTCCCCCATCTCTTTCTTCCCCCAGACCCCCGACCACTCTCTCAGGAGCCCAGACTGACATCCCTGGGTCCACTCCTCCCTGGAGGGTCACGCACAGTGGGGGGTGTCGTCCTCGTTCCCTCCAGGAGCATCTGTGGCCCTGGGTGACCATGGGGTGCTGGGCAGGGTCCTCTCGTAGAAAGAGCAGAGGAGAGCCCGTAATACAGCAAGTCAGGCTCTTGCCTTGCACACGGCCCACCCAGGTTTGATCCCCGCATCGCATCGCATGCGGTCCCCTGACTGCCAGGAGTGATTCCTGAGTGCAGAGTGAGGAGTAAGCCCTGAACACCGCTGGGTGTGGCCCCCAAACGAACAAAAATGGCTGGCAGAGTAGCCTGGTGGTGGGTACCCCCATGTGGCTGAGGACACAGGAGGGCCACAGGGCCACCCCACAGAATCCAATTCCCATCAGCTGGGCTCAGAGTCCCTTAAACCTGGGGCAGATGTGATGGGGACACGTGGAAGAGAAAACGCACCTCAAAACCTCCCTCCCCGCTGTTCTCCAGGGAAAGGAGCTGCTCGACACACAAAGCCGAACCAGGTCCCCTGGCCATGCTGGGAGGGACACTGCTGTCCCCGCTCACGCGTCAGCCTCCCCACCCGGACTCCCCTGAATATTCTCCCTACTTTCTTCCCCAGAGCCTCCGGACCCCCGACCCCGTCTCTGGCTCCTCCGGGACCCCTCCCTGGCTGCCCTCTCACTCTTTGGCCCTCATGTGTCCTCATCATTTCTTTTTCATTCTTTCCAGCGTCAGGGATCAAACCCAGGGCCTCACGCACGCAGGGTGAGTGCTTCACCGCTGGGCTCCGCCCCAGCCCCCACGGGGGGGGGGGGGGTGGTGGCTCGGCATGGCTTGATGCCGTGTGCGTGTGGTGTGATTATTGGCTCATGGGCTTCCTGGCTGTCTGCCCCCACCGCGACGTGTGCCAGTTGGGTCTCCCATCATATGGCAGCGCCGAGAACTTGCCCCTGAGCAGCCCACGGTCAGTTGACTTGTGTGGACTGAATGAACGAGCAGCAGCCCTGAGTCCAAGTGGGGGAATGTTCATGTTCACGACTCTCAGATTCAACAGTCAGGTGCCTGTGAGAGAAAGCGAGGGCTGCCTCTTGCCTGGGGAAGGGGTGCGTCTCCTGAGGGGCGGCGCATGGAGGGTGCAGGGGAGGGATGTCAGGGTTGGGTCGTCCCTTCCTGCCCTTGGACCTTGGCTCACAGGCTTCCTCCCACAAAAAGCTTCTCCACAAGGCACCCGAACTCCTCTTTATCCCACAAAACCCTTCGTGGTCCGACTCTCCTTCCTGGATGGCAATGGTCTCTTAGAGATGATCTCAGGGTGGGCACTGAAGCAGGATCTGCCCCAGGCCTCAAGGCGGGTGGCTGGCTCTGAGGCTGGACTCCGGGTCGGCTCGCCCTGATGAGGAAGCTTTGGGAATCCTGATTGGGAAAAGTATCCCCAAACGGAACAGAAGTGGAGCCCCTGCCTGGGGGGGGGGGGGGCATGAAAGCCTCTTTGGGGGAGGAGACACCAGGGCGGGGACTCCCAGGAGTGCCTGCTGACCCGATCTAATGAACTAAGAATCAGTGAGCACTGAGTACCAGGCGGGGATCCAAGCCTTTCGTGGGGATTCGGCTCTCGAGACTGCATGAACGGGCAGATCGGTGGCTTCCCCGGGCGAAGGGGAGAGCAAGGGATGGCGGGAGCTCTGGAGGAACTCTCGGGTCGTGTCAGGAAGGGCCCAGGAGGAGAGCTGGGGGACCTTTAGCACTTCCTCATTTGCTTTCTGCAGAGGTAGATTGGGGGCGATAGGCTGCCGATGTCCCGAGATGTGGTGACCTTTAGAAGAACCTTCCTGGGGCCCCCGCGCCCCCAAGCTCCGTTTCTGCCCTTGGCCTGGATGCTGGGAAGGGGGCCCAGAGGCGTGGCAGACAGGGACACGGAAGCTGCGGGGAGCCGGGGACGCTGAGACCTTATGTGGTGCTGACCTTGAAGTGACCCGGAGCCCCCCAAAGTCCATTCCGGGGTGCAGCTGATCGCCGTCCACGTGTGCCTCCCCCTCGCGTGCCCAGGACAGAGCGTTTGGTGTGAGGCTGTCGCTGGCACGCCCTCGTCTACTCCAGCCCTTACCCTGGCAGAGGGTGACCCCGATTCTGCACAGTCTCCAGATCTGGGCCTGAGTTTGGGCCTGGTCACTCTCACCCTTGCCCCTATCCCCTTGCTAGGCACTTCCTGCCCTGTTGGGGGTGAGGGACTGGAAATCGAGGAGGGGGAGGCTGGGGTGAGGATTCCCCCCTCAGCCTCTGCACCCCCAGGAGGGGGGACGAGCTGGAGAGGACGTGGACAAATGTGGGGTTCCTTCAAGCCCCCGCCCCTCTTCCTCCTGCATGGCTGAGGCCAAGGGGTCACTGTCTATGGGTCTGTGGGAGGCCCAGGGGTCTGTCGGGGAGCAGGGTGGGACCCAGAGGTGGGACCCACTGCTTGGCATTAGGGCGGCTCCATCGCCACCCCCACATCCTGCGTTCCGGGGGGGTTTCTGGGGGTGCCCCCTCTCTGCTGGTCAGTTCCTGTTTCCACTTGCTTATCCTCTGCCCGGGCGGTCTGGGCTTTCCGCACTCTCACGTGGGCTCGGCGCCTGGGGCTGCCTCTGGGGGGGCCCTGCCAGGTTCTTGACCCTCAGACGCGGCAGGCGGTGCTGGGCTCTTGGGGGCTTCTGGGGTGGGGGCGGGAGCAGCGGGTGTTTCCTCACAGGGGCTGGGGGCTGGGCTGGCTGCTCGGGGCTGGGCCTCAGGGCTGGCCTCTGGCTGCTCTGCGGGATCCGGTCCCTGGACCTCACACTGCACCTTGGGCTGGGTTGCCGGGCTCAGTGAGGGCTGGACTGTGGGGTCTGACTCTGGCTGGCTTGGGAGGGTCTCTGGGGTCTGGGGGCTCATCTCAGGCTGGGGCTGGAGATTCCCCTGGGGCTGGAGGTTAAGCTGGGGCTGGGTGATAAGGCTCAGTGAGGACTGACCTGCAGGATCTGGCTGTGCCTGGGTTGTAGGGTTCATCTGTTCTTGGGTTGTGGGGTTCACCTGTGCGTGGGTTGTGCAGGTCACCTGGGTCACTGGAGTCACCTGTGCCTGGGTCATTGGGGTCCCCTGTGCCTGGGTTGTGAGGTTCACCTGTGCCTGGGTCATGGGGTTCACCGGTGGCTGGGTTGTGGGGTTCACCTGTGCTTGGGTTGTGGGGTTCACCTGTGCCTGGGTCGTGCGGGTCACCTGTGGCTGGGTTATTGGGGTCACCTGTGCCTGGGTCATGGGGTTCACCTGTGCCTGGGTCGTGGGGTTCACCAGTGGCTGGGTTGTGGGGTTCACCTGTGCCTGGGTCGTGGGGCTCGCTGGTGGCTGGGCAGGGGGATTCACCGGCGGCTGGGCTGGGGGGTTCCCGTGTGGTCGGGCCTCTGGGGGAGTGTGGCTGGAGTGTGCCCCGTTCTGGAGTTCAGCGGGCAGAATGGTGCCCGGCTGCTCCTCGCAGAGCGCGGCGGCGAAGGAGGCCAGCAGGGCGTGGAGCAGGGCGCGGAGGTCGGCGCTGGCCAGGACGCAGAGGAAGGGGCTGAGGCAGCTGCTGAGCAGGACCAGGTAGTCGGAGTAGACCAGTGCCTCCCACAGCAGGTAGCCGGGGTACAGGTCGCACAGGAAGGCCAGGTAGAGCAGCTGGGCCAGCTGGTAAGGCAACCGCAGTAGCACGTAGGCCGACAGCACGGTCTTGGCCACACGCGCGAAGCCGCGGCAGGCGGGTGGCCGGGGCGGGCGGCGGCCGCAGCAGCGGGTGCGGCAGGCGGCGGCCTGCGTGAGCACGTGGCTCCCGAGCAGCAGGAGGAAGGGCAGGAAGCCCCCCAGCACCTCGAAGGCCCGCAGCGGCAGCTCCTCGCTGTCCCAGAAGTCCAGGCAGATGACCAGGTCGTACCACCAGACGGCGGCCTCGGGGAACACCAGCCAGGGCACGCTGAAGAGGGTGGCCAGCACCCAGACGCCGGAGCACACCCAGAGCGGCAGGCGGGCCGGGCGGCGTCCCGGGTACCAGCGTGGGCACAGTGCCAGCAGGCAGCGGTCCAGGCTGAGCGCCGCCAGCAGGAAGAGGCCCGAGGAGTAGGACACACCCCACAGGAAGTAGTAGAAGCGACAGGCGGCCGTGCCCAGTGGCCAGTGCCCCCCGTGCTGGATTTCCAGGATCTGGAAGGCAGCCGCTGCCAGGAACAGGAGGTCAGAGAGCGCCAGGCTGAGCATGAGGAGTGCCAGGCGGGTGCCCGCGCCCTGCCGCGCCTGCGAGCCCGCCAGCCATGCCATCAGCCCGTTGGCCGGCAGCCCCAGGAGCAGCAAGGCCACCAGGAAGACGGTGTCCCAGCCGCCCTGGGGGTAGTAGTCCTCATCATCCAGCTCCGTGCGGGGTCTGTGGCCAGAGATGCCCAGGCTGGCTTCCATGGCCGAGCTCATCTGGGGGCCCCAGGCTCCCCCTGGCCTTGGGTGGGTACCTGGTGAGTCAACGAAGGCATGAGTGATGGAATCCAGGACAGGCGGCTGGGTGTCGCGGGGTATGTCACTGTGCCCCCCCAAGCTGTCGGCATCATTTTGGGGGCTACTCGGCCTCTGTAGGGACTTTGCTAATCGCCTTTCCAAGACCCCTTACAGGTGAGGGTTAGATGAAACTAATTCAAAACCCTCTGCCATGTGGAATCCCGGGGCGTCCAGAGAGATCAAACCAGGGACATTCAAATACATATTTTGGGGGGGCGGGGGAGAAACCGCCCTTGGGATGCTCAGGGGACCCTGCAGTGAGGGATTGAACTGGAGCCTGCAGACAGCAGCATGCAATCAAGCACATTAACTACCCTCGACTATCTCTCTGACCCCCTGACAGATTTTTTTGCAGGCTGCCACACCCAGAGGTGCTCAGGGCTTACTCCTGGCTCTGTGCTCAGGATCACTCCTCGTGAACTTGGGGGACCATATGGGGTGCCGGGGATCGAAACTGGACTGGCTGTGTGCAAGGCAAATGCCTTATCCGCTGTACTATTGCTCTGGCCCCAAGACCAATTTTAAAAAACTGAACCCTCAGGGCCTGAGAGATGGCCCAGCAAGTGGGACACGTGAATTACCTCCTGTCCCCTGAGCCCCACCAGGACTAATCCCTGTGTACGGACAGAGCCAAAGATATGCCCTGAGCACCAGCAGGTGTGGCTCCAAACCCCCAAGATTATAATTTCACGTATGAGGCCCCTGGATTCAATCCTACATACAATATACCTTCCCTCCCAAATTTATGGACTAGACACGGTCAAGGGTGAAGTACTTGCCTTGTCCACGGCCGAGCCCAGTTCAGTTCCCAGAACTGCACACAGTTCCTTGAATACCGTCTGGAGTCAGCCCTGAGCAGTGCCAAGTGTGACACTCCAAAACAAACAAACAAAAAAATCCTAAAATGTTTTATAAGGGCTGGAGAGATAGAACAGCGGGTAGGGCATTTGCCTTGCACACGGCCGACCTAAATTCAATCCCTGGCATCCCATACAGTCCCCCAGCATTGCCAGGAGTGACCCCTGAGCATCGTTCAGTGTGACCCAAAAATAAAGCCCTCCACCCCCCAAAAAACCTTTTTTTTTTCTTTTTGGGTCACACCCAGCAGATGCTCAGGGGTTACTCCTGGCTCTGCACTCAGGAATCACTTCTGGCGGTGCTTGGGAGACCATATGGGATGCTGGGAATCGAACCCGGGTCGGCCGTGTGCAAGGCAAATGCCCTACCCGCTGTGCTATTGATCCAGCCCCCCCAAAAAAACTTTTTAAAAAACTTTTCTCCTTTAGGGGACTAGAGCGATAGTCCAGCAGGTAGTAGGGCATTTACCCGGGTTCTAAGGATGGCATTCCCTATGATCCCCTGAGCACTGCCGGGAGTGATTCCTGAGTGCAGAGCCCAGAGTAAGCCCCAAGGATCCCTGACTTCAACACAAACAAGAAACTTTTCTCCTTCCAATGCTAATGTTGTTTCTCTGCAGTGCAAAGGGGTCCTGGACTAAAGCAGGCGAAGCACTGTGAGGTCCTCCTAGGGGTCCCAGCCAGAAGCCACGTGGTCAGGTATCCTCACGTCATTGGTGTCAGACAGGAGAGCTGCAGGGTCCCCAGGGACCACCAGGAAGCTCAGGAACCCGGCTGGCAGAGCTGGGGGCTCACCCTACAGCAGCCGGGCAGCCTGCCCCCACCCCTGACTTGACCCCCTTGTCCCCTGAAGCCACTAAACAGATAAAAGGCTCCACCCTGCCTCCAAGATGGGAGTGGCCAGTTGGGAGGTCACTGCCCCCACCTGCGCCCTGACCCTGAGTGGATAAGGGGCGCCCCTCAGAGCATGGCGCTCGGGGGCTCGACCAGATTAGCCCTGGCAAGGCTGGTCCTGCAGTGGCTCTTGGCCAGTGGCCGCCCACGCCAGGCTCATCCCACCTCTGCAAGCTCCCACCGCTGTGTTGGAGGTCCTGGGGCTCCCAGCCCCTCGGCTGAGGCTTGACTTACCTGGGAGGCTCGGGAAAGGGCCTGAGGCCTGGTGGTCCCGCATCCGGGCTTGCCCGACGGTCCAACAGTACAGAGGCAGCCGCTCGAAACACGAGCTGGAGGCCATCTATCATTCATGGGGCAGCTCGCTGGGAAACCCTAACCCAGCCTGGTAGGGCCAAGTGACCAGCCCGAACCTTCACGGACCCCCGCAGGGCTGGATGACCAAATCCCCTCCCCCAGCAAGCCCCCTGCTCTGAGCAGGTCTAGGGTCTCCCTTCTCTGACATCGCCCCCTCACTTGGCATTCGGAGCCCCTGGCACCAGCCTCTCTTCCTCAGCTGAGGCCTGCCCTCTCCCCACAGCCTTCTGCCCAGCTGCCCTCTGGGTTTAGCTGGGCTGAACCTCAACACCCAGTTTGGGCCCGAACCATAGTCCAGAGGATAGGGCGTTTGCCTTGCACACGGCCGGTCAACCCGGGTTTGATTTTCAGCATCCCATAGGGTCCCCCGAGCACCGCCAGGAGTAATTCCTGAGTTCAGAGCCAGGAGGAACCCCTGAGCACCACCAGTGTGACCCGAAATGCCAAACAAGACAAAACAAGCAAAAATCAACACCTGCATTTGGCGAGGCAGCCGCTGAGGCCGGGTGGGGGGCAGGGGGGTTTGCAGCGGAGCTGAAGCCGACTCAGGGCAGCTGCACCCAGGAAGGGGTGACTCTGGGCCCTGCTCACCTGGGGCTGGATTAGGGGCCTAATCCCCCTCAAGGCCTCAGCGTCAGGATGGGGACGCCTAAGCCTCTTTGTGGGTCCCGAGAGCTGGGGTGCTGCGCGCTGCACCTCTCTCTGCATGGCCACCCAGCAGGCCAGGGGGCCTCAGGGCTCAGCCCCCTCCCCACAGAAGTCCCCCACGGGGGTGGTGGCACCCCAGAGTGGTACTGAGGAGCCGCACGTGACCCGGAAGAGAAGCCAGAGGGTGAAGGGTCTGCAGGAGGGGCCTGGGCCAGACGCAGATGTATCTGGGGTGCAGAGACCCGGGCAGCAGGTGGAGGCCTCAGGGGCCAGCAAGAAGCCCTTGGGGACAGAGGGGCAGGGGTCAGGGCCTCGGCGCCCCCACCGCCATCAGCCTGGCCTTCAGCAAGACTCTGCCCAGAAGGCCTATGGGCCCCTGCTCCACCGCCTCTTCGGGAAGGTCAGCGGGGGCTGCAGGGCTGGGGGTCTCTAGGCGGCTGGGCAGGGCTGCTGTGACCTGGCGTGGGGTGCAGGTACTGGGCCGAGATGGGATTTGAACCCTGCCCCCTGCTCCTGAGGCAGAGGCTTGGGTTAACGTCCAGAGGCTGTGTCAGGAGGGATGCCCGGAGTCCGGGCAGGCCCCAGGGTCATGCTGGCCTCTGTCCCCGCAGGACCGTGAGCTGGGCCCCCAGGAGCTGGCCGGTGAGTGGCTGCAGCAGGGGCGGTGGGTGGGGGGTATCCTGGCACCGGGCCACGGGGCTTACTCCATCTTTCAGAGTTGCAGGCGGCCTTCGAGGAGTTTGACACTGACCGGGACGGCTACATCGGCTACCGGGAGCTGGGCACCTGCATGCGGACGCTGGGCTACATGCCCACCGAGATGGAGCTCCTAGAGGTCTCCCAGCACGTCAAGATGCGCAGTCAGTGCCCATCCCGAGGGTGGAGAGTGGGCGGGGCCCTGGGTAGTGGTGGGGGCCCGCCCTTGTTTTGTGGAGCCTCAAGACCTGGGACAGAGGTCAGAGAGATAGTACAGTGTGTAGAGCAGTTGCTGTCACATGACAGACCTGGGTTCGATCCCCAGCACCTCACAGGGTCCCCCGAGCACTGCCTGGAGGGGTCCCTGAGCACAGAATTAGGAGTAAGCCCTAAGCACTGCTGAGTGTGGCCCCAAACTAAGGCAAAAACTGAACAGTCTGAGGGTTAAGACTCTTGTCTTGGGGCTGGAGTGATAGCACAGCAGGTAGGGCATTTGCCTTGCACACGGCCAACCTGGGTTCGATTCCCAGCCTCCCATATGGTTCCTCCGAGCACTGCCAGGAGTAATTCCTGAGTGCAGAGCCAGGAGTAACCCCTGTGCATCATGAGCTGTGACCCAAAAAGCAAAAAATAAAAAGTGCAGCCAGCCCCAGTTTGTTCCGTACCCCCACAGGGCACATTCCGGGCACCGTGGGGTGGCCCAGGCAATGTCCAGCACTGCGGAGCCCGAGTGGCCCCATTGCTACAGGCCCTTGCATTGATCTGCCGGCCTTGTTGGTTGAGAAGAGCCAGAAGTGGCTCAAGGCTCCTGAGCACTACTTGAGAGCAGATGCAAGGGGAAGGGTGGGGACCTGGGACTCAGGACAGGGTTCCCGCCCAGGTGCGTGTGTGCCCAGGCTGTGGCATGTCTGTCCTTCACTCTTCCCATCACCTTGACCAAGCACTGCTGACCCTGGTGAGCTGGTGGCTGCTGCTCTGGGCGCCCAGTCACCTGGTGCTCCTGTCCTCCCTCTTAGAGGCCGGTGTGACAGGTCCCTGGTCCTTCCTGGGAATGAAGCGTTGGTGGGCAGGTACTTGTGTGCTGATCAGAAGCTACTAAGTCCCCAGCCCTGTCCCTGTGTCTGCTGCCTCTTTAAGCCTCCCACAGATCATGGGTTATGACATGTTTGGTTTGGTTTTGGTTTCAGTTTTGGGCCAAACATGGAGATGCTCAGGGTTATTCCTGGGTGCTTGGGGGACCATGTAGGATCGGACCTCAGGTTGGCCACGTGGAAGGCATTTTGCCCGTTGGAGTATGACCCAGGACACATTTTGACATTTTGGATTCTGCTTTCTTTGCCCCGCCCCAAATCTGTGACCTGACCATGGTGGTTTCTGTAAGTGCTCACTCCTTAGAGCTGAGGGACCACACGAGAAGGCTACTTCTGGGGTCTTCAGTGCCAGCTACTGGCAGCTGCTGGAGATCGATGCTGGGGCCTCCTACACGCGAGGCCTATGTTCTCCCTGTGAGTCACATCTGCATCCCTCATCCCACCACTTGAAGGCTATGATCTCCAACTGCAGGGGCACCACCCCAGGGGGACCCTCCTCCCCATCCCAGGAAGAGGAGGGACTTGTAGTGCACCCCAGGCCATGCACCCAGGTGGCAGAGCTGGGTTGGAGCCTGGTCTCTGGTTCGGTTTTGGGTGCTACACTGGAGGAATCCCCACCCCATCCAGAAGGAGCTCCTCTCGGTGCTTCCTTCTGGGCATGGGGAATGGGGGGGTCCATCCTGAATAGAAAGCGGGGGGCTGGCCTCTAACATCCCTCTTGGGGTCCCAGCCCTCCGTGTGATGCTGCCTGTGTCTGCAGTGGGGGGCCGTGTGGACCTGGAGGAGTTTGTGGAGCTGATGAGCCCGAAGCTGAGGGAAGAGACAGCACATATGCTGGGAGTGCGGGAGCTGCGGAGCGCCTTCCGAGAGGTTTGGGGGCCGGTCTGGGGGTGCAGGGTGTGTGGGTGGTGTCCCTCTGGTTTCCCGCCTCAGCCTCTGGAGGCCCAGGCCACTGGTGCAGCGAGGACTTTAGGGGAGGATTGAGGAGGGGGCACTCGCTGTTTGGGGGGAGCAAAGTGATTGAGTTAGTGGAGGTGGGGGCACCTGGAGAGCACCTGTGGGAAGTGGGGTGGAAGGAGGCCCGTGCAGCTCTGGGTGGCCTCCCAGTTTGACAGGGACAGGGATGGACTCATCACGGTGGCTGAGCTGCGGCAAGCAGTGCCCGCTCTGCTGGGAGAGCCGTTGGCAGGTCCTGAGCTGGATGAGATGCTGCGGGAGGTGGACCTCAACGGGGATGGCACAGTGGACTTCGACGGTGAGTCTCACACCCCCAGCTACCAGGCTGAGCCCAAGGGCCGGGCCTAGATCCACGCCCCGCCCACAGGTGCTCCTGCCCAGCCCCGCCCCTACAGACCTAAGCCCCGCCCCTGAACACGCTCTGCCCACAGGAGCTCCTGCCCAGTCCCTCCCCTGTGTGCATTCAAGCTCCGCCCCCAGCGCTCCTCGCCCGCCCACAGGTTCCCCTGCCAGGCCCCGCCCCACTAAGCCCCGCCCCCACACGGCCCGCGCCCCGCCCACCATTCCTATACTGCCCCCCGAGCCACGCCCCCTCACTGCCCCGCCCCTCTGTCTCTCCCACAGAGTTTGTGATGATGCTTTTCAGCCCCTGAGTCCCAGCGCTTCCTGCCACCGCCTTGTTTCTGATCCGGGAGCCCGAACTCCAGCAAGTTCCAGCTGAGCCTCCTCTCCAGGAGGCCCTGAGGGAAACCACTAGCGCCGCTGGGCATATTCTGCCCTGGTCTAGCCTCAGCCCACCCCCCCGCCCCGCCCACCTCCCACGGCGCTGGCAGAGTAGCAGGTGTTAGGGAAAGGCAGACGGGGGTCCCAGGCACCAAGCAGGGCAAGCACAGCGGGCTGGTGGGAGCTGCAGTCCGGGAGATAGAGGTGGGGGGCTCAGGCCTCTCCAGCAACCACGAGAGGCTGAGGAGCAGGGCGGGGGGTGGGGGGACCAAGCAGGAACGTCCACTGGCCAACCTGAGCAAGGGGCCAGGCTCCAGCTGTTCAGGGCCTGGAGGGGTGCAAGGCCACCCCCAATCCCCAAAGGTCAGGACCACTGTCACTCAGTCACTCTCCACGGTGTGAAATGCTGAAGAGACGGGGCTAAGAAGGGGCACGTTTTCCACTCAGACCGACCACTTCAGGAGATAAATGATTACAGTTTCCAGTCACACAGGAAACACTTCAGCCTTGAGAGCACTCAAGGCTGCAGCAGAACCGGCCCAGAGAGTCGTTCTGGAACAGTCCCAAGGACCCCAAATCAACTCAAACAAAGAGCTGCAGAGAAAACAGACTGATCCGGAGTCACAGGATAGTATGAAAAGAGGAAAGGAAGATTTCTTTTTCGTTTTTGGATAGGTGAGGCTTTCAGGCACCGAAACACCACCAATGTGAGCCCTATTTCAAAAAAATAAACTGAAAAAGAATGACGGCAAACACCACTTTTAGTTTTGACCCAAACTTTTTCATTATCAAATAACTTCTAAAAGAGATTGAAGAGCTAGTACGGTGGGTAGGGCATCTGCCTTTCATACAGCCTGACCTGGGTTTAATCCCTAATATCCCATAGATCCTGAGTGATTCCTGAGTGATTCCTGAGCACACAGCTAGGAGTAAGCCCTGAGTACTGCTGGGTGTAGCCCAAGAAACAGTATACACTTACACACACACACACACACAACAACAACAACAACAACGAGGGGTCAGCAAGACAGTACAGGAGATACGGTACTTGTCTCACATATGGCCAACACCAGTTCTAATGTCCGGCTCTACACCGAGAATGCTCCCCAAAATAAACAAAAACTAAAAGAAATATAAACAGGGACTGGGAGCATAGTACAGAGATAGACAGCAGAGAGGGCATCTGCCGCACACAAGGTCAACCTGGGTCCAGTCCCCACTGCCCCTTGTGGTCCCTCGAGCCCCGTCAAGAGTGATTCAGAGTCAGAGCCAGGAGGAAACCATGATCACAGCCAGCTGTGGCCCCAGTCACTCCCCCCCGCAAGCATTTGAGTGGGTTTCCTGTGAGAGATGCAGAGCATTCGAGAAGGCCTTAACACACACAGAAATCTGTCTCCCCAATCTGATCAGTGCTGGGGTCAGAAGTCTACAAGTTCCACTCCCAGGTCCCAGGGATGGGCTGAGGTGTGTGAGCACCGGACTCTGCGTTCCAAGTGGCAGGTTGGAGACAGGAACAGAAAAGGGGACAAGGAGCCCAAAGCACTTACAGCCCGTTAAGCAGAGCTTGGCCCCTCCTCCCCTGAACTTGACTGCAAAGGATACTAGAAGCCTAAGAGAGAGGAGAAAAGTGTCTGCCATAGAGGCAGGCTGGTGGGGGAGGGAAACTGGGGACACTGGTGGCAGGAAACTTGCACTGGAGAAGGGACGGGTGTTGGAACACGCTATGACCGAAACCCAGTCATGAACTCTGTAACTATGCATCTCATGGTGTCATGGTCACTGTCCTCCCGTTGTTCACCGATTTGCTCGAGCGGGCCCAGTAACGTCTCCGTCATGAGACTTGTTACTGTGTTGGGCATATCGAATACGTCACGGGTAGCTTGCCAGGCTTTGCCGTGCGGGTGAGATACTCTCAGTAGCTTGCCAGGCTCTCCGAGAGGGGCAGAAGAATCGAACCCAGGTCGGCTGCACGCAAGGCAAACGCCCTACCCGCTGGACTATCTCACAGTGATTCAATTAAAAATTTTAAAAAATTTTTAAAAAAGGAAACATCGTTCCTTGGGGGGGGTGGGCAGCAAAGTTTACTAAAGACCCAACTGGAAGTGTGAACTGCAGGCAGAGCTGAGAAAAAAGGGTGAAGGGAAACAGAGTCACTAAGGACACAGACGGTCTGAACCAGCTGTGCGTGTTGGTTTGATTTTTGGGGAGTGGCACACCCAGCAGTGCTCAGGGCTTACTTCTGACTCTGTGACCACTCCTGGCAGGGCTTGGGGTGCCAGGGCTTGAACCCAGACTGGCCATGTGCAAGGCAAACACCCTACCCTCTATTGCTGTTTGTATATTTTGGGTGTTTGGGCAGTACCTGGTGGTACTTTGGAGTTACTCCCAGCTTTGTGCTCAGGGGTCACTCCAGGTGGTGCCAAGAATCAAGCCGGGATCTGCCGAGAGCAGAGCCAGTGCTCAGCCCAGGGAGCTGAGGTCTCCCTAGCCTCGACTTGTCTTGTGGGCCACACCCAGCTGTGCTCCAGGCTTACTTCCGCCTCTATGCTCAGGAATCATTCCTGGCAGTGGTCAGAGGCCAAATGTGATGCAAGGGGATTGAACTCTGATCTGATGTGTGCAATGCAAGGGCCCTTCCTGCTCTCTCCAGACGCCCAATGACACTATTTACGGGGGTAGAAGGACCTCAAACATTTACACAGAGGGATAAGGCCATGTCCACTCATGGTGGTATCTTGAGTGACCTGGGCAGAGGTGCCCATTACCTCTCTCATCCACAGAGAGAACTGCATACTCCTCCCCATGCTCCCAGCAAGTGAGCATTGCACCCAGCACCCGTTGTCTGGTGAGGGCCTGATTTCAGCTTCTCTGAGATCATTTCCTGCTCCCTGAGGCTGAGACTCTCACTGAGACAATGTGCTTCTAGGGTTCTGTGGCTTTGTTCACTGTGGTTCTGTCACCCTGACCCTGGGTCCCCTGACTCTGAGCTCCGACTCCTCCCTAGCTCTGCGCCTGACCAGCCCTTGTCTCAGTCACGGTCAGGGCTGGCTGGGCAGCCTCAAGCGCCAGGGCCAGGCTGGAACCAGGATACCAGCCTCCAGGTCCCAGACTTCTGCCATCTCTAAGTGCCCTCGGCCAGGGCGACCAGGCTGGTGAACGGTGGGGGCCAGGTAAGTGGTCCTGGGGTGACTTCCAGTTCCTGCAGGAGAGTTTGTAGCCCACAGGAAGGAAACTGCAACCCTCTCTTCTGGAAATAACGACCCCTTTATTTACACGACCACCAATCCGCAGCCCCCAAGTGGGAATACATTAAGGCACAGAACAGGCACAGGGCGCTTTTCCCTGGCTCCAAAGGTGAGCCCTTGGGGTGGGGGGGTCTACACCCCCAAACTTCCTGAGTAAAGTACCGAGAGGACTGAGGGTCTTGGAGTATTTCCCTGAAGATGAGGGGACACGAGCGGGGCTGGGAGCAGGGCTCACTTCCGACAGCTCAGGTCACTTCTCGAAGTAGGGCAGGTAGAAGAACTGGAAGCCCCGATGGCCCCGGACACCGCAGTAGATGAAGATCACGTGGTAAACTGTGGGGCGGGGCCTGTCAGTGTCGTGGCCCCGCCCGCCCTGCAACCGCCAGGCCACGCCCACCAGGCCACACCCACACCTGCCAGGCCACGCCCAGCAGGCCACGCCCCTGTCCCTTGCGCACCTCCTGGGACCAGCAGCAGGAAGCCGGGCACGAAGAATATGGCGCTGGAGACACCTGCGGGAGGGGGCAGAGGGTCACCGTCGCCGGGTGGGGACGGCTCCAGGGGCAAGGGGGGCCTGGGGGCGGGTAAGCGCCTCCTCTGGACCTGGGGAGGCTCACCTGGGTTGGGGGCCACCTCCAGTCCCACGCCGACCAGGATCAACACTGCGTGGAGTGGCGAGGGTGAGGGCCAGGGCTGGGCGGAGTCCAGGGCGGGCACCAGTCCAGCCCCCCTTAGGCCTGCGGATTCCCACCCGCTGAGCAGAAGCTGCCCGGGCCAGACACCTCCCTTGGCAGGAAGCCCGCGAGTTCGGCCGCCTCCCCGCTGTGGCCTGTGCGAGCACCTCGGCCGAGGCCATGCCACGGCTTTTTTTGGGGGGTGGTGGGTGAGGGGGGATTTGGGCTACACCAGAAAGTACTCAGGGCCTCAGTCCTGGCAGGGCTTGGGGATTTGGGGATCAATCAAAAATCAAACCTGGGATGCCAGGGATGGAACCCGGGTCGGCTGCCTTCAAGGCCACTTTACGCAGGGTATTATCCCAGGGGTAGTGACAACTGCTGCCCGCCAGGCCAAATGCGGGAAGACAGCTGGCTTCAAGCTGGGCTGCAGAGGCGGCGGGACCCCTAGCGCCACCTGTCGGCTGTTGGAGGTCGGGCCTCTGGGAGAAGAGCAGGCTGGGCACAGCCTCTAGCCCAAGGCCCTTTTGAACCCAAGCCTGGATCTTTTCTGCTTACTCTTTTGGGCCAACCCCCACCCCCATGGTGCTGGGGGCTACTCAAACCCCACGTGCTCCGGGTCTGAGCTATTTCTTCTGCCAGGGAACTGAGGCCCTTAGAATGAGGAGCCTGGGAATCTGAAGATCAGCCTTGAGCTCTTCCTGCTCTGGACCTCAGCTGTCCTGTCTGAGCAATGAGGGCGGGAGAGAGGTTCCTGCCAGCTCACACTCCACAAGGGGAGGCGACCAGTGCCTGGCGACCACTCAGTGGGTCAGCTTGGCAAGTTTACGGGCCACTGAAATGGGCATATCCCTAAGCATCTGCTAGACACGGGATCTGGGGCTTGGCTTTCCCTGCACTGTGACAGCTAACCTGGGCGGGGCTCACAGGCTGGAGAAACTGCATCATATGCAGAATCCCCAGATTCTGTCCCCAGCACCATATGGTTCCCTGAACACTACCTGAAGTGTTCAGCACTACCACGTGTGGCCCTCCAAAAAAAACTGTAGCACTGTCCTCCCATTGTTCATCGATTTGCTCGAGTGGGCACCAGTAATGTCTCCATTGTGAGACTTGTTGTTACTGTTTTTGGCATATCGTATGCGCCACGGGGAGCTTGCCAGGCTTTGCCGTGTGGGCAGGATACTCTCGGTAGCTTGCCAGGCTCTCCGAGAGGGGTGGAGGAATTGAACCCAGGTCGGCTGCGTGCAAGGCAAACGCCCTACCCGCTGTGCTATGGCTCCAGCCCTCCAAAAAACAAACAAACAAAAAACCCCTCCGAATTCAAACAAACAAAAAAAGCAAAGAAGAAAGAATAAATGGTGACTGCTACTCATGTCCCTGTCCCTGATTCTTCTTTTAAGGATAAGTTTTAACAAGGGAACGAAAATGGGGAGACAGCAGAGCGCTCAGCCTGCCCTCTCCGGGTCTGCTCACCTGGAGGATGGGGGTTAGAGAGCCTGCAGGGAGGGTCCCAGGGGTGGTGCCCGCAGACTCACCCAGGCCGAGCAGTAGCAGCAGGAAGGAGGCCAGCACGACGCGGTGGTTCTTCTGGACCAGGGGGTGCTGTACCCAGCTGGTTGGCAGAGAGAAGGCAGGGCTGTGAGGGGAGTGGGGGACGGGGCGTGGCCGTGGCTGGGCGCAGGGGCTTACCTGCAGCAGGTCCTGTAGGAGCGCTGGGTGCTAGTGCTGAGTGTGCTGAAGGACCACTGGGAGCCGCACACGGAGGCGGGGCCGGAGTTCCTGCAGGACACAGACCCAGTGAAGCGGCCAGGAGGCTGGGAAAGGCTTGGGACAGAGGTGCAGCAGATGGGGGCGGGGCGGGGGTGGTCAAGAGGGGCTGGGCTGAAGGATTTGGGGCTGGAAGCGCGGGAACAGTGAGGCCAGACCAGGCTGGGGGTTTGCGTGGAATAAAGAGTGGGGGTGAGGTGTGAGCCTGGAGAAGGGGGGAGGGGGTCAGGTGAGGAAGTGTGCTGGGTCCAGACAGACAGGACAGGGCAAGGTGGGGAGACGGGCCCAGGGGGAGGGGCAGGCTGGGTCCCCACCTGGCCCTGACCTGGTACTGGCTCCCGCATCCAGCTCTGGAGAGGCCTGGGCGCCATCTTCATCGTTCTCCAGGTTCTAATGCAGAACACAGGGCTCAGAGGGGTTAACCGGGCTCGCCGGGCCCGCACCCCTCTCTGGAAAGGAAAGTGGGGCCACACAGCTGCCAGCCACGTCTCTGCCCGCCCTCCCCGCCCTCCCTGCAGAACGGGTTTGATGAATCACAGAAACCGAAACCCAGGTAGGAGGTGGGTGCTGGGGGTTATGGGGGGCCTGGGTGAGGATCGCTGAGTCTGTCGGGAGGGGGGTGTCCCAGGAGCTATAACCGAGAGCGGGAAGGAGTCCGGCTGGATCATAACAGGGGGTGTTGGGGGCGCAGTAAGGAGGTTCTGGATTTGGGATTTCCAGGAATCTGATTCCAGGGCGCCAAGAAAAGAATCCTAGGTCGGGGGGAACGTCTTGGAGTCAAGTGTGGGCAAGGCTTCCCGAGGCGGTTCCGGGCAGATTCAAGGCGGGGGATTTCAGAGACGTGCATGTTCGAGTAGATTATCCGGTCTGAGGCTCCGGTGGGGGGTGCTCCTACTCACGGGACCTAGGTGGGGGGTGGGGGCAAGGTGGGGGCAGGCGGGGGCTGGGGGGCGAGCTCCGCGCCAGGCCTCTGGACTCTCAGTGGCGGCTCTCGGGGGCGGCTGGGGAATAAAATCGGGGTGTAGGAAAGACTCGGGGTCGGGGGCCACGTCCGGAGTGGAAGGGGGTTCCTCGTTCTGCTGGAGTCTCAGGTCCGGCCTGGGGTCCTGCCAGGTCGCGGGCAGGGGCGAGGTGGGCCGGGCCGTTCACCTGGTACCGCAGTCCGGACTGCTTTTCCTCGTCCGTCACCTCGAACCGGGCCCGGCGGTCGAAGTGCAGCGGCCCGAAGCGGGCGACCCCGCTGGACTCGGGCCCTGGACCCGCATCCTCCAGGGACAGGTCGAAAGCGTCATCGATGCTGAACTGGGGCCGGGCGGAGCTCATGGCCCGCTCAGGAGCCTTGCGCCGCCGCCGCCATCCGCGCCGCCGGCCCCGCCCCGCGCAGGCCCCGCCCCCAAGATCCGGTCCCGCCCCGCGCAGGCCCCGCCCCCGAGATCCGGTCCCGCCCCGCGCAGGCCCCGCCCCCGAGATCCGGTGCTGCCCCGCGTAGGGCCCGCCCTCAATGTCCGGTCCCGCCCCTCTCGGGCCCCGCCCCCGAGATCCGGTCCCGCCCCCGCAGGCCCCGCCCTCCTCCGGTCAGGCTGGGGGTGCAGGACGCCGAGCCGGGTAATGGCGCGGTATCCGGGTTCTGACGGCGTCAGGTCTCGGGCGCCGCCCAGCGGCCGCATCCAGGAACGACAGCAAGCGGTGCGTCCGTGGCCGCCCTGAGGTCCCAGGCCCCTGGAGGGGCTCCCGTGCGCCCCCCAGCTCTGCTGGGGAGGCTGAGATCCTCCGCGAACTGTTTCCGTGCCGCGACCTCGCACGGGCGGATGTTCTCCCCGCTTTACTGACGTGCGAGATGCGGTCGGAACGTTTCTGTGGCTTCCGCGCCTCCCCGGTTCCATCCACCCCGCAGCCAAAGTGACCTTTCACGGGGAGGGGTGACCGGGTGCGGGAGGGAACCAGGTTCTCACAACTGGCAAGGCAGGCGCTCGCTCACCTGGTCTCATCCCACACCTCTAAAGTGATTTTTTTTAAATTTTTTTTTGTTTTTGCTTTTTGGGTCACATCTGGCGATGCACAGGGGTTACTCCTGGCTCTGCACTCAGGAGTTACTCCTGGCGGTGCTCAGGGGACCATATGGGATGCTGGGAATCGAACCCAGGTTGGCTGCATGCAAGATAAACGCCCTACCGGCTGTGCTATCTCTCCAGCCCCACCTTTTTATTTATTTATTTATTTTGTGGGGCTCCCTGCTGGGTGCTGGCAGCCACTCTCCTTGGTGCTTGGGAGAAGGAACCAGTAAGGGTTCAGGGTAAGGAATGTGGGTCTCCTGCATGGAATGCTTCCACTTAACCCTTTGAACTATCCCTATGGCCCTATGGTGATTTTTTGGGGGGGTGGCTGGAGGTAACACCTGGCGGTGCTCAGGGCTTACTCCTGGTTCTGTGCTCAGAGATTACTCCTGGGTGCTTGGGGGACCGTCTGGGATGCCAGGAATTGAACCCAGGTCGGTTGTGTGCAAGGCAAGCACCCTACTTATTGTACTATGGCTCTGACCCCAAATGTGACCTTTGAAAACCTCCAGAGCAGCCTGATAGAGCAGGTGCTTCGCATTCAGGGGCCCTGGGTTCGACCCCTGGCACGTAGTCCTGAAGAAAAACACAGCTGAATCTTTTCTTCTTGTTCTCTTCCGGTATGCAACTTTTATTTATTTGTTTATTTATTTTTGCTTTTTGGGTCATACCCGGCGATGCACAGGGGCTACTCCTGGCTCTGCACTCAGGAGTTACTCCTGGGGGTGCTCAGGGGACCATATGGGATGCTGGGGATCGAATCCGGGTTGGCCTTATGCAAGGCAAATGCCCTACCCGCTGTGCTATTGCTCCAGCCCCCTATGCAACTTTTAAAGCATGCAGCTCGAGCACTCTGCTTAAATGCACTGCATCTTGGTATCTGTTGTGGTCACCAAGAAAGCTGAGCCCCGAACTGAAGTGCTGGAAGGTCTGTCTGGCCTGGGCCCTGCCCACTCTCTGCCCACCGCAGCCCACCAGTTGGCAGGCCAAGCCCTTTTTGCATGCAGCCTTTTCATGGGTTGCCTTTGCAGTTTGAAACCACTTAACTTTGCCCTTTCCTCACTGCCTCCTCTCCTCGCCCAGGCCGCTGCTCAAATGTCACTTCTCTGAGCGCCTCTGAGTCTGGGAGGGCCCGGGAGCCGCACCCAGTGCTCGCCTGACCTCACCCTGCCCTGATGGTCTTAGCCCGCACCTCCTCTATGGCGCTCACAGCCGTGTTTTTGCACAAAGTAGATGTCAAAGATTTGGGAAGAGACAAATGAATGCCCAAATACAAAATGCTCAGCTCCTGGTGCCCACCCTCCACAATGTAATTGTGGGGCTGGAGTGATAGCACAGCGGGTGGGGCGTTTGCCTTGCAGGTGGTCAACCCAGGTGGAATTCCCAGCATCCCATATGGTCCCCTGAGCACCGCCAGGAGTTAATTCCTGAGTGCAGAGCCAGGAGTAACCCCTGTGCATCGCCGGGTGTGACCTGAAAAAGAAAAAAGAATAAAACACAACGTAATTGTGCAGAGAGCAAGCCCACCTCACCTCTAGCAACAAGCCTCTCAGCTTAGGCAGATTCATTTTCTTTCCTCTTCTCCTTTCCCTGCCATGACTCCCATCACATGTGCTCAGCCTACCAATGCTGGGCTGTGTGTGTGTCAGGTTTGGAGTGTCACAGCCGCAGTGCTCAGGGGCCTAAGTCTCTGAACTCAGGCATCACTCCTGGCAGTACCTGGGGTCAGCCTGGCTTGGCTGCGTGCACAGCCAGCGCCCGGGCCTGTCCGCTCGGACCTGCAATGTTCATCGATGGTTTTGATCGATTCTCATTCACTCCCCTTCATTGCCGTGGATGCCATGGAGCTGACAGGCGCCTGCGTGGCAGTGATGCTCACTGGGCTGTGCTCACCTGTAGTGGCGGTGTCTGCGCATGGGCTCCCGGGCCGCCACGCTCTGAGCTGAAGCTCCGTGTTAGGGTGTGGGTGCTCGCCCACATAGGCCCACGGGGAGCCACATTTCAGGACTGTGCACTCAGGCGTCTTCTCCTGTTTGAGTTGAGGTGTCCCTCACGGGTCACGGCCCTTTCTGTCGCACTCACGCACATCTGATTGTGGTGCAGACAGGGGGAATTCCTGCTCGTGGCACCAGGGGTCACGGACAGCGGAACCCTCCAACGCAAACACTAGAGCGGCCAGGGTTGCACTCGGCATGTGGGACTCCGGGGACTTGAACTTGTGACCATATGCTTGCAAAGCAGGTCCTCTGAGCCCCCAATTGATTCCTCTGGGTCCTTTTTGTTCTTGTTGTTTTTGATTTGGGGGCCACACCTGGCGATGCTCAGGGGTTACTCCTGGCTCTGTGCTCAGGAATTATTCCTGGGGAGCTTGGGGAATCTTATGGAACACTGGGGATCGAACCCGGGGTTGGCTATGTGCAAGGCAAATGCCCTACCCGCTGTACTATCACTCGGACCCTCAACACACATTTTTGTCTTGTTTTGTTTTTGCTTTTTGGGTCACACTCGGCAATGCACAGGGGCTACTCCTGACTCATGCACTCAGGAATTACTCCCGGCGGTGCTTGGGGGACCATATGGGATGCTGGGAATCGAACCTGGGTTGGCTGCGTGTAAGGCAAACACCCTACCCGCTGTGCTATCACTCCAGCCTCAACTGGCCTGATAGTTTTACTGTGTAGATGAAACTAGAATTACAATTACACTGTCCACACTGGAATTCAGCGACTTCTCCCACTAGCTTTGGAATCCTCGAGGTCAGCCTAGGTCCAGAGGCTCCCCCTTATGGCATAGAAACTTAGGAGGCATCATGAGGAAAAATCAGGAAGCAAGATGGTGAACCCGTTGTTTCAGCTGTGGGGTCGTCCTCCCGAGGCGCTGTGTGGGGTAGGGGTATGCGGTCCCAGCATGGAACCCAGGCCCCCCCACACAAGGCCCATGCTTGACCCAAGATGGGTAATACTTTCAAAAGTAAAAAGGCAAAAACCCAGAATCAGACTTATTTTTGTTTTGGGAGCCACACCCTGTCGTGCTTGGGGACTCCTGCCCGCTCTCTTTGGGGGTGTCACTCCCGGAATAGGGCTCAGGGGCTTCCAGCACTCAGTCTGGCTCTGTCTATTTATTTATCTTGCTTTTAGGATCACACCCGGCGATGCACATAAGTTACTCCTGGCTCTGCACTCAGGAATTATTTCTGGCGGTGCATGGGGGACCATATGGGATGCTGGGAATTGAACCCGGGTCAGCCTCGTGCAGGACAAACGCCCTGCCCACTGTGCTATTGCTCCAGCCCTCTCTTTCTTTCTTTAAGCCAATCGCACCAGCCAATTGAATACTAGGTGTAAGGATACGGTTGTGGTGCTCGGGACCAGGAGGGTAGGGACCACCAGGACTCCAGCTGGGCACCTTCGGGGGGATGGTGCCAGGGAGCCTCTGGTGCAGCGAACAGAGCCCCTGGTGCTATTCCACTGCCCCATCTGGGGTGAAGTGAGTTTTGCAGCAGGGCCAGGAGCTAAGCAGCGTGGCTGCTACTGGTAGCAGATCTGATTACTGATCGATTAAGATCTTTATCCTGGGATCGTATAGTGGGTCGGGCACTTCTCTTGCACGCACACGACCTGGGTTCCACCCATAGCACATGGGTCCCTAAAACCCTGCCAAGACCGATCCTTGAGTGCAGAGTCAGGAGTAAGCCTTGAGCACCGTCAGGGTGGTCCCCCCCAAAAAATCCCAAGACCCTTAATTCTAGGGCTCCACCTTTGCAAGGGAAGACTCAGATGAATTTCAACACGGGGGGGGGGGGGGGGGGGGGGACTCAGTTCTCCCAGCACCACCCACCACCCTAACAATGCTTCCTCTCTCCAGCCCCAGCCCCACCCACGCAGACACCCCAGAAACCCATGCTGCCGCCTCCCTCCGAACCCCAGAGGCATTTCTGCCACATTTCCAGTGGTCTGTGGCTAACAGATCTGTTGGCTCTTTTCTGGCTCCTGGGGTCCAACCGACCATTTCTTTAAGGTTTGCAGTATGGTTTAATATCACGGGCCGAGTCCTATTTTGTTCACACTTGCTTCTCCTGCACCTTTATCCTTCTATCCAAAAGCACAAAAATGTCTCAAAGTTCTGTACATTGAATTTCTAGATTTCCGGAGATGTCTTTTGGGGGGTGTTGAGGGGCATATCTGAGGCACAGATGGTGACGCTCTCCAGGCTCTGTGCTCAGGAATCACTCCTGGCAGTGCTTGGGGGGAACTACATGGGATGCCAAGAATCGAACCCGGGTCGACTGCATGCGAGGCAAACGTTCCGTATTTGAGCTCTTGAGAGTGTGGCGTGGCTAA